CATACAAAATCTACTACAGCAGAATGGTGTATCAAAAAGCTACAACATCTATTTACAACGTTTGGTCTTCCAGTGACAGTCGTTACAGACAACGGGACACAATTCACCAGCACGGCTTTTCAAAACTATTTGAAAGAAAATGGAATTTGTCACAGAACATGCGCACCATTTCACCCTTCTAGCAATGGTCAAGCAGAAAGATTCGTACAAACCGTGAAGAAGGGGCTAAATTCAATGGTGGGGGAGAGAGGTGACATACAAACAAAGATCGACGCATTAGTCACACAGCTGAGGAAGGCACCAAGCTCTACAACTGGAATGTCTGCATACAAGATGATGTTTGGCAGAGACATCAGAACTAAACTAAACGTCATGTCAGATAAAACAGAATGGTTTAGAGTTGAACAAAGGAAGATTGGAAGACAGTTCAGTGTGGGACAAAAGGTGCAAGCGAGGAACTATGCATCCAAAGAAAAGTGGAGATTAGGAGAGATCATCAGTTGAGTGGGCAATGTCATGTATAGAATAAAAATGGACAATGGATTGATATGGACCAGACACACTGACCAGATCCTCCCTAAGAATTAAGAGGGGAGAGTTGATATATATTCAATCTAGTGTCAATTAATAATATTCTATTTTCCTATATTTTAATACCAGCTGATTGGTTAATAATTTATTGTTTTCTGTTGTGAGTCAGTTGTACAATTTAATGTTTTTGTTTCAGTGTTTGTACATTTTACAATGTTCAAATATATTTCTCAAATGCTTAAAGTTTATTTAATTTAGACACAATAGGAATAAGCTATTACCGTAGTAATCACGGTAAGACCTGGACCCGGGACCGATTTTTTTTTTTCGTTTTGAGGTCCCTAGAGGCCAAAAACACCATCCGTTCAGATTCATATATATATATATATATATATATATATATATGTGTCCGTTAGCGCGATAACTCGAGCAAAAATGATCCAATTTTGATGAAATTTGGTACAAACGTGTAAACCTACGTTTATTCGAACGAGTTCGGGAACCAGCATGATCGGACCATGGGAACGGGGGTTTATGGGGGCTTTTATGGGGTAAAAATTAGTTTTTCCCATTTTTGACCCAAAAAACATAAAATTTTGCAAATTTCTTTCTAAACTATTTTGTAGAGCTTAAAAAAACAAATTATTTAGTATATTGAAGCGTTATAATGCGCCTAATGGTTACGGAGAAAATTCCAAAAAATTGTAAATTTAAAATTCCCATGTTATCCTTATGGAGAATAAGTAAACTGTTGTAGTTTGCTTGTTTATAAACATATTTTGCCCAAATTTGGAAAATGTTTTTATTTCTTACTAACTATTAACATTTTACATGAAAAACACGTTTACCCTCCCTGTTGCAGCAAACCTAAGTATGTGTAAAACTGATTCTATTTAAATAGAGAATAAATGTGATATTTTTAAGGAGACATTTTAGTGTAAATCCATTCAGGGAAATGGAAATTCGCTTAGTCTGCAGGTTTGCTGCGGCGGGGGTATTATTTTATTAAAATGTGTTATAACGAGAATATAAAAGGTTAACAATAACAAGTCCTCTGCATAAATTGCCTATCATTTGAATTGCCTTTGCCTTGTCTATAAGGGTGATAATTCTATAAGGAGAGTGTTAAATACATCGTATTTTTATGACTTGGAATAATTATTGAATATTGAAGAAAAATGCTGAGTACATATTTTGAGTCTAGTGACCAATCAAGCTTTGAATAATATTCAAGGACTTATAATTTAACCCCTACTAAAAATGGTAGCAATCTTTAACATTTGATGTTTTCATACATGAACACAAAGCAAAGTTCAAACCCTTCCAAAGGACGAATGTTTAAATGTGCTCTCATCCTTTCTAATTGACTGTGATGACATTTTGTTGTTTCAAACAATAGTATTATCTTTATACATATTTTTACCGCAAGTAAGTATAAAAATTAGTTTAACTAGTTGAAAGACAATAACGAACATGTTACCATAGTGCTCACGTAAAAAAAGTATTTTAAAATATTAAGGAATTTTTTTTAATATGGGAAAAAATATTTTTGTAATTAGAGAGTAAGAAACCATTTAAAACTTATACTTTGGAAGGGTTTATTGTAACTTAAACCCAGCTTATTGTATAGAAACAACTTCTGTTTAAGACCGGTATTAAATTTTTAAGGGTTTAAATAATTGTTTGCATGAATATTATTCACCAGTCATGATTTTTAGAAAATTAAACATTTTGGTATATAAATTGAATATTAATAATGATATGCATAAAATAGGGTAAATGCACAAATAATTACGAGTCCCAAAGTCATGTTTTTTTTACAATAATGGTACAAAGCATAGACACATTGTGGGTGTAAAATCAGTTTCTGCAAAACAGTTCTTGATATTAAATAGTAGGATCTCTCAATATTTAGTAACTGCAAATTTCAAGTTTACAGAAACTTAAATTATAGCCCAAGATACTTATAAACAAGCTTAAGAAACCAGGACAAACTATAAGTTTTTATCAGGACACAATCTTAATTGGTTTTGCTGAGTTTACTGGGCTAACCAAAACATTTATTGATAAAATAAAATGATTACCTTATACAACCACAGTTGTTGGTATGACAGCTATTTTCCTTCCTTAGAACATCATCAGGTAATTTTGTATGCAACCACATCACCAATGTAGGTATCAATACATTGTGGTATGTCAATAGATTCTTTAAACAACTCTGTCTCAATCACAATAATTGAAACTTGTCATGTTGATAAAATAGTTCAAATGGAATAAAAATGTGTAAAATTGGTTAAAACTGTACAGGATGGCCAGCACTGCATTATCACTACCACTGACTAAATAAAACTGACTGAATCATGATGTTTCTTCTTCTCACCAGTGCCACCTGTATTTAAGTTTTTGTTTAGTTCTTCTTATTTTATACTCTTTGATTTTTTAACTTTTAAATATTTGTATCAAATACAATATTTGACTGGAAAGAAGTCTGATAATTTAAAATGTTAGATGGGTTGAGTTCTTTAGCTTTGTAGATGGTGAATTCTTCTTTAACATCGACTTAAAACTTAATTAAGTAAGTAATACTTCAACTATTTCCATGATCTTTTATATAGATAGTTGTGCTATTCTGATATCAATGTTCGGCATTCGGGTTGCTGATGTTGTGATCTTTTAGGTATATGTTCTATAAATCTTTGAAAGATCTTCCAGTTTGGCTGTTGTGTTGTATTACTAAGAACAGTTAACTAGTTAATAAAAACATTTATGTACATTGATTAACTTGGGCTTAGTATATTTTATTATAATGGTATAAAGTGCCCCTTGATACGAATATCACAAATAGAACCGATGAATATTTGAGGTAGCCAAGGATACAAAGGAAAATAAATTTATATATTTTTGTATTCAATTAGAATTTGCAATGATAAAGAATAAAAATCAAATCAACAAACCCCTAGCAGCTTTAAAGTTTATGTTTGATACAAACATAATCTACCAAACAAAAAATATTCTAAGTAATGTCATTGACTATTGGATACTGAAGGTAATGTGTAAAATCCATTCTGCAATGTTAACATCAAATTTGAATAAACCTTTGTGGGATTTTTTGTCAGTCAAAAAGCTGTTTTCAATTTACAAATGGTGGGTCAAGTGAATGGGTTGTAATGGAAACGCTCTGTTGGGCACACAGATGTTATGAGGGTAATCAGTCTGTATGTTAATGAGTATAACTGCCTTTGGGGCAAACAATGCATTCACACACACTGGAGAGGGAATATCACAGATGTTAATTAAAATTGTTAAACTCTCTGCCTTTTATGTAAAGTGGTCGAATCTGTTACATATTCAATCACCAATCCTCTACCACCAATCCCTACTTTAGTAAACGGGTAGTGATTGAATATCTAACGGGAAATATGTTTAATTTACAAAGCTATTTTGTGTTTGAAATAAATGGTTCTCAAAAGGCTAATTTCAGCTTTATTTTCAATCCTTGATTAGGTTTTTTTTTTATTGATGAACATTTTGCACTATAATTTATATGGTAAGGAAGCCTATTTTGGTTATTTAAATTACTCGGTCAGTAACATTGATACACAGCTAGTTAGTTTGATTTTGGTGTTGTATTTGTTGGTTCTGTGCATTTAAAATGAAGTGGCTCATCAAACTGATTACTTAGTTCTTAAATTATTTTCTATTAGCTGCATCGTCTTCGTTCATCAGATCTTTAAGTAATATATTTGATTAATCCTTATGTCTTCCTACCCACTGTCTCACCCACACTTCCCTCCTTTTCTGTTTGTCATCTTGCCTTCTAATTAACTCATTTTTAATCAATCTTGCTCCTACTAGAACCAACTCCTCCAACATTTTCGAATAACATGCGCACACAGAGCTGCTTTGGGTCAGTGGAGTCCTGGGCAAACCCAAGAGCAGCGCCCCCCTTTTTTCTAGTGGTGGCGGGTGTGGTTTGGGGGCACACAGCGGGCCCCCATAAACCACCGGCGCCCCTGGACATACGCCCAGTCTGCCTGTTTATAAAAGTGGGCCTGTGCGCACAAGCACAAGCAACTGTGTTCACACTGAGCTACTTCACACATACTAGAACTTAGTCAAAAGCTGGTGAGTAGGCGTGTTAATCGCTAGAGTAAACTTTATCCAGAGCTTTCTTGCAGCTTTTGAGCAAGTATGCCGTTCACACTGAGCTATTTAATGAACTGTGTGTAAATAAGCCTAAGTAGCTTGTAAGCTCGCCCTGTAAGAACAAAGTTTAGTCAACATTTCATTAATAGTACATGGATCAAACTGTGTCGGAGTGTCGGATGCGTATGACATATATTTCATAGTGCATGGTACGTAATAAAAGTGAAAAGCTCTGAAACACTTCCACTTAAAATCATTTCCCAAAAATTCCACTGCAATTAAACATTAACGTTTCACAAGTAAAATGACACATTTTGTTGCAGTGGATGACAATGATTGGTGGCTGAACGCTATCCAGCCGTACAGTCCATCCTCTGCAGACGACGGACTCCTAGTTTCCCCCACCCCCGGGCCGGAACATGTGGTCTTCCTGTCAGAGAACTGCACAAAGGTGACGGCTCAGACTGGCAGTACATCAGTCCTACACTGCGAGGTCGGAGGAGTCACTGAGTCCATGGTAAGTGGTGCGGGTGGATGGAATTGTTAAAAAATTATGTGGTGTACATCATAAGAAATTGTCTAGAAATGAAACAGCTGATATTAGTCAGTGAAAAAGCAACACTAATCGTCTCTCATCCTAGAAATACAACTGAAGGTAGTGTTGAATGAGAGTTGAGAGACGTTGGCCAACATATGTACTAAGGGTAACAGTCTTTTTTAACACAGTCTTCATAGTTGAAACAAGTTATAACTTCATGATGACGTAAACTGAAATTATATTTTGTTTCCGTGTTAAAAGAATAAGCTGACAATAAATAGTTCAGTGATCAAATAGGAAATATTCTTACAGGAATATGACTGTAAAGTTATAAAGTGGAAAGTAATATTCTGAAAGAGAATAACATTTCCTACAAAGAGTTTGTAGTGCTATTGCCAATTTCAGAAGATGCTGACAAAAGAATGTATTTTTTAAAGTTTGACACTGAAATCAGATATTCTTAATCATTGAGCTCTTGATAAATTCACCAATACTACTAGCCAACATTAGGATTATCCTTATTTGGTAACAACAATCTCACACAAGGCAGCTTATCCAACTCAAATTCACCATCCGTTCATACTGTAAAATACACTTAACTGGGTTGATGAATCTATTTGAAGGTATTATGTGGTCTTCTATAAATAGAATGTTAACGTTAAGTTAATAATCATACGTAGCACATATGGAACAGAAGGAACCTTCAATCTGTGACTTAGGAATTTTCCAAAACTCCATAATCTCTAAGACATTATTCAGAAACCTCCTAACCACCGAGATGTCAGTTAAAACCTCCTATACCTCCGAAAAAATTGTTACAGTCACCTAATCTCTAATTTGCATCTGATCTCTTTACTGGTTGGTTTCAGGTGTCGTGGATTCGTCGCACGGACTATCAGCTGTTGACAGTGGGGTTGGCAACATACAGCAGTGATGACCGTTTCTTTACAGCCCATGTGCACAACGAACAGGTGAGAGGATGCTACTAATCAGTGGGTAGACAGGACCAAAATCCCTCCCAACATAAGAAAGCCAAGCTTAAGCCTTTAGTTGATCACTCTCCTCAAAAATTATATTAACAAAAAGAATATTTTGATCTGTAACCTACTAAAAAAAAGTGTTTATGAAACGTAATGAAATGGAAATAATACAAACCAATTACCTACGACAGGTGCTTTTGCCGGATTGTGCTCATTGCACAATGAGTGTTTTTACTACCAAAGAAATGCTTTATGGAGAATAGTTTTGAACAACCACTATATTATGACAAAGAAACTGATTTTGCAACCAGAATTTTAGTAAACAGATAAAGCAGCTAAACATAAGCCAAGTAGAATAAGCTATATATAAGAGCTAACATAGCTTAACACTTTGTACATTTTTTAATCAAGGTACAAAGGAAAAGCAATTGAGTAGATCATGCAATATCCAATGAAACATTATTTAATTACAGTACTTCATAGATGAAAGGAAACATATATTGTATATTTTCCAGGACTGGGCTCTTCATATAAAGTTTGCTCAGATGACAGATGAAGGGTTGTACGAGTGTCAAGTATCAACTCATCCCCCTATCAGCATATTTGTCACACTCAAGCTAGTGGGTGAGTTAAAAGTCTATGTTCCTGTAAACTAATACTATTTTAGAAAAAGATATTTCCAAGCCATTCAACGTAAACATTAAATTTTGGAATTGCTGTTTAAAATGGAACTTCTCTGTACAAACTTTCTTTATCCTCAACAAATTTTTATCCTTTGATAAATCTAGAGGAACAAACCCAAAACTGAAGTTACCTGCCGCGACCTTTTCTCTCCATCATTTTGGTTTAGCACAACAGAAAATAGTCAGAATCACAGAGTATCAGTTTTTGTTAGGGTATATCTTTAAAATTGATTGAAACTTTAAATTCTTTACGTTACAGAAAACCATTCCTCTTTCTGTACACTCTCTAAATTGAGCCGTAGGCTGTTCTATATGTATATGCTCTACCCATTTATTAATTTTCCAGAGTCTAAAGCTGAGATCGTAGGAGGAAGCGAGAAGATGGTTCAGACCGGAAGCAGTCTTAGACTTATCTGTTTATTACGACACTCCATGGAACCTCCATCGTACATCTTCTGGTACCACGACTCTAGAATGATCAACTACGACACAGCACGAGGAGTAGAGGTCGGTAAACTTACAAATTGTCAGTTGACTGGGTAGATGATCAAATTTGAAGTTACTGTTTTGATTCTAAGATCTCAGATGCAAATTTATCATGAGACTATCAGCATTGACTATATAACACTACGCTATCAGTGTTACAATAATAGGTTGACGTAAGATGGTAATAAGACCAGGGGTCGGGTTTCCATACAATAGCGTTAAAAATGCCTCGGACATAAACACTCACATAAAGTATAACACCATGAAACAAGCTCAACTAACATTTTGATTGTAAAAAAAGGACAACTTTTGGTAAGGTTATTTAATTTAAGGTAAACTAATGAATAATCCCTTTGGGAAAAACACAGAAAAGAAGAACATCCATCCGCAATGTGTGTTTTTAATACTACCTACTCACACTAGAACTTCCCCTTTGAAATTACCAAAGCAAAATGTTTTCTTTAATGATTGTAACTTATTTGGCTCTGTCTATAGATTATCTAGATTCCATTCCAGTCCAACGTAAAAGAAGTAATAGCAAAATAACAAACAAAGTTGGCACACAGCTTTTATCCACCCAATTTCAACCAAGATTCCAATGTTTTCTTACCTAAGTAACTATTCCGCAAGTCGCACTGTCATTGAAAAATTAGTGCAAAAACTGTTTTCTACATTTACAAGATATGGAAGGCAGTGACTGATTCTCTACCATTGACTGATTCTGGTTTTCATTTCATTGTACAAAATAAACAAACCAGACGACTATGACTTGACTTAAAATTTCCAAAATATTACCTGCTTAAACATCCTTGCAGGTGACTCATGAAAGGTTTAGCAGTGAGCTGGTGCTGCCTCGGGCACGCAGTGATGATTCCGGGAACTACACATGTGTCCCTAGCAATGCTCAGGCTGCGAGCATCAGCGTACATGTCATTAAAAGTGAGTACCAATATTCCTGGGGAAATGGTCTTTGGATTGAACAAAAGTATCTTATCCAACGCTGACGCTGACCCCATTTTTTGCACACACGCCGATTTTGGACAGTGAATTACAGGAGACAGAACCTGGTACATGTCGACCACTGATTGGAATGTGGACAGTCGGTAAAACACCGTCCGTCCAAAATCGGTGAATGGAAATAGTCAAACCGATAAATTTAATTCTCCTCTCAATGGCACTAATTCTATGTATATTTGAGTATGGACATTGCCTTATCCTTTTTTAAGTGCTGTGGCCATCAATAAGTGCAAAATTCAAAAAAAATTCAAACCAACAGTTTCTGTTTGTTAGAGGTGTATGTTTCGGTTGGTGTCTGAAAGTATGTGGTAATTAAATAGCAAAGTGCATGATAGTACCAGGAATATAAATTTTTAAACCATTACGTCCACTGCTCAAGATGCCACTGTACTAATCAAGATATTTAAAAAACTTAATACACACTTAAGTAATCAGTAATAAACTACAACAGCTAACATATGGTATATTGATATATGGTATGGTGGTTTATATGATACTAGGTGAAACCCGTCGAAATCGACGGTTATTTTCAAGGCATACGCTAATTCATCTAACTGCGATAAATTGAGTGAAATTATTATTTTGAGCATTTAGCAATGTTTAAAGATTAATAAGTGTAAAAACAATAATGATATTAATTGCGTTAGTTACCAAATATGGTTGATCATTCAATGAATAAAATATTTCCCATACTGGACGTCATTGGAGTTGTTAGTATGCTACCTGGTATCTCTTCGTTTGGAAGAACCTTTAAATAGTATTAAAATCGTATTGGTGGATCTTTGTACTTAAACACTTCCGTGATTTCATCGGTGTAATGCAGATTAATCTATGATTTTATTTGAAAAAGAAATCTGTTTGTTGGGAAGACACGTTCTAACTTCAAAGAGAGGTATATCCGTTACAGTGTAAGTTTGATTTTTCCTTCGTCACGTCGCGTCAATTCGTATCGCACTTCTAAGCCAATGAATAACGCTCTAGCACAGTTTTGAGAAATTGGTGGTGAAGGTACTGTTAAAGCTGTCCTTGACATGGGGGATGTCAGTTAGTTGTCTCAGCCTTATCAGTTACATAAAGTTGTCAATATAATCTCTCTACGGAATGTTAGGTGTAGTGGAATATACTTGTAGTGAAGTTGGCTTTTATTCTTGATCTTTAGGGGCCTCCTCATTTATATAGTTGTGCAGCTTCATTGGCAAAAAATAATACGAATGACATAGTAATGTGGCATTTCCAAAAAGCAAAAAATTATGTTAATTGGTTGTTACCTGTAATCGAAGTAACCTCTCTGAAAAGTCTGCAGTATATTGCAGTTTTTCAGCTTAATGACTTTCTAAATCATGCACATATTTCTAAATAAATATTGTACAATGTTTTATCCAGTTGCTGTAAACCATTATTATTTTTTTTTTTATATGGACACGGCTCAATTTGGCACCGTCTGCACTTGTATTATTTTGAATTGTATTACACAATCGAAGATTTTTCCAATGATTGAAAGCATGTACAGTATGACAATAATCTCATGAACCTATGATGACCCGTCTAGAAAAATATGATTAAATATAGGGAAAAGTTGTGAAAAGGCAGAAATCAACCCGTAAAATAGATATAACATAGTTCAATAAGAAATAATTGTAAGAGTTATTGTCATAAAAGGATTTTCCACTGATTTCGTAATGGAACTTAATATTGGAACACATGACATGATACAGAAGAAAATCAATTTTAAAATCAAAAAATAACATTGCAAATACTTCTTTTGGACAATTCAGTAACTCCCAATAAATGTGTGTTGTTTAAAATACAACGAGAGCACGCCCCGTGGTCGAAAAATCGACCAAAAGTATGTATTGTACAAATGTCTCTATTTTCATCCCACACTGTAAATAAAACATGTGATTGGAATGTCTTCCATTTGTTTTGATTTTCTGTTTATATTGTGTTGTTATTTTGTCATCACCATAGCAACCCATAAGACCCATGTTAATTTTTTAAAATTTCAAATTCATTTTTTGTGCTTATTTTTGAGCCTATTTTAATTTATAAAGGGATTCTGCACACCTACAGGAAAATAGCTTTCTAACGGTATGCGTAGATTTTCCCTACGATACACACGAGCTGAGAAAAAAGGTTTTAAATAAACATGCTTGCCTATTAATATATAGATTTTAAAATTAACAGCTGTTTTATTAAAAAGTATTATCCACATGACCAAAATGTAAACAAATCTGTGGAGGGATTTTTAAAGGCTTCTGGGGCAGAGGCCCTAAGCGAATTTTCTTCGTTTTTCTTTTGATAACTCATCTACAGACCAAGACCTTTCTTTGGACACCTCTACCAAGTTTCTACGCCCAGCCGTTCTCTCAAATTAGTGGATACAAAGTTTCCAATTAAATATTTAGATTCCCCCATGTTAATCTTATGGGAGAAAACTAAACTTTGATGGAAGATCCTGCCCAAACTAATAAAGATATCAAAAAACGAAAAACACTTTGCAAAACTACAGATCAGGGCAATTTTTTTGACACTTTAATCATCAAAATCGGTCCAAAAATGAGGGAGGAGTTCTGTTCACAAAAATCGGCTTAGCGTATTATATATATAGAAGATTGTAGTAGTTCTATTTTGTACATGTACAGTTCTCATTCCAAAGATAGCAACGTACAACATAAAATATATGTTAAATAATAAAATGGCAACTTCAATGGTTCCTCACTATAGTGTGCTTTTGGTATTGAATAGTAGGAAGAATTCTGCCAAAAATAATAATGGAAATTAAAGTAATAATTGTTTAAAAAAACAAGGAGGTAACTAAATACCTTTTTGAACTTTTGAGATAGTCATAATTTTAAATGAACTGCTAGAAAATCTGTAATAATTTAAACAATTTTGCATCATATTTCAGGAGAAAAACCAGCAGCAATGCAGCACGAAAGAACTTCGTCGAGTAATCAAACTCGAGGCCTCAGCGAAGCAGTGATACTCTGCATTGCTTTGTTGTCCTCGATCAGCTGACGAAAACAATGATGTCATCAGTAAAACAGTGAAATCACCTGTGATCTTAACAAAAGCTTCGTTCATAATGTAAATGTACTAAGACTGAATCAATCGTGTATATATTTAGATTTATTTACAAAATCATGTTTCATATTTGTTCTTTGTTAAATTATTATTAGTGCTAGCTACAAAAACAACTTAATTGCAAACCAAAGTGCATGTTAAATAATTAGAACTTCTAATTTAATTTTACGATTTTTAAGACAATGAGATGTTTTGATTATATTTGCTCAAAGATAGAACCATTGGGATAAGTTATTTTTGAATCCTATATGTTTAGTTTTACTGCAAGAAAGTTATACAGAAGAGCGCCAAAGTAGGAAGGCCTATACCAAACTCGGAAACAAAATCTAAGAAAGAAACCAGAATAATTATAGGCTGAACACAATCTGTTGGCTCGTTCAAGATTAAAATGTTACCTCTTGTAGATTAATACCTACTTATAAATCTGTATGTACAGATACATAATAAAAGCATGAATTGTAAAATAGAAAAAAAAAACTATCTGTGTGGTATGGCTTGGAGATTAAAAAATAACACTACAAGTGATCAAAATAAAATCAAGAAAATATGGAATGTCTCTTTGCTGCAACAGTTGTATTGTTTTAAATGCCCTATATGTGTTCTTAACTACCAAGCCACTAATACTTTGTAAAAGGGGTTGTGGAGAATTTTTACAGATACTTTCCTATGATGTTGTTCTAACAAGCATTTAAATTTCGAACCAAAGATAAAACCTAATTCAATAGCAATATTTAAACAATTTTTCCTACAGTCACCTGACAAAGTGGCCTTCCTTGAACTGATTATAGCACAGAAAGTTGCTAATTACTGCATCTTACTTTTGCCGCACACCAGTATTGCAACCAGACAACACAAAACAGCGTGCTTTTATCAGGCACGTAATACGTACAGTTGGCAACACATAAAGATATTACGACTACGATCAGTTGGTGCAACGTTTCCCATTTTGTTCAATGTTTGGATTTAACCTAACCTAAAAACGTGTTGTACAGACAGTGTTTGAAAGACTAATTATTTATATACTTTATAGTAACTGTAGGAAAAATATAATGTGAAACGTGAGTGCAAACTGTCTTTGCTGCACTCGAGAAACTTTCCACACTCGCCTAAGACTCGTGCGTAAACATTTCTCTCGAGGTGCAGCAAAGTGCCACTTCGCCCACTAGTTAAGACAAAACTAAAACTATTGAAAAGCCTTCAGTAACATTTTGCAGCACAATAGTTTTTGTCAACATGAAAGAATAGCAAATTTCCATAGGTTCTATTATGTTAGCCTATCATATGCTCAGTAACATTTCTGTGGAAAAAGGTTGTTGCAAAGTATCTCATTATGTATGTTATTGTTTGTACGCTTCATTGACTATTATGTAAATATGTATATAACTTTGTTCAATGGTATTGATATTCATTAATAAAATTATTGTATAAATATAATTTTTTTTCTTTTTCCTAAGAAAATTTATGAGAAGAAAACAGATAGTCCTCAAAGGGTAACACGTACACAAGGACTCATTCAGTCATTCAAGTGGGTGATTTTCCTTTAACCATCCAACAGTGTAGACCTTGCTTCAAGTATCTTTCACGTGTTTCCCAAAATTACTTGGTTAACAGCATAGTGAATTAATGACATCAAGGAGCTCCTGTTACCACAGAGAAGTAAAATATAAAAATACTAGCATAGTCCCGTCCTTCGTACGGGGATAAAAATCCGTGCACTGTGGTGAAAAAGAGGTATACAAATTTATAACTGATAAAAAGCAAATACACGTAACATAACCTACAGCCAATGATATTAGGATACCAATAATATTAACATGAGAAGGGTGACAAAGAAGAAATTGTACATAAAATCATTATTTGTATTTATTCCACAAAATAGGAAGCAGTACATTTTAGTGATGTACAAAATACACATGAGGTTGTGAAAATATACAGTAACAGCTAACGATATTATTTAATAACAACGAAATTGTAAAATAATACAATTGAACTCCTGTCAAAGTGAGAGAGAAGTTTAACACAGATAATTCAATTGACTACCTACAATGATTGATATTGCTAAGAAGCAAAATATGTCAATAAATATCTCAACAAATAATCTAAAATATACAACGATTGGATCTACAATAAATAAGGTACAGCCAAAGAAGAAAGTATTTACAAAAATATACTATATAAAAACAATATTGAGCTAACATTTACGTTAAAATGGCAAATAAAACTTGGTTTCATTTAATGATCAACAGTTGAGTTAACAAAATTAAAAAGGTTAAGGTTCTAGTCAAAAATATTTACATACAGAACACTTTGCCTCATTAAAAAGTATAAAAATCACAGCTCTGAATTACTTTGCATTGAAAATACTATTATTCAAATCACAGCTTTAAATGACTTCACAAGAGTAGAGCAGTAGAGGTTAGTTAATACAAAACTGAACCAATTATAATATCAACAATGAATATCTCTGAAGACTGTTGATGTTGCTATCCCAGCATAAACAAACTTTGATGAAAACCTCAAAATGATTGTCAATAGTATTAGGTTGTTGGAATAAGCACATGAAATTAAATAACTTTAAAGACATCCTATAACAGGTGTCAAAATCAAATAGCAACTTGATATTCTTATAAAGTATTAGTGAGAAGAACAACAGACTAAACCCAAAACACATGTATAAAGTAAATGAGAACCCTGTACAAACAAATAAAGCTTTAAAAGGTTTGAACATTTTATATGAAACTGTGTCTTGTCCTAGTTCATCAATACTATACAAAACGTTTTTAAACATTAACTAATCACCTCTTTGCTCTACAACAAAATTTAAAACAAAAATAAAGTGTTCCGCATAACAAACAGACCAACACTGCAAAAATAACAGACTTCCTCTCACTTTGCCAGCGATATTGACGACGATAACAACGATTGACGGGGATCGCGAAGCCCATGGCGGGCCGATACGAAGATGAACGCGACAAACGCGAATTGACGACGCAACTGTCAACGCCCCCCGTGGCGCGACAGACAGACGAGAGAAACACGAGATACGACTCGCGAAGGGAAGGGGGATCCGATCCCGAGCTGATGCTGGGAGATTTGTGGCGATGCGACGGTGCAAACGCCAACTGATAACCGCGACGCGACAAGGCTAACACTTCAACCTACAGACGAAGCTATTGTACTGTATCTTAGTCTAAACTTAAAATTACAGCTATGTGTATCTTTTCAACTCCCCTCTAGAGGGGCTTAATTAAAATAACACTAGGTAATTTAACATTATAACTATTGTTAACTAAAATAAGAGAAATACTTTCGACGACGAATTTTGCCCAGAAAACTTTCCCTTAAGTTTCTTCCTAGATATTACCACCGTTATAGCTCTTATTCGGTATTAAATTAACCCTTATAGTTTCGTCCTGGATATTACAACCGTTTTAGCTCTTAATTGGTATTAAAATAACACATCTGCTTAAAACTAAAAATGATATTTTAACACGGCTGAAAAAGTATTTACTGGCATTTCATAATCCTTATCGGTTTACAGATGAAAAATAATTCCCTTTAGATGGCAGCTCCCTCCCCCCTCCCGGCCTCCCTCCCTCCCACCCACCCTGCTGCCAGCATGTAAATGAGACCCCTGGAGGTGGCAATGGTTTCACCCACCGTTCCCCACGGCACCTGCAACAACAACAACCACACATCACAACTATGCACAGCCTAGACCTAGGCATTCTACCTAATGTTCAGCTAACTCCTAACTTAAGCCGCTTTTTTACAACCCTCGTTTTTTCTCTTAACCAAGACCTACTGGTATGTATGGTACTCCATGCAATTCCTTGGGCAGAGCAATGGTGACACTAAATCTAGAATACAAGAAGGGTACAGCTCTTCTGACATTGGGACGAGAGTACAGTTAAGTGCTCAGCTCTTGTGTGATTGGGACAAGAGCACATTATAAGTGCTTGGCTCTTCTGACTTTGAACGAGAACACAATATGAGTGCTCAGCTTTTCCGACATTGCACTAAGAACACAATAGATGTGTTCAGCCTCTCCTGACTAGAACTGATGTTTGCGTTTACTCACCGACATGTGCCTTTCAGACCCCATACATGGTGGACAGCCGCTCATGCAGTTGGGCTGGGAACTGGTCAGCAAACCGCTTCCAGTTCTCTTCTCCCACTTGCGTTTTGAAACTGTGAAGTATCTGCAAAATCACACACAACGGTCAGCACTGATACACAAACCAAATACTTTATGGGAAAACATAATTCATTGTGTGGATGTTTCCTATTTTTTGTAATGTTTCCCCAATTTTACACAAATATCTAAATTCTAACAAAACGTCAGTGAATATAGTAAACATATACAGAGTAAACTGTATGTAAAAAATACAAATGACTGATCAGAGAGAGGTGTGTTCACCATTGGTTATGGACGGGTGTCTTCCACCAAGGTCAAGCTATGCCATGGACAGGCCACTAAACCTGACCAAATTAAACCCATCATCTACGGTTATCTCCTAGCAGAGCAGACCGTTTGGATGTTGATCAGACCCAAACGTCCACCACAAACCAAAACAGTAATCCAGTTTACAGCATTTTTGTTAAAACATGCTTTCAAAAGTGAATAAACTTTTTATTTTTACTATGTAATTTCATTTAAGTATTCAATTAATTTTTAGTTAAGCTGTTCATGCAGCTAGTTTTGTTCAATGAAAGGCTCTAGGCCAGGATTTTGAATTGTAGAAAAAGGAGGATAGCAGCTAGCTTACCTTGAAGCCATAGAACAAACAGAAGAGACAATGTCCCCTGGGAGATAAAGTATTGAGTGCATAGTGTCTCTTCTGTTTAGCCTACCTAAACTTCTCTTTGAGTTAAGCTAGCTGCTATCCTCCTCATTCTACAAATTTTTAAGCAGCTACTACGAATGTTGATATTTTACACCTCCACTTCAGTAATCCAAAATGCTCTGTAACCTGACAGATTAAATTCCCGAGAACTAGGGATGGACGGGTCCCGAAATTTCGGGAATTTTTCGGGAAAAAAATATTCCCGATTATCGGGACGGGATTACATTTTATTCGGGAATTTTTCGGGACGGGATTTGGTCCGATCGTCAGCGATTTTGCCGCTTCGCGAGTGCCGATGACGCCGCTATTGCGAGCGAAATGTCCGCGAACGCAGGAGACGAAGTCATTTCGACGATTGCGCCGTGATCGCGAGTCATACCAACGATCACGCCGTGACCGCGAGTCATACCAACGATCGCGCCGTGACCGCGGAGTCCTACCGACGATCGCGCCGTGACAACGAGTCATACCGACAATCACGCCGTGACCGCGGAGTCATGCTAACGATCGTGCCGTGATCGCGAGTCATACCGACGATCACGCCGTGACCGCGAGTCATACCAACGATCGCGCCGTGACCGCGGAGTCCTACCGACGATCGCGCCGTGACAACGAGTCATACCGACGATCGCGCCATGACCGCGGAGTCATGCTGACGATCGTGTCGTGATCGCGAGTCATACCGACGATCAAGCCGTGACCGCGGAGTCATACCAACGATCGCGCCGTGACCGCGGAGTCCTACCGACGATCGCGCCGTGACCGCGAGTCATACCAACGATCGCGCCGTGACCGCGGAGTCCTACCGACGATCGCGCCGTGACAACGAGTCATACCGACGATCACGCCGTGACCGCGGAGTCATGCTGACGATCGTGCCGTGATCGCGAGTCATACCGACGATCACGCCGTGACCGCGAGTCATACCAACGATCGCGCCGTGACCGCGGAGTCCTACCGACGATCGCGCCGTGACAACGAGTCATACCGACGATCGCGCCATGACCGCGGAGTCATGCTGACGATCGTGTCGTGATCGCGAGTCATACCGACGATCAAGCCGTGACCGCGGAGTCATACCAACGATCGCGCCGTGACCGCGGAGTCCTACCGACGATCGCGCCGTGACCGCGAGTCATACCAACGATCGCGCCGTGACCGCGGAGTCCTACCGACGATCGCGCCGTGACAACGAGTCATACCGACGATCGCGCCATGACCGCGGAGTCATACCGACGATCACGCCGTGACCACGGAGTTATTCCGATAATCACGCCGTGACCGCGGAGTCATACCGACGATCGCGCCGTGACCGTGAGTCATACCGACGATCATACCGTGACCACGAGTCATACCGACGATCACCCCGTGACCGCGAGTCATTTCGACCACGAGTCACAAGTTTCTATAGGTACCTGTAAATTGTTACCCATTTTTTGGTTTTTATAGATCAGTGCCACAAACGGTAAAAATTGATTTCGTATGTCTTTTTTGGTAACTGCAATACTTAAGACTTTCTTTTTATGCATAGAAAAAAATCCCGTCCCGTCCCGTCCCGAAAATCGGGAAGGAAATAAATATCCCGTCCCGTCCCGTCCCGAACCAAAAATTCAATCCCGTCCATCCCTACCGAGAACCTACCGTACATCGCTTCTTGTGCTAGCCACCAGAGATGATGCAAAACAAGTTCAACAACCTCTCGTAACTCACCTTGGTAAACATCTCCTTCAGATCGTCCTTGGGATTGACCCACGAGGCTACAGCGTCACAAAAGAAGATGAACTCTTGCACGATCCCGGCCGGGTTGACGGTGATCATCGCGCACATCCCGCGGAACGCTGAGTCTTTCTCGTCATTGTCCCGGATGTTACGAAGGGACATGCACCTGGACAAACAACTCTCTAATCCCTTCCACAGCCCAGTCCTTAGTCTAGTCAAGCTTCTCATTGGTTCAGAGGTGTTCAGCAAGTTAAAATCCTTTTTGTTTTGAACCTTCATGTATTTAAACTTTTAAGGAATGTATTACTGCAGAAACCTTTCAAACACTACAGTTTTTATACAAACCTTTTAATTTGATGTTTTACACAAAAAGTTTTATATTTTCACAGCTATGAGTTTGACAATTTCTAAGCCTGATTTACAGTTATGTAACTATAGAAAACTTGGTCACCCGCAGTTTCTAATTGTTGATTGTGTGTGTTTTTGCTGTTACACCATTATAAAATTCTTTCTTCAGAAAACATAATAATCTGCTCTTGCTTCGTCAACAACTTAACACTATTTACTAGTGTAATACAATTAGATTTTCTTTATTAATAGTTTATGTTGAAAATAATTCAACTGTGAACTCCTCTGAACCTACTTCTACTATTCAAAACTATTCAAAATAAGCCATAGACACAATTACAAATCAAGCTAAATAATCATAAACAGCCCTAATCAAAAAATCTTTGTTCTCATCCTTTAAACTTCAATTTCCAATTTTTGTTTTTGACTATGGAAAATAAAGATTTTGGGAGTAAAAGAAAATTTTAACTCAACAAAATTTAATAAATGAACAAATTATTGAATTTTAACCAAACGTTAACTTTGCCACACATCAGTGCATTTATATGAGTCTAAGCATGCTGTTAGACCACTCGTAACTTAATAATAAAACTATAAACTTAATAGATAATCAAGCAAAACTTAACTTAAGCAGCACCAATTTTCTGCCGACAAGAGCTTAGTTTTAGGTTATTAATCAATGAAGACTTTAATGTGTAATTTAAAATGTTAACTACCCCAGTTGAAATATACCAGCATTTCCCCATTGTTTCATTGATTTTTATCCAAACAAGCAAAATTAATTTTGACTTGGAGGCACTCCTAATTCAAATAACATTATGTTTAGAGTAGGTTTGCTAACTACCACAAGAAACTTCAAATTTGTGTGTTTTTATATTTTAAAAGTTATCACACTACCATCAATCTAAAAAAATAACTAAATCGAATAGTAAAAGAATTTATTAGCCTAAATATTTTTTATCTTTTGCAATAAGCATTTAAATCCTAAACAATAAAATACTCTCTTCTTCTCTTGTCAACAGAAATTCAGGATCAAACAAGCATAACTCTGCAATTTCACTTAGAATCAATAGGGAAAGACTTTTTTGTAATGTTTGAATTATTTGCAAACCAAACCAATTCAAACGGCCAGCATCAAAGTTAAATAAAAAGAAACAAATGTTAGCGTTTAAAAAAATCAGAAATTAGATCAAACTAAAAAAAAATTTTTTTTAACTTTAAAGGCACGCATAATTAATTAGGAACTTTATGAGGTAAACATTCAAGAAACCAAAAGTCTTTCCCTTAAATAATACTCTACACTATTTATTATATCAAATAAATATTAAATAAACATACAATACAATAATGATGTGAGTTTGGCAGATACAAAAATCATATATTTCAGAAAAGAATTTTTATCAATAAAAGTAGGTCCATTATACATGAAATTTTGTAAAATACTGAAGTTTTAAATAATTCAATATTATGAATAAATAAAGGTTTTAGTCTTTTAAGTGTCCGAATATCCCAATTAATACTTTTAGCCTTGTTTCCAATCCAAACTTTTTTTAACCCTTGATGTTTAATATAAAAAAAACTAAAAATCAATTTTAAAAATCTTCATCATCAAACCCAAAACTAATGTCTATTCTTCCCATTAAAACTGTTCAAATCCAAACTCACATGGAGTAAAAATTATAATAAATAGTAACAAATAGAATAAAAAATAGGGTTACACACCACTGTCGAACAAACTGGTGCAACATGGGAGCGACGTCATGAGGACAGACATAACCTAGCCGGCCAATTGTAATGGCTACGTAACAACCAGAAACAAAACAAAATCCAAACCAGGTCAAAACAAACAACACAAAATAAAAACAATAAATATCATCAATAAATACTAAACAATATGCGTAAATCTAAATGGAATCGGTTTTGGTTCGGTTTGGTCTTGTATGCACATGATCGTTTAAGCTGATACACCAAACCAACAGCAGGTGAAATAAGAGACAACGTAAAAAACTGGGTTAATAAGTTATTTACAAGTTTGAAAAGAAATTTGCCAACAGTCAACTGGTGGATTGGGCGAACTTAAACGAGAAAATATTCAAGGGAAAAAATGTTTAGACAATAAGGTGACATTATCTTTTTCCATTAGGTATTATGGTTAGATTTACCATAATATTACGTCAAGGAACTGATCAATTTGAATATAATAATGTTTTGCAAAATCCTACTTATCAAGTCATTAAAAAACTTTTATATAGTTGAGAAAGATTTCACATTTGGATTATTCAAATCACAATCAAAGAGCGACAATTGATAATGTCTGTCACATTGCAAATTTCTTTAAATAAAATTTTCAGTCCACCAATTACTGTTTGGCCAAATCAAGCCACAGCCAATACAGAAATAGTACTCCAATATTGCCAAACACAAAATGTGTTACAATATGCCAACAATATCTGACAAATAACTTATGTTTGCCAAAATAAAAAATAAGTGCTAATTTAGAGTGATGGCATTAAAAAAAAACACATATTTTTACCATTACCATACTTTTTTTCAAATATAACTTAAATTTTTACCCTGTTCAAATGTATTGCTGGATTAGACAGTATTTGTATTGATCCAAGTGTAAGAAAACCACAATCAACAAACTTTTGATGTCCTTTCAAAATCAATTAACAATTTATAAATAATACTAAACAACCCATAAATTAGTATTCAGGAAATAAGGATGTTAATAACTAATTTTAGATATATTTGTCTGGATTTTTAACTGATTAAAAAATTATTACTGTTTTGTAAGATTAATTAATAAACTAATAAAAAATATAAATTTCACATAACAAGTTTTAAAACAAAGTAAGACCAATTATATTTTTTGTTTGAATATTTGAAATCATGATATGATTTGATTTAAATATTTTTCAGCTAACTGTATCCTGAAAGGACATCTTCAATGTAATGTGGTATAATTTTGTGACTTCCGAACCAAAATCAGCCCAAAACTGAGCTAGTCAGTGCCAAAATTAACCTGCACTGACTAGCTACTCTACTTGTATGATGTAACCTATTATCACCCTTTAAACAATAAAAATATAAACAACCACCTGCTGAAAACTTATTTCATTTAATTCAAGTAAGTACCTGCAAGAAATATATATTTGTTCAAACTTGCACCTTGAAGATAAATTAGGTTGTAAAAATGGAATTTTTTCCTTCACAGCTTGCACATTTTTGTGCTTTGGTTTAACCAATAAAATGAAATGTTTATCACTTGGAAATATGTAGCATGAGAAAAAACAGTGACATCTAGTCTTTTTATCATGAAAATGTAAAATGCTAACATTAATCACTCTATGAAGAATTGATTGCTCTGAAATCATATAATAACCTACAAAAGTCAATGTGAACTCATAGCACATGTAATAAATTATGATAAATTAATGTCAAACGTGTAAGCGAACTAATCAAGGAAAAGCAAGCATCAAATGCATGGAACTAGAAACAAAATTTGACCTCTAAAATATTGATATTTTCACAATACAACATAGGTGTAATAATGTATCCAACACATTAGAACAATAATTTTATCTAGTACCAGATCAGTCGGGTGCAAAAAGGTGTTTTATCTTTGACTTTTTGAGTTCTTTCTCAAAAGTTCCTCTAATATACCTAAGTAATACTACACTAAGCAGGATTGTTAAATTTAGGTATGAATTTGACTAATGTAAAAGCAATTTTAAAATTAATTATTAAACCCATAACCATTAAATTTAATCCATTCAGTCCAAGATAGATTGTTACTCTCTAAACAGGGTTTAAGACAAATTTTGAGTAGAAACATTTCAGTCAAAGATAAAACATTTAAATGCAAACACAAAAACACATACTACACGGTATAATTTCTACAATTGCCTATCTTGAGGGTTAGATCAAATTATAAGTAAAATTACTGAGGGCAGACATTATTAAAACGAACAAATAGGGAAATATCTACTGTAATTTTGATAAAAACTTTTATGAAGTTAATATTTTTATTGGTTCTAAAGATACTTTAATATTACGGTTATTTTTTACTCTACTATTTTAAGGCAATTTTGTGTTTAGGTAGCTTAGCGTGAAGTGTTGTTCAAATGCCTACGCACAGATATGTTTACTAATGCCTTTACCATTTAATAATTATTCAAATTCAACTATTTATAAACTTCAATGGAAAATAAAACAATTTTAAAAGTTTTAGTTTTAAATGTGTTTAAAAAAAAGGTAAGATTTGAAAAATCAATACTACTGTCGGGGAAAAAAAGTTTAGACACTCGAGTTTGGAGCTCTACAGAAAAGTAACCAACTAACTTAGAAAAACACGTAGTATATATAAATTTTTGTTGTTTTATTCTACGTATTCCTGTGAAAACAAAAATTGTTTAGCTCGCTTAGGAAATTTTTTATGACATTTGGAAGGTAAAAACTGCCTGTTTTTAGAGTACCAAAAACCATCTGATAACTTTGAAAATTCGCACAATGTAAACTAAACAGCAGAACTTTATCAAACTTTAATACAATCTGGAAACATATATAATGAATTAATTTGTGTAGTTTCAGAATTTTTACTCTACCCAAAAAGTTTTTGTTGTAACTTTTGTAAATCAACTTTTTCTCAAAAACGGCAAACGCTAGAAAAAAAATTAAAAGCTTGTTTCGAAGGTGATTGTTTTTGTATTTGAAATATTGATACTGCTCAACCAAATTGTTACGCATGTTATTTATATAAATTAACAAAAAACTGGATGATCTCGCGCCTGCAAGGGGTGCAGACGCCATCGCCCGCTCTAGAATCCAGTGCAGTGTTGCCACGATGGACCTTGACCGAGCGTAAGGTGATTCACGCAGTGTGTGTCACTGACTGACTCACAGGAAATATCAGGTTTTGCATTCTTCCAAAGGGTCCAAAGTATTACCACCCCAAATATAGGTGCTAAATCAAAATTGTCAGATTCGGAATATGCAATGATTGTCAGTGCAATATTTTTTTTTTTTTTTTTTTAGTGTGGGAGTGACGTTGGGAGGTCCAAGCTCTCATTAGAAAAGGTGATGGGAAATGGTTAATAATTAATAATAACTGCTGTTCAGTTTTGACTCAACAGTTCGCAGCCCATCGCTGCTCAGTGTCCAGGTGTTCAATTTGGCAACACTGTACGGGGTATGCGCCCAGTCAGAGCCGGTGGCGGTCTGGAAGTGCCGTATTCGGCCTCTGCACTATCCAAATTAAATGTTAACTTATACTTATATAAATAATATGCGTAACAATTTGGTTGAGGAGTATCAATATTTCAAATACAAAAATAATCACCTTCGAAACAAGCTTTTAATTTTTTTCTAGCGTTTGCCGTTTTTAAGAAAAAGTTGATTTACAAAAGTTACAACAAAAACTTTTTGGGTAGAGTAAAAATTCTGAAACTACACAAATTAATTCATTATATATGTGTCCAAATTGTATTAAAGTTTGATGAAGTTCTGTCGTTTAGTTTACATTGTGCGAATTTTCAAAGTCATAAGATGGTTTTTGGTACTCTAAAAATAGGCAGTTTTTACTTTTTACTAGGGATGGACGGGATTGAATTTTTAGTTCGGGACGGGACGGGACGGGATTTTTATTTCCTTCCCAATTTTCGGGACGGGACGGGACGGGATTTTTTTCTGTGCATAAAAAGAAAGTACTGTATTGCAGTTACCAAAAGAGACATACGAAATCAATTTTTACCATTTGTGGCACTGATCTATAAAAACCAAAAAATGGGTAACCTATAGAAACATGTGACTCGCGGGTCACGGGGTGATCGTCTGTATGACTCACGGTCACGGCGCGATCGTCGTCATGACTCGCGGTCACGGCGCGATCGTCGGTATGACTCCACGGTCACGGCGCGATCGTCGTCATGACTCGCGGTCACGGCACGATCGTTGGTATGACTCGCGGTCACGGGGTTATCGTCGGTATGACTCCACGGTCACACCGCGATCGTCGTCATGACTCGCGGTCACGACGCGATCGTCGGTATGACTCGCGGTCACGGCGCGATCGTCAGCATGACTCGCGGTCACGGCGAGATCGTCGTCATGACTCGCGGTCACGGCGCGATCGTCGTCATGACTCGCGGTCACGGCACGATCGTCGGTATGACTTCGCGGTCACGGGGTTATCGTCGGTATGACTCCACGGTCACGGCGCGATCGTCGTCATGACTCGCGGTCACGGCACGATCGTCGGTATGACTCGCGGTCACGGCACGATCGTCGGTATGACTCGCGGTCACGGCGCGATCGTCGGTATGACTCCGCGGTCACGGCGCGATCGTCGGTATGACTCGCGGTCACGGCGCGATCGTCGGTAGGACTCCGCGGTCACGGCGCGATCGTCGGTAGGACTCCGCGGTCACGGCGCGATCGTCGGTAGGACTCCGCGGTCACGGCGCGATCGTCGGTATGACTCGCGGTCACGGCGCGGACGTCGGTAGGACTCCGCGGTCACGGCGTAATCATCGACATGACTTCGTCTCCTGCGTTCGCGGACCTGTCGCTCGCAATAACGGCGTTATCGGCACTCGCGAAGCGGAAAAATCGCCGACGATCGGACCAAATCCCGTCCCGAAAAATTCCCGAGTCAAATGTAATCCCGTCCCGATAATCGGGAATATTTTTTTCCCGAAAAATTCCCGAAATTTCGGGACCCGTCCATCCCTACTTTTTACCTTCCGAATGTCATAAAAAATTTCCTAAACGAGCTAAAAAATTTTTGTTTTCACAGGAATACGTAGAATAAAACAACGAAAATTTATATATACTACGTGTTTTTCTAAGTTAGTTGGTTACTTTTCTGTAGAGCTCCAAACTCGAGTGTCTAAACTTTTTTCCCCGACAGTAAGTTAGTTCTAGTTGATGAAGTATCTGAAAACTTATTTAAACACATTCAAATTTGTTATGACAAATGTGTTCTAAATAGAAGGGGACTGTACAACTAATTATTTAAATGTGTACAACACATCTGGATATGACTACAGCAGCAAAAATGTGCAACCAAATTTTTTTATGTTTAAGAGCTGAATTTTGAAGTTAAATATTATTTTCAATTTTCAAATTTTTAAAGATTTTTTATTTTAAACCACACATTATAAATTCTTTCTACATTTCGGACAAAATATCAAATACATTAAAAATGGGGGCTACTTAAAACCAAAAAATTATTGTTACCAATTTTAGTTTGATTTTAACAATCATGCATTTGACTTGCTACTACGGTACGGTATGAGAGCCTGAATCAGCTTAGAAATAACTCATTAGTATCGCTAAGTTCAAAGTTGTAACACAGATGTCAAAATTCCATACAACATATAGACTACAACTGACCTGTGTTTTCCAGTAGAGTTTTCGGAGTGTTTGGTTTGTTGATGATCACAGTTAGTTGAGCTAGAACCATTCCTACATAGGGTCTCATTTCCTCACCTGAAATATGTAACAAATTCTTTAAAAAAATACAGTAAAAGATTTAAGATAGCTACCGTCGAGTGAGTAGTTTTTCACTAAGCAACCGAGATCAAGCCTAAAAAGCTCAATTTCAAGCAGAATTTACTTCGCTCCAAGTACACTTTAGTATTCTTACCTAGTTTGATTGATATTTCTCCAATTGCCCAGGTAGCATTGTTACAAACAGATATCAACTCTGGATTCAAGTTTTGTCCAAGGATTGGAATGAAGTCAGCTGAAACAGAATAACGAATTTAGATCAATGTAATTAGAAGGAACAAATCAATTGACTATTCTTAACCAGGTATTTTTCATAAACACATCAATTAGCGCAAAGAGATGCCTTTTTTAGTGATCGGGAGTGACCATCAAGTGTTGACTATAGCAAATATTGCATGAGTGAAATCTCAGCTTTCTGTGTTGATTCAGATGACGAGTGAATAAAATATTGTTAATTGGTAAGTTTGTTTATCGAGTCAACTACTGGCTCTTACCTATACATGGGTGAACATGCTGGAAGCAGGCCTTGGTCAAATCTCCCAGCAGTGCGAAAGAACTTTGTCTCACCTCGGGCGTGGGGTCCTGCAAACAGAAGTGAAATGGTCATCTTACAGTCAAAGTTACAGGTCTACTAGGGTCTAATGACAAACAACTAGTTTATGGTCAAATATTTACTTTCACATTTGAGTAGTAATGATTGTATGCATGTCAGTCTCTAAAGCCACGTAGATCTTAAATCTTGTGATAGGTATCTTACACGAGACCAGTAGAGCTTAAATTTTATCACTATGGTTCAGTTAGGTAATAGGGGAGAAAGGTGCAAATATTTCTTTACTGTTCCAACAGCACCAAAAGAGGTCACAAAGTAATTGTTTACATTTTTGTTAACAAAAATGTTATGGTTATTAGACAATTGAGCTACAGATGAGTTTGTACTTTGTATGTTTACCTGCATACACTGGTAGAGCAGTTGCATCATGTTGGAGTTGACGACCAGTTTCTCAATGTGGCCGTCCAAGCCTTCTGCCAGTCCTGAGAGCAGATCCAGAGCCACTATCATGAAGTCCTTATCAGGGGCATCGAACTGGTCTGGGTGGGTTGAGTTGGCCTACAAACGTCAATGTAATCAGTTAGAATACTCTTAAGGATCTCCAAAATCTCAACTTTGTAAATCGCAGTTAAAATGAAAGTCAGTAGACGCTTTTCGGAGGTTTTGTGTCCAAAATTTGATTTCACAAGTTTTTGGAATGGCATGCTTGTTGTGTTTTATTTTGTACCCATTTTCTCCGCTGATATACTATAGCTTTGTGTATTTTTTTGTTCGATTTCTTATGAAGTTATTTACATATTTCAACATAGCCTTATTTTGATTGATTTTCTAAAACACAACTATTCTTTTACATAGTTTATATTGAAATAGATTTTTTTCATGAACTTAAAATTGCTTCATTGCGTATAAAATCTCCGCATGCACCCTTTCCTGTAACCACCAACCTTAAAAACCACTAAACACTCAACTATTTAAATACTCATTGTTGTAGTACAGTTTTAGTTGATTAAAACCTTATTAATCTGAGGTGTTTATCATTACAATTTAATCAACTAAAACTGTACTACAACAAGTATCCTAACATTTTGTGTTTTGGCTAAAGGTAAACAAAGATTAAATCATATGTTTTACAATACAATAGTTTTGAACAAATTAAACAAGGAACAGAAGGAAGGCAAAATATTATGACACTCATCATGGTAACTTATATCTCTCGTTTTAAAGGTCATGCGCCTGCTCGAGGGTTATACTGAAGAAGAAGTCCATAATGGGGAACTTGAAATGTATTTTCTCTCGGGTAAAGTTTTTAATAGGGATGGACGGGATTGAATTTTTAGTTCGGGACACGACGGGATGGGATCTTTTCTGTGCATAAAAAGAAAGTCTTGAGTATTGCAGTTACAAAAAAAAAGACATACAAAATCAATTTTTACCGTTTGTGGTACTGATCTATAAAAACCAAAAAATGGGTAACAATATACAGGTACCTATAGAAACTTGTGACTCGCAATCACGGTGCGATCGTCGGTATGACTCGCAGTCACGGCGCGATCGTCAGTAGGACTCCGCGGCCACGGCGCTATCGTCGAAATGACTTCGTCTCCTGCGTTCGCGGACCTATCGCTCGCAATAGCGGCGTCATCGGCACTCGCGAAGAGGCAAAATCGCCGACGATCGGACTAAATCCCGTCCCCGAAATTTCGGGACCCGTCCATCCCTAGTTTTTAAAAGCCAAACATTATCAAAATTAGTAAAAAAAAAGTGACACTGACTGTAGAACTTACAATGTGTTGTTGTAAGGTCTGCTCTACCAGGGAGACACATCTGCGATAAACAGGTTCACAGTAAGGTAGGAACCCGCTCTGTAGTGCAGTGGCGACACTGGACAAGCACTGTAACAAACAATCACCCTCAGTCTATAAGAAACAATTATAATTCCAAAACTTTAGTTTGATATAGACAGATGTTTGAATTAGCAGGATTCAGAACACAGAAATTGAATTGTCACAACTATATTTACCTCCAGCAGAGGGAAGAGATCCTTGTCCTCGTCCTTGAGCACGTTCCACTTCTGTATGAGAGGGGGCATCAGCAGGTTGATGTACTCTTGTTTGTTGAGATGGTGACCCACCGAGTCAGCCAGTGTGCCAATGGCGTCGTAGAGGATCAACAGGTTCTTGTGCTGCAAAATAAACCCATGCTTCAGCAATTGTTCAACTATTGTTTTTCCACTATGGCAGATACTCCACACAATATTTATTTTTACATTTAATTTTCACACAACTTTCATTGCATCCTATTCATTGCTGAACACTAGTTTTTAGAATGAATATGAAATGGCTAAATTACCAAGTAATCTGAACAACATTTGTAAAAATTTTCTAGTGACAAAAAACGGTGAGAATGTGCACAAAGGTAACACACTTAGCACGAGAGTTTAAATTGTAGATATACAGTCTAGGATTCAGTTCTACCGTGTATAAACATGTTAAGACTATTACTCAAACCTGTACTAACGTATACACTATACAAAGAGTGCACACGGACTATTGAAATTACTTGAAAAGCCTTGTAAATCATTATTAAGTTTTTATGCTAGTGCCATTGATGTTTCAAACTACTGTCTACGTTAATTACCTGATATTTGCTGAAGGCAAACACCAATGTCTCCAAGATGAAGCCCAGGTAAGGCACCAGTTCTGTACAGGCCTCTTCCTCTAAGGTGGCAAACGCAGAACACGCAGCCTCCTGCACTCGCTTGTTGGGGTCCAGCACTCTCTTGAGCAGCTGAAACAAGTAACAGAAGACTCATTATCCAGCAAAAACATCAGACGCTCCAATCATTGATTTAGTTTCAACTATAATCATTTAGCAAAATGAAGGGTAAGTTTTCATGGGTGGTGTTAACATTGCCTACTGTTAACTCCCTCACGTTTCGACACCTCGTGCTAGAATTTTTACAAGTCTGAACCATCAGAACTTAATCTTGAACCCAAAAATTTTCAAGACACCAGTTACAGTTTCGACACATCACTATAGGTATCAATTAGTAGTATGTTAATTTTGTGTATTTTACCTCAGTCATGAGTGGTTTCAAGTAAGTCTCATGGTTGGCCTGGCTGACGACCCAGTGTGAGTAGCGTGAGAGTGTCCAGCAGGTGATGGCACGTACTAGAGCCTTCTTGTCGGACAAACAGCTGATCAGGTACGGAATCAGCTCTGGCAGGTTGGGGATCATCCCTTGCATGCAGCCTGCAAGTGACAGATTGAGATTAGAACTGTCACACTATACATTGTGTTCAAACTTAAACTTAGCCTGCAGGGTGTATACTATTTTATTAAAGTGAAATTCCAGGTTTTTTCCTGGTTTTTCGAAGTTTTTCCAGGTTCCCGCGTATTTGTTTGCACTTAAACTATAATCAATTTAAGACTTGCAGCTTAAGTATACAATATAAACTTACATCAAATTTGTTTCAAAGTCCAGTGAGCTAGTGTTGAAAAAGTAATAATTCTTATTATAGTAATCATTTTCATTATCATCATTACTTAAGGACAAGGAAACATATCTTCTCTCTCGATAGCAGCAAAATCCTGAATATTATCTTCATTTTTTATGAACACATTATCAACGGCGGCAAAATCCTGAATATTTCCTGGTCGCTTCCCACAGTGACATAAACGTCATCACAGTCTTACATTATCATAGAAAAATCCTGGACATCTCCCGCGGTATGTATACATTATCGCCGTCTCTCGCAATCACGGAAACGTAATCATCGTCCTCCACGATCGCGGCAAAATCACGAAAATCTTCCGCGGCCGTGTGGACATCACCATTGACTCCCGCGGTCACGTTAACGTCATCGTCATCGACCGCGATCACGGCAAAATAACGAAAATGTTCCGAGGCCGTGTAGACACCATCATTGAGTCCCGCGGTCCCAAAAGGGTCTCGCTCTACTTCCGACTTCTTTTCTTGCTCATTCGAGCTACTTATCAAAGATGTGTTCAGGGTATTTGTTATAAAAGCCATCTTGTGTTTACCAGCGCATCGTGCGGCAAGGGGCGGCCCGGAATAGTCAGGAACGGGTATACCCCCGGGGACAGCGCCCCTACCCCAGTTCCCCGAGGCTCAACCTCCGTTTTCCCAGCACCGGATACCTGACGTGCCAGGGGTCACCCGTCACAATGTAGAGCCCGACCTCTACATCCATGCCGCACTCCCTGACCAAGGACCGAAGTGGCTGGCTTCTCACGACTCACTGAGAATACCCATCGGCAGTGCAGAGCACACATCAACCCCTGCAAACACAACAGGGGCACTCCCAAGGACTCCCAGTGAGAGCGTCGGTCACCCTTTTAGTCGCCTCTTACGACAAGCCCGGGAAGGCTGCGGTTCTATTCTAACCCCGAAACCGCAGGGGGATTTCTGTCCATATTAGTTCATAAGCTTTTCTAGTAATTGTGAATATTAAAAATTGCCAAATTTAAACAAGTTAACTGAGGCAGACCTTCTAACTTCTGTGGAAATGGGACATGGATTAAATAAACTCAAGAGTCAGATAAAATGAATGGTTACATAGGCCAGAATCTTAAAAATTATATTTAAAATTATTGGTACCGGAATGGAACCTTGTGATACTTTATATAGTTATTGAAACCTGTACAGATCCGCAAAACCAGGCAGAGCCATTAGGCCATCCTAGGTGAAGAATCTGGTTTTTGTTGGACAGAAACAAAGCAGAACTTCCATTAGGAAGTGTGCGGAACGATTATTCTGTCCATATTACCTAGTAAGCTTTTCTAGTAATTGTGATTATTAAAAGTTGTCAAATTTAAACAAGTACACTAGGCGGGTTAACGTTATAGCTTGGGAAGTTGGACATGGATTAAAAGACTTGGAGTCAAATAAAATTGATGATTACTTAGGTCTAAATATTGACCAATAAATATTAAAATTATTGGTCCCGGAATGGAACCTTGTGGTACTTTATAGAAAACTGTACAAATCCGCAAAACCAGGCAGAGCCATTAGGCCATCCTAGGTGAAGAATCTGGTTGTTGTTGGACAGAAACAAAGCAGAGCTTTCATTAAGAAGGGTGCGGAACGAGTATTCTGTCCATATTACCTAGCAATAACATGTGTTTTGAGGCACAACAGTAAAAATTGTATGATTGAAACCAGTAAACTGTATTAAACTATCCTTCAACTAACTTCCATGGAGGTGGAGCATGGGTCGGATAGTCTCAATGTCAGATAAAATAGATAGTTATTTACTTAGGCCTACATCCTAACCTTATTATTGATGAAGTGTTTAATTATTCTACTACTGTCCAAGCGAGAAGATGAGTTTGCTCTATTTTGTAAACTAATACTATGGACCTTACCTTCGGCAATGGCGCCCAAAGCGAGTATGCCGGACTCCTTAATCTCCCACTCCTGATGGAAAAGAGTCTCCTTCAGGATGGGGATAAGAACTGGCAGAAGCTCGTCCCGGAACACGTTTGCCAACACGTCCAAAGCTGCCGCACTGCACTTTCCTGTAAGCGTTTACAGGGTGTTATTTTCATGATAACGAACAGTCAACACTAGAGAGAATTGTAAACTGGATATTGTAAAAACTGTGACCAACCATATTTAATATAAACAGAACAGACTTAGCTATTACTAATATCTAAAAAAAATAGCAGGAAATGTTCATATTTAACTTATAACATGGTACAAACAAAAACACTACCTAGAGACTCTTAGGAATAGGCATTTAAAAACCAAACAAAGAGAGCTATCAGACTATTATAGTTAAAAGAATCTATACTTTATTTGCAGGAAAAATTAAGCTCAGGCACCATAGGGAAGAAAGTAGTTTTGTTTCTATTAGGGATGGACGGGTCCCGAAATTTCGGGAATTTTTCGGGAAAAAAATATTCCCGATTATCGGGACGGGATTACATTTGACTCGGGAATTTTTCGGGACGGGATTTGGTCCGATCGTCGGCGATTTTTCCGCTTCGCGAGTGCCGATAACGCCGTTATTGCGAGCGACAGGTCCGCGAACGCAGGAGACGAAGTCATGTCGATGATTACGCCGTGACCGCGGAGTCCTACCGACGTCCGCGCCGTGACCGCGAGTCATACCGACGATCGCGCCGTGACCGCGGAGTCCTACCGACGATCGCGCCGTGACCGCGGAGTCCTACCGACGATCGCGCCGTGACCGCGGAGTCCTACCGACGATCGCGCCGTGACCGCGAGTCATACCGACGATCGCGCCGTGACCGCGGAGTCCTACCGACGATCGCACCGTGACCGCGGAGTCCTACCAACGATCGCGCCGTGACCGCGGAGTCATGCTGACGATCGAGCCGTGATCGCGAGTCATACCGACGATCGCGCCGTGACCGCGGAGTCATACCGACGATCGCGCCGTGACCGCGAGTCATACCGACGATCGTGCCGTGACCGCGAGTCATACCGACGATCGTGCCGTGACCGCGAGTCATGACGACGATCGCGCCGTGACCGTGGAGTCATACCGACGATAACCCCGTGACCGCGAAGTCATACCGACGATCGTGCCGTGACCGCGAGTCATGACGACGATCGCGCCGTGACCGCGAGTCATGACGACGATCTCGCCGTGACCGCGAGTCATGCTGACGATCGCGCCGTGACCGCGAGTCATACCGACGATCGCGTCGTGACCGCGAGTCATGACGACGATCGCGGTGTGACCGTGGAGTCATACCGACGATAACCCCGTGACCGCGAGTCATACCAACGATCGTGCCGTGACCGCGAGTCATGACGACGATCGCGCCGTGACCGTGGAGTCATACCGACGATCGCGCCGTGACCGCGAGTCATGACGACGATCGCGCCGTGACCGTGAGTCATACAGACGATCACCCCGTGACCGCGGAGTCATACCAACGATCGCGCCGTGACCGTGGAGTCATACCGACGATCGCGCCGTGACCGCGAGTCATGACGACGATCGCGCCGTGACCGTGAGTCATACAGACGATCACCCCGTGACCGCGGAGTCATACCAACGATCGCGCCGTGACCGCGAGTCATACCGACGATCGTGCCGTGACCGCGAGTCATGACGACGATCGCGCCGTGACCGTGGAGTCATACCGACGATCGCGCCGTGACCGCGAGTCATGACGACGATCGCGCCGTGACCGTGAGTCATACAGACGATCACCCCGTGACCCGCGAGTCACATGTTTCTATAGGTTACCCATTTTTTGGTTTTTATAGATCAGTGCCACAAATGGTAAAAATTGATTTCGTATGTCTCTTTTGGTAACTGCAATACAGTACTTTCTTTTTATGCACAGAAAAAAATCCCGTCCCGTCCCGTCCCGAAAATTGGGAAGGAAATAAAAATCCCGTCCCGTCCCGTCCCGAACTAAAAATTCAATCCCGTCCATCCCTAGTTTCTATATTACTGACGCCATAACTGAGAATTACATTTGAATTATTTAAGATAATGACTTATGAGATTTTAAAAATTTGTTTTTAATCTAATTCCATCCATAAAAGTTGCACGATTTTCATATAGAAGTTTATGTCAAGATATTCCATAGGATTTGTCCCACGACGAAGCCTCTTCGTAAACCTAAATTTACAGCTACAATAAAATTGTTCAGATCCGCAAAGCCAGGCAGAGCCATTAGGCCATCCTAGGTGAAGAATCTGGTTTATGTTGGACAGAAGAAAAGCACTTTGACCATATGGTTAAGTGCGGAACGATTTATTCTGTCCACAGGCCACACTGTAGCCAATGAAATTGCTACTTACTCAGGTTCCAGTCAGACAAAGAGTTATCATCGTCAAGTCCATCGTCATCGTCGTCCCCCTCCTCCTCTCCGTTCTCTGTGTGTTTGATGGTGTGCGTCCGAGACTTGTGAAACCGAGGCCTAATATCCTCTTCTCTGTCCGGCACCATCTCGTCTTCTTCCACATCACCCTAGAATAAAAAATTAATTCAAGGGACATGGAAAAATTGCTAACTTCTTAAGTGTGGAAGTAGGTAGGCTACTAAAAGTAATTATTTGTTATGAGCTCAAGAAAATTGAACTAAAATGGAAACAGGTTATGAAATCAAACATTAAGCACAATGTATAATGTCTCATCAAAATAAAAGGCAAGTTTCAGGTTTACCAGGCTGAATATTATAAATTTCCCGGACTTTGAGGTCGGCTGGACCCTGATGTGTGTGAACAATTTTTAAGAATCTTAAACCAATATTTTAAGTAATTGTTTCAGAAAAGCTTTAAATAACAATTTGAAATGTTCAGATCCGCAAAACCAGGCTGAGCCATTAGGCCATCCTAGGTGAAGAATCTGGTTTTTGTTGGACAGAAACAAAGCAGAACTTCCCATTAGGAAGTGTGCGGAACGAATATTCTGTCCATATTACCTAGTAAGTTTTACAAGTAATTATGTAGCCTATATGAAAAATTGCCGAATTAAAAAAACTTAGGTCCTAACTAATGTAGACCTTTTAAAAAAAAAAAAAAAAAAGAGGTTGGCGGCCTCTTTAAACCTTGCGTTTGCCCGTCCACATAGTGCCCGTACGTGGATCGTTTACAGCAAAGCAAGGAGTGAGCCGGTACAGTACAAAGGTGAACTGTACTGATAAAATGTTATCGGCAGTGACCAGGATCCGAACCCACGACATCGCTGCCTTGGGCCCGAAGTCCGCGAAGCTACCGACTGAGCCACCGACTCACTAAATTAACCTTCAAACCTCTATGGAAAGAGGGAGATGGATTAAAACGACCAGAGAGTCAGATAAAATTAGGAGCTATCCAGAAATAAGTTTTAAACATTACGTGAAAATTAATGGTCCCGGAATAGAACTTGTGATCATTTAAAAGGTATTGAAAACTGTACAGATCCGCAAAACCAGGCAGAGCTATTAGGCCATCCTAGGTGAAGAATCTGGTTTTTGTTGGACAGAAACAAAGCAGAACTTCCATTAGGAAGCGTGCGGAACGAGTATTCTGTCCATATCACCTAGTAAGCTTTACTAGTAATTGTGCAGCCTATATAAAAAAATGACGAATTAAATTAACTTAACTAAGGCAGACCTTCTAAATTCTATAGAAGAGAGACATGGATTAAAACGACCCAAGAGTCAGATAAAATTGAAGGTTACCCAGGCCTAAATATTAAACATTAAATATAAAAATTACTGGTCCCGGAATAGAACTTTGTGATAATTTATTGAAAGGTATTGAAAACTGTACAGATCCGCAAAACCAGGCAGAGCCATTAGGCCATCCTAGGTGAAGAATCTGGTTTTTGTTGGACAGAAACAAAGCAGAACTTCCATTAGGAAGTGTGCGGAACGAATATTCTGTCCATATTACCTAGTAAGTATTACTAGTAATTATGTAGCCTATATTAAAAATTGCCGAATTAAAATAACTTAACTAAGGCAGACCTTCTAACTTCTAAGAAAGAGGGACATGGATTAAAACGACCCAAGAGTCAGATAAAATCAAAGGCTCTTCAGGCCTAAATCTTAAACATTAAATATAAAAACTACTGGTCCCGGAATAGAACTTTGTGATCATTTATTGAAAGGTATTGAAAATTGTTCAGATCCGCAAAACCAGGCAGAGCCATTAGGCCATCCTAGGTGAAGAATCTGGTTTTTGTTGGACAGAAACCAAGCAGAATTTCCTTTAGGAAGTGTGCGGACCGAATATCTGTCCACATAAATTTACTAATTAGATATGAATTAATTGTCTACTAAGAGTAAAGTAGAGAAACATCGCCATGTGCCTCCTACACTAAAACGTGCCTAATTTGAATTTTCCTTATCTAACTTTTCAAATTCAAATTTCAATACAGCTCCCATGGTGTTTGAATTTTCCAAGTTTCACTGTACCTTGAGCAGTATGATGTCTATCTCCGAGTACTTCATGCCATGTACCAACACAGGCACCAGTCTGGGCAGATGTTGGGCCAGTACTTCCTTGCAGATGGGCTGTTCCGCCAAAGACAGCCAGAATTCACAAGCCTCCAGAGCCACGCCGTCGTCCGGGTCTTGGGTCCTCATCAACATGTACTGCAACAGGCAGAATACGTCATACAAGAATGCGTTTTAAAAATCATACACAACAGTATCAAATACTGTACTTTGTAATGAACGATATAATTTAATCAAAAAATCCTGCACAACATTAAAAAACACTTGCCACCATAGCATTATAAAGTTTACAAACCAAAGAACTTAAAAACCAAATCAATCCAAGTGGTGACCTAATGACTTTAAAATTGGGGTTTGAATTTTATACGTTTTGTAAATATGCAAACCTACAGAATATGTGATTTTACGTAACTGGCTTGACACATACCTCGACGATGTTATGCATATGAGGTATAAGTCGGTCCATCCGAACTTCCAAGAGCATGACAAGAGCTCGACACACGTTCTTGCGCACCTCTGAGTCGTCATCCGAGGCCAAGTGGAAAAGATTCTATGACAAAGTACACATCAGCCATCAACAGCTCAATTGAGTATATAAATAAACAGCAGTATACACAATTTGATTTAGAATGCTTTGTATGAAATTTATTTTAAGATGAAAAACAAAACACTCTATAAAGAACTCATTATGAAATGATATGTACCTAGAATAAAGCTAGACACTGGGCTAAGTCCTCGATTCTGAGCGTATGTCTATTTCACAAAAGTTTTACAAGTCCTCGATTCTGAGTGTATGTCTATTTCACAAAAGTTTTACATTTATTTAGACTAGAGCCAAGATCCATTTGGGATTTAAGAGGACATTTATCTTGAGAAATCTCTTCCAAACATAGAATTGCAAATTGAAAATTTCTTGCCATATTACTCAGCAGGCTGATGTTGCTTTTGTTTGTAAAACTGTACCGTATTTTCTAAAAGTTTACATGTAGTTTTCTCAAATACTCACTTCAATGAACAGGTCAATATGGAGCATTAAAGCTTGTGTACGAATTATGATGAACTGGTTGACACAAGCAATGGCGTGAGACCTGTGAAAATAAATACAAATTAGAATTTCACAATTTTAACCAACCACCACATTTCCAATAAAGAATCAAAACTGGGATAATCATTACCAACCACAGACTTTCTATATTGTATTTTTATAAAAAATAAGAATACAATTAATCAATGTGTTAATTTAGTTTTTCCTAGGAAAAATCATTTGCTACAATATGGTATTATTAGTCAACCAGTTTAGTTTATTCTATAAAATTTGTATTTGTGCTTGATAATTATAGGCGAGCTTCTACGAGGTATGGTAGGTTAAATAACGACTAGTGTTTACAATAAAACACCTGTTTTAATCCAGCACAACTAATTACCTGATTTTTGCACTAGAGTGTTTGAAGAATTGTAAAAACTTGGGGATGAGAATATTTAGAGGCCTATTCAAAGCATCACTGTCAAGGTATTCGGTCGAGTCTTCACAGATTTTTTGTAGTGCACCAAACGCTCCCTGTAATCAAATGAGGTATATACAGTGCAAGAATTATACATTAAATAGCTATTAATTGCTATAAAAAGTCCAACATCGATGACTTGTGGGGAGTGATAAGGAAGAAGCTCCCAACACTGAGTTGCGCCATTAGAAACTTGAGATATTAATCCAACGATAGGTAATTGGAGAGATGACTGTGTGGCATACAAAATTTAAACAGTATCAGGAATCTGACACATACTTTCTCCGTTTAGCTTATCATCAACCTTTATCATGGGTAAGCAGTGGGAGTAACTAAGATATTTTATAGGGAACGTCACAAAAGTTACAATAACTTTTGAACCGCAATTTTAACAGCAATGAGGACTTGTGCTAGTTTGTTTAAAATTATAAGGACCATAACATGCTAATTTCAATCAAAACACGCTTATTTCAATAATCCAATTTTACGTTATTTTATCTTTTTTATGGGAAAATAAGATTAGCTACCAGTTTTAGAACTTTTTATGAAAATTGGACCACAGGTGTGGTCTGAGTAGCTCTGTACAAATCCATACACACTGACAGACAGAAAGACACATACACAGACAGACATCACTTTGAAAACCACTTTTTTGGGTCCAGGGGGACCTAAAACGGATATCCACTCAGAACTCAAAAATTTTGACAAAAACAATACATTCTCCATTACTATGGTATAAGGTGAGAAAGTAATACAAAATTACAGTGGTGGGGATAGGTTCTTATGCCTGCCACTCACCTCGCAAAAATTGTAGTCTGGATTGTCGAGCATGTTGCACAGTGCAGGTAGCAGTTCCGGCCATGTCGCCAGCTCTCCCTTGGATGCGATGGTTGTTATCAGTATGCCTACAGTAGCCCTTATCAGAGGACTAGGATCTCCTACCGCGCTCAGACACTCCGCCTTGATAAAGTCTGACACTTCCGGATGGAACTTGCTGTAGTGAGCCTTGACATTGTTCTTCAGAATCAGTCCGCTGAGTGATCTAGTGGGTTCGTCTGTGAAAAAAATACATTTTTACTCAGGCTGTATAAATTTACATCTAGGAAATATTTCATTCTATTTCTATTTTGTTTCAAATTAATTTCCGGAACTATACTTTACTAAAAACTACTTTTAAACTGATTTATAATGTGTAATACTTGCAGCAAATGTTAAGTAGTTTTTCTATGTAGCCCAAGGAAATTTTTGTACTTTTTTTTCTTTTTCTGGTTTACATTTTAAATGTAGGTATCGGAATTTAAAAAGTATTTTCAAACTAGAATTGTGTAAATATTGTAGAGTATTCTGAGCTTCTGTTAAGTAAACAATAGACAATAGACAATAGACAATAGACAAATAATCTTTATTTACACATTCATTAAGAATAGTAGTAGCGTCAATTTACAATTTTTTCTAAATGTTTGGTTGAGGTGTTGTTTAGTCAAAGACCTGTTGATGGTATTCTTCTAAGGAATAGAAAGGTCGATTAATGAGCCATTGATGCAAAGCTGGTTTGAGGTCATCTTCTGACTTGCTTCTTAGATCTGGAGGTAGCCTGTTGTAGATTTTCATTCCTGCGTATGAAGGTTTCTTTTCAAACTGTGCCGTGCGATGTTGTGGAAGGTTGTACTGCATGGTGTTTCTCAGGTTGTGTTGGTGCATTTCGCCACGCCTTGTAGGGTTATTTCTTACTGCAAATAACACAACTTCCTGGATGTAGAGTGCTACAAGGGTAAGTACTTTGAGTGACCTGAATGCTTCCCTGCAGCTGTCGAGTCTGTGGAGTCCTGCAGTTATTCTGACTGCCTTTTTTTGTTTTCTAAAAACTCTTTGCATGTTAGTGGCAGAGGTTCCACCCCATGCTACAAGTCCATATCTCATATGCGACTCGAAAAGTGCAAAGTATGCTACTTTTGTTGTCATGTCATCTGTTGCATTTTTTATATGTTTAAGAGCATAGATGGTTGAACTTAATTTTTTACATATATTGTCCACATGAGGGGTCCAGGTTAAATTCTTGTCGAGTGTGATGCCCAAAAACTTAGCTTCATCTTCCACTTCTACATCTGGGAGTCGAGGCACTTCTTGAGATTTACGGCCAAAAGCTATTTGAGTTGTTTTAGACGTGTTTACTGCGAGATCATTGTTATAGCAGTATTGGTAGGCCATACTGAGTGACACATAGGATTTTACTTCTAGATTTTCAGCTAGTGGTTCATTAAACACTAAGGTTGTGTCATCAGCATACATAAGAGTAAGGCAGGCGTCTCCTATTTGTTGCGGCAAATCGTTGGTAAAAAGAATAAACAGTACCGGACCCATAACTGAACCTTGGGGAACTCCTCGATTTATTGGTTGAAAATTTGATCTTGTTTTTCTTATTAGGCTGTTATCTCTGTGCCTTAGTTCTACAAACTGACTCCTGTCTGTAAGGTAGCTTTGAAACCATTCTCTTACTATCCCTGATACCCCCAGGGAATCCAGCTTTTTAATGATTAGCTGGTGGTCAAGGCAGTCAAATGCCTTACTGAAATCAAGAAAGATTCCTGTTGTTAGATTTCCTTCATCTAGGCTGTCAATCAGGGACTTAACCATCTGAATTATTGCTGTTGTTGTGGATTTCCCTTTTGTAAATCCATGTTGAAGGTTGTTTAGTAGGTTGTGATTTGTGCAGTGGTCTAAAAGTCTTTTTAACCAACTTTTTCGTATATTTTGGAGAAGGTGGAAACGAGGGAAATTGGTCTGTAGTTGCTTGCTTCTAATGTGCTACCTTTTTTAAATTTCGGGTATACTTTAGTTATTTTAAGTAGTGAAGGAAAGATGCCTTGTTTTAGGGACTTATTTATCAAATCAGCCAATGGTAGTGCTAGTTCATTGCAGAAATGCTTAAGTATTTTTGACGAGATTTCATCAATTCCAGACGAGTTTTTTGCTTTAAGTTTGTTTATAATCATTTTAACTTCCTTCTCGTCTGTGCTTTGAAAGGAGGAAAACAGTGGACCTGTTTGAGTTACGTCAGGAGTTTGAGCTGTGGTCTTTAGGTGTTTTTGTTTCTCTACTGTTTTTTCTCCTACTTGTGTAAAAAATGTGTTCAAATGCTCTGCAACATGGGTCACATTACTTATGAGTTGGCCATCTACTTGAAGGGTTATTTCATTTAGGGATGTTTCCTTTTTGGACCACACTGTGTTTATTGTTTCCCAGATAGCTTTAGATTTATTTTCAGCTTTCATCAACTGGTCAGAGTTAACCTTTTTCCGCATCGTTTTCAAGTACAGGTCATAGTTCTTTTTATTTTCAATAGAAACCCTTCTGTCATCTGGATTTCCCGTCACCTCAAACTTTCTTAGAGCTTTAAGAAATTCGGCTTTAAGTCTCACTGCTTCTGGGTCCATGGAGAATTTTAGTTTATGTTTTCTTTGTATTTTTATCTTCTTTTGGGGGCAGGCTGCATCCATAGCTACTCTCACTCGAGTGATTAACAGTGGAACTGTGACTTCTGTCTTTGAACAAGTCAGAGAGATAGAGACACTGAGATTGAGACAAAATAGGGAGCTGGTTGGCAGATTGGCAGCAGGAAGTATGTGTGCATTTGTGCGGGAGAGGCAGATAAGATAGTGATGCGGTATGTAGGCCTACTTTTAAGTGTATACGTAATAAAGTGAGATTATATGGACTATTTACTAGCAAAAATAATCAGAAAATTAAGCACTTGGAAAACAGCTATTTTCTATTTTAATAGTCGTGTTTTACAAAATCTAATTTTTGTGATTATATTTTATTTTTGGCCTCCGATTGCATGTGATTGGCTACTTTAACAAATACCGTGATGGGCTGGACTTTATTATACAAATTTATTTTATTGTTTACAATATAAGTCACAGTTCACTTCAGAAAGCCATTATTTTATTTTAGTTAAAAAGTAAATATCATAGCTTACACTAACTTAAATCTACGGTATCAAAACGTTTTTAATAAAAATCATTTCAAACTAATTTATCAAGAAGGTATTAAATTAGTCCAAGGAAAGTCAATTACCGGTACCTATTAATGACTTAAAAATAGTTTTATGTTATCTAAATATAAAAACAAATACTGAAATAAATCATAAAAAATTAGTAAACATGAATAAAAATAAGTCAACGTTTAACTAAATGGTAAAATAACAGGGTAGGCTACATACCTTCAGTTGTTAATTTGGTCAGGACAAAAATTAGGTAGTTGTTGAAGTCTGGAAATTTATTTAATTCTTCAAGTTTCTGACAAAATATTAAGGAAAATAACAATATATAGGCTAACTTTAAGTACGGTAAAACTTTGTTTTAGAAAAAGAACAATTTGAATGTTTTCCATTGCTTGAACTTGAACTTGGATGTGTTGCTAGCCTAGTGGTTAGCGTCTAAAACTTTGGTGGGAGAGGAACGGGTTCAATTTGTGGGTTTTCCGCAATAACATGTGGGTTAGGGTTAGGACTGCTTATCATCCTTAAGCGTTTGAGCACACATTAAAATGCTACTGGTAGACGAGGAAACAAGATTTTATTTTGCACCAGCCCATGTTTCATGAAAGACACATAAATATATTTGAAGAATGGTAAGCAATTAAAAACACCAATTTAAATTATTTCCTCCATTGAACTTAGGCTACTTATCAGTAAAACATATGTCAGTTGAAATTGATCATCCAGTAGTAGCGCAGCTTGGCAACTTGATAAGCCTACTACGTAACTTATGTTACTAGATTCTAAAGGGAGCCCAAATTTATCAGTTTTTCAATCCAACGCTTATGTTAGTTACGGTACGTTCTATTAATTAACAGTTTTTTTTTTTCATGTTTTGTGTCTTAAGTACTGGAAGTATCTAGGCATTATCCTGAGATACTGGAGGGAATTTATTTTTGTTTCCAGTGGCACAAGGTCAACTGAATTCTTTAGTAACTTAGGAGCTCACTAGTTCACTATGAGAGGAACAGTATGTTGCCCAGAATAGGCCTACAGTGCCTTGGACTTCCACGGCAACCTGGCGGGTTTTAGTAGAGTGGTCAAGCAACTCCTTGTCCATTAACAACAGCCTAGAAGCTATGTGGTGGTGGAAAGTGAGTTGAGCAGTTGGTCTTGTCGATACCTTTGAAGGGTCGTTCAAAGGTAAATTAAAGGTCCTTTAAAGGAAATTATTGAGAGTGTAGATTTAGATTGTTGTGTCAGGTGGCATCTCTAAAGGGCCACGCCTGAGCAGACTGATTGGTGCACAAGTGTTTTGTTAAGTAAAATATTGATAAAATAAAAAATATTTTTTTCTTCAAAACAGTAAAATCTCAATAGTTTGACATTCGATAGTTCGACACTCCCTATAGTTTGACACGGGCTGTCAACATGACACAGCAACGGCCAATGATGGGTTTGCCAAGGTAAAAAACAACAGCTATCTTCTTGTTTCCGCCGCGATCTCAATACATTAGCCATCCCATTACTTTACTTTTTTACATCAAAAGTACAAAACAGTTATTACAAACTATTTTATAGGCCTACAGTAAAAAGCACAATAATGTACAGTTGAGATGTAAGTTAAGTTTGTTTATGCAAGTCAAGTTTTATACTAGAGTAGGCTATTCATTAGGCTAAATTTGTTTGCTTTATCTCCTCCTTTAACTTTAGTTCCGACATTTCAATAATTTGACCCGCCCTTAGTCCACAGTTTCAAATTATCAAGGTTCTACTGTATTTTATATGTTCTTCGCAAATATTTAACCTAGCATATAAATAAGTTTATCATTATTGCTTATCGCTTAGTTGAATGATATGGTTAATTACTTAGGCCGAGATCAATTTTTATCTCTAATTGTTGTAAATTATAATAGGGATATAATTGATCATTTATCGTTTCTTTTTGTTAGTGGAATGTTGCCCATTGTTAATGACTTACAATATTTACTTATTTATCCTATAGGCCTATTTATTAATTTTAATTGTTAGCCTATGCCTGTTTTCCATGCAAATTCATAGTTGTTAGTAAGGGAATGGTCTAATTTTTTTATTGCTGAGTTGGATGTAGTTGTTACTTATTTTTTATTGTTTTGTTACCTAGCCTATTGTCTAAGTAGGCCTATCTTGTAATCATATTTTTAAGTTGTAATATGAATTAGTTTGGTAATAAATCTGTCATATTTTATAACAGTAATATGATTGCATTATTGATCTCATGCTTGTTAACATTAAGCAAATTGTACTGTAAAATACTAAAATATCAAAAAGGAATATATCCGTTGAAATAATAAACACAGGACCTAAGGCTATTCTCTGACAAAGTCTAAAATGCTGATTGAAAAAAAATATGTGAATTGTTAATCTGTTAAACATTTAGTGGAACTTTGATGCCCACTCCTTTGGATAATTTATTACAAATAGATTAGTCTTACTGAATTAATTGATCTCACAGATGTTTACAAGTTATCAATTAGGTAAATGTTATTTGATTTAAAACAACACATTGTGTAATTTATGTTAAATTCCACTATTCCACTCCAATGTTGCCACCATAGTGAGATGAAAAATGCATGCAGAATTCATGAGTTTCATTGGTTATTGTAGTAAAGTTACAAATTTCAAGGACGATGCTCTCATTATTTCAATACAAATGAGTTTTTCTGATTTCAGCAATTTAACACTAATACCGAAACCCTACCCAGGCTGACGCTAACAGAAACCCCCAGTCTGTGAGACTCCATTTGAAATTTGAAAATAATGGACCCTGCTTATAAAAACACACACCGAAATCCTGAGCCTGTGAAACCTCGCTTTAAAATACACTAACGATGGGCTTCTGAGACGCATGTTATAAACATACAACCTGTCAATGTCACAGCATCCACACAAAATTAACAAATAATACATCAAAACGTAGGGGAGAAAAAGGGGGGAAGGTATTAGGGCAATGGAATCCCCCAAGTAAACAAGTGTTGCCAACATGCGTAACTTGTGAAAATTCCCGTGGGCCTGACAGACCGGGGTTTTGGTATATAAGTGTTAAGTTTTAAGAGACAGTTTCTTTAATACTATTAAACTCTGTACAGTACATGAAATGCAACTAGCTTATTTTAAGTAAATTATTTAGCCTACGAACAAAGTTAGGCCTAAAAACAAATCAGGCCTTGGGAAGCTTAATGAAATTTTGGAGAAGAATTAAAAAATATTAAGTAGGCCCTATAGGCCTAGATCTTAGCAAAATATGAAATTTATACAATCAATAAACGTCAACCTATGGTTCAAAAACTCCTGACAAATACGTTTAAGTTTCCTGCGGAGTCAGTGAGTGAACTTAATCACTTTTCGCCCCATAGCGCTGGCGTCCCTTATAGCAGAGACCAGCAAGTGGTAGCACAACGCCATTTTTACATTCCGGAGAACAACCGGAGGGCGGGAAAGTTTGTTATGTGATCTTCAATCATAAACGATGTCCTCCAATGGAGGAATAAATGGAGGAAATATTGCTGCTGCACTCTTTTCGCAAAACTGGGAACTACCACCAGCCAATGCACTCTGTATTAAAAGGTGAATATAGTCGTCCACAGCGTTTTGAGCAAAGGGAATTTAGACTAGTAGGTCTATATTCGTCTACAGCACGGTAAGGATCAAAGCATACTGTAAAAAAGTGGACAGGTAGCCCTCTTCTTGAATAGGCTAAGTAGAAATAGGCCTAAGATCAATAACTTAGCCTATATATTCAACAACACATCAAAAAGTTAGTTGAATGAAGTGCCCAATTCAATAGGCTAAAACTTGGCCTATATTGAATGAAAATTTCATCCGATAATAAATCCTAGTCTACGTTCTCTGCAAACTGGACCCAATAAGCGTAATTTTACCTATACCAGTTAAGACTTTGACCAACATTTACCCCATAAGATGATTAAGTTCACCCTAAAATCGACTCCCTGCCACTCACGACTTCAGCTGGTCTTGACCATAGCCACCTCTAATGATAGGCTACAAGGCCGCAGTGAGACCAAAGTGGCAACGCAGCTTTCGCTGTTCTGAAACAGCTGTAGCCAATACTTTGTAAAGTAGGCATAATTTTTAAGTAAACTTAATAAACAATAATTAGGCTAACTTATGTTTCAAAGATGTTTTAGGGTACGGTAAGCTTAGTTACAGTTTCTGTACTGGGCTTAGGTTACTTACCCTACTTAATTTCAATTCAATTAGCCTAACTTAGTACTTAACACGTTCGCTGCGGGTTACCGCCCGGACGGTAGCTCCGCGCTCCGCCACGCTGCGGCGCGCCGCCCGGGCGGTAATGTGCACCCGCCAAACTTATTCCGTTTGAGTGCAGCCGCACTCCGGTGTAGGTCGGAGTATTTTTGTCCGTGCTTCGTGTATGACAGTGGCAGTTTTGTGGTGCAATCCATTTGTAATTATCGTTACTCGTTCCGAAACTATACCTGGTGGATTTTGACTCACTCATTACGTTTGTTAACTGTAATTTTGTGCTATATTCATCTTGTTTTATTGTAAAATAATGGCATCTACTATGGGTGTTACCGTAAGCAAACTACGTCGACTCTTGTCATGAAACAGGACATCACCACACGTTATTTGATATTCGTCATACCGAAATATGAAAGCCAACAGCCCGGCAATCAGGTTTGTTTGACGCTGCGGGCTGCGCCGCACTGGGGCTACGCTTGCCATTTCATGGACAGCAGCGAACGTGTTAAGTTAAACCTCCATTCAATTTTTCATCAGCATGTTTGGTTGGTTAAAAGGTTAGATTAGGCCTACTTAAGTTATCCTACCAGAAACCATTAACTTATTGATTTAATTTTAAAAAAGTAACTTAATTGATTGGTTAGGTCTATTAACTTTAGGGTTCAACCTATATTTGGATAGCCCAGTTAAGAAACTGCATGCCTACCTGTTTGTTATTCACTGTTATTAACTTAACTTAACATGGCTGGTGTGACTAAAAAAAGCCATTGGTGAATGGTAAGTTATTAGGCCCTAAGTTATTAAAAGCTATTCCGGTGCGACCTTGCCACACACCGACGCTGCGGGCTTGTAACAGAGGTGGCTATGTCAACGCTGTTATGTTGCCAGGAAACAACAACTAGGCCTAGCATAACAAATGCTTTGGGTCTGGGGAGAATATGAAATTTATCGCCTTATTTAAATCTTACAACTAACTTAAGTTAGTTAAGTTACAACTTTAATTAAATTACACCTTACCAATCTAGCCTGCAATAAAATAAGCCTATTAACTTAGCCTATACCACAGAAAACGTACTACTAACCCAGAATGCCAACCGCATGGTAAAAAACATTAAGCGGTTTGAGAGAGCTTTGCCTGTCAATCCGTAGGCAGCGCCACAAGCGTTGCCATGCAATAGCATAGCAACGCTGGTGGCGCTGCCTACGGATTGACAGGCAAAGCTCTCTCAAACCGCTTAATGCTTTTTACCATGCGGTTGGCATTCTGGGTTATAGTAGTACGTTTTCTGTGCCTATACATACTTAGCCTAGGCTGGGCCTAAGCTAGGATACTTGTATGCCTAACGCATGCGCCAAATGTATTTGAGAAAAAACAAGGCTGAGGCTAATCCTAAAACTCTGACAAAAGTGACAAAGTCTGGGAGAAACAAGAGTTACAAGTGCTTTGTTACTCAGATAGGACTAGGCAAGAGAACTACAGCAAATGCCTAGGCAAGCTTTCAATTGGCCATAAAAGGATCACAAGGCTATTCAAAAGAATATAAGTTAGGCTAACTTAAAGAACATTATTGTTAAACTTGGGTCTAAATTAGTTTCAGATCTTACTTAGACACAAATAAGACTTGGCTATCATATGTTAATTTGCTTCTAAAACTATATTTGATCGATTCAAATTTTGCAAGAACTTAAGGGCTGGGTTCAAAATTCGTTTTGAGCATCCCCCCAAGTTTATATTCTATTACACATGCATTCCAATGGTAGCCTAATATGTATAAAAAAGGATACTTGTTGAACTGATCGCTGAACTTCATTATCCGGCGACTGAGATTCTTTTAGAAGTTGTAAAATTTGTCGAAGACCATCTTCTTGAGGTGTCCACGCCATTTTCATCGTTGTCGAACCAGGCCTGTCTGCAGTCGAAGTCGATTGCAAGATCGCGCACACCTTCTAACCGGATGTCGAATAAAATAATTTTATTGATGGGTAAAATCAAGATTCTTCTACACAATAAGATTGAAACATAAATTGATTGCGAGTTACGATTATGATAAAAGTGGTTCTCGGTAAAATTAGGAATGACAATTTAGGTATGTCCGAGACTCGCAATGAATGATTGCAGCTTGCAGTTTGCAGACCTCAGACCTGCGAAGCGAGTTAAAACGGAAGTAGCACCATTGATTTTTCAAATACAAGGCTATTAACGGTTATAACAGCTGACTATTGAGTATTGATCGCCAGTAAGTCCTGTTAAGAAAATTTTCCAAAGTCAATGAATATTGTCAGCGGGATCTTAGATTATAAATGACAAAACATTAGTAATACCAATACCGTTAACTGCACAATATCTGTTCTAACAATTTATAATCCCAAATAAAGTTGCAAATATATATTTTTCAAGAAGTTATTATTTTAATATATGCCACTGTCCATCCGAACTTGGCTGGTCAAAAAAACACGAAGAGGAGGTAATGGTAAAGGTAATAAATAAATGGTTTGATTATTATAAATAGTGTATAAAGAACTGTTTGTCTCACAAATACCATGCTGGGAGCTGTATTTAAGATTTTACCTTAACTAAAAACCTCAAACAACAGAGGATTACGTTTATAAATATTTCATCATCATTCATCAGTAAGCTGAAATATGTTCGCACTATACGATGAAGCCCACAAAAAAACTAAAAGAGTCATGGGCCAAGGCCAAGTGTGGAATTTCACAAAAATATCATTGCAAGAGGGTGTTACATATAATAATCAATGGTATATGTATATGCCTACAAGTCACGGCCAACCTAAACTCCAATGTTGGCCATGCTACAAGTAGTACGTGTATACTAAGTGGCATTTTAAGCCTATAGAGAAGACCGCACTGCTGGGTAGTTGAGTTCTTTTGTTTTATTTTCTGTATCGATAGGGAAATGCCGTATCATCATAGGGTCTAAAGGCTCACTTTACCACCCTGTTGCTGGTGGTGGGACTCTCAACCATTAAAAACCTATTGGTCCAGCAGGCAATGTAATTTACCCTCTTGGAAAAGCAGTTTGCAATACTTCAAGAGGGTGCCTCCTACGCCAGAGATGTCGACATTTCAGCTACGATGTCCCAACTGGTTCAGCTATCACTAGTGCATAACAGCTGTTGGGTTCTCTTCACTTTTATAACCCCAGAGTTCCACGATTGAGGATTGGACATCAGCATCCAGATAAACAACTAACTGTGTCCGGCGAAATAGGGCCAACAACCATTTCGAAGTCTCTATTGACTACTTCCCACCTCAGGAAATAGAAAAAGGCGTGCGGTACGTCGTAATCGGGAGTCATCGTTTGATTTGATCATATGACATATGTTGATATCCGACTTTCCCTTCTTATGAAAGTATAGCCCCTAAAACAGTCCTGTCCGGTGAGCAGTTGTGTGAGATAGAAATTGTGTTTCTCAGTGCTATCACTCAACCCACCTACGGGGTTCCCCACCGAGATCTCATCGTCAATCTTCCTCGTTCATCCCCCTCCCTCCCAGCGATATCGCCAGTCTTCCATAGTGCGTTCTCGGGATTCGGTACGGCTCAAATCACACCGTTCCCATGTCTCACATCTGAAAAGAAGAACGGATGAGTACAACAGACATCAGCACCTGCTGCAAACTGGACTACCAACATTTCTCGTCATAGGCTGCTCAAATTAGCCACAATCTTTCTATGTTCCCGGAATGTGAGCCGGACCTTCAATCTCATGCCATACCCATGTGTTTTACAGCGGGTTCCATCGTGACTATCACTTCCCGCCCAACCAAGCGGTACGATTGGGTTCATCCTCTGTCTAGTGAGAAGCACAATCTCGGTCTTTTACGTCAACAAAGACAATTAAGTCATGGTCACCCATCCACCTCATCCGTTGACCCATGACCAAGGCCAAAATAAATATTCTTTTCCTACAGTCACCCGACAAAGTTGGCTTCCTTGTACTGTTCATAGTACAGAAAGCTGCTAATTGCTGCATATTTAGACTTTACCGTACGGTTTATACTTTGCCGCACACCAGGATTCCAACGAAACAACACAAAACAGCATGGTTCTATTATGCACGTAATCCGTGTACGCTTGGAAATAGGTTGGCAACACTTAAAGATAATAATACTATGAGCAGCTGATTGACTATTATAACTACGATTTAACCTGTCATTTCGTGTTTATAGTTTCGGTATTTCTGAACTTTCTGGACTTTTCATTTAAACGTTTTTAAAACATTCCTACGATCTTAATAAACAAGAAAATACCTTTAAAGCATTTTTTTTAGGCGCGGAAACCACTTCAAATTACAAAAACATACGGAACTATATTCTCAAAACGCGGAGCACATTTCTTGCCGAGGATACCTAAATAGCGGAGTGATACGGACTGCGGGTACTACTTTCTCTAGGGCACCATTTGTGTTGCCGGCTGAACCTAAAAACGTGTTGTATAGTGTTTGAAAGACTAATTATTTATTTGCTTAATAGTGACTGTAGGAAAAATATAATGTGTAACACGAGTGAAAAAGGCCTTTGCTGCACTCGAGATCATTCCGCATGCGTAAACATTGCTCTCGTGTGCAGCAAAGTGCCACTTTCACCACTAGTTACACAAATAACTATTTCAGTTATAGTTACGTGATATCATACACATAACCAACAAAGAAAGTCTTCCGAGGCATTTCCATCCATATGATCCCATCGGAACCCACTGTTAAATCTCTCCGCAACGCACAATTTGTTTTTCAGGATTAATTTTGCCAACAGTGTCATTTAGAGGCTTCTGATTGACTATAACCATAGATAAAACATACTCCCTTAGTAGATTTCCCATCCTTATGGAACAGCTGAAGCCAATTTTATTGTTAGTTCTGTCCGTTTTTCTGTAGAGGTCGTGTTTTGTTTACAATTTGTTTCCCGTTATTACAGCCATTTAAAACCTCGTTTAACCAAATAATACGATCTAATCATAAACAATAACTTGTCCCCTAGTTATATAACCAAACAGTAAAGCACAAATCAAGAAATTAGCCCTAAAATAATAGAAACAAAGTTTCGTCGACACTAGCGCCTTTGTGTCACGTACATGAACTAGACACGAAAAACGTTCTTCAAAATTTACAATGGGATGAGAAGTCTACTTGTGTTGGTTAGTCTATGCTATAACGAAGGTTTAGTAATTGAAAAATTATTTTTGTTCATAGAATAAAATTATAAATGCCTCAAATTCAATTTTATATTTTTTTATTATGAAACTAAACCCTCATAACCTAACCTAACCAACCAAACGTGCTGACCATGAAAAAATCTAATGAAGGTTTATTAATCGAAAAAATAATTCTGTTCATAAAATAAAATCATAAATGCCTAAAATCCTATTTTATAATTTTTTTATTCTAAAATTAAACTATCATAACCTAACCAAACTAACCAGACTTGCTAATAATAAAAAATTAAATGAAGGCTTAACCGAAAAAAATATTTCTGTTCATAAAATAAAACTATAAATGGGTCAAATTCAATCTCATAATGTTTTAATTATAAAATTAAACCGTCATAACCTAACCAAACCAACCAAACTTGTTGATAATGAAAAAAATCCAATACAAAAAAATAGTGCTACAGGTGGGATTCGAACCGGGTTCTTCGGATCATCAGCCCAGCACTCTATCCACTACACCACCGAGGCCGATGGCTTCAACCGTATCGTCGCGGTAATGATGTTCCCTCAGCCAATCAGAAGCCTCAAAATAATACTGTAGGCAACACTAATCCTGAAATAAAAATTCAGCCTCCGCAACTGTGTCTGTCAGAAGGGATGAAAACTAACTTCCGATCTCTTTAATAGCTCTGCAGTGCTCGAAACAGGTTAAGGGAATTGCAAAGTAATCCTTCAATGTGTCCAGCATATCAGCCAACATGGCTGAGTTGAACACTTTATTCGTCTATCGTAGCCAACATGAACTACATTGTGGGTCACTGAAGACTTAATGAGGGCAGTTGTTATTGTGAGCTCCACCTGCTTACACCTCTACCTTTTTCACGTATGTACCGGCTTATGAGTTTAAAATAGGGTTAGTTTAGAAGTTAAGAACCATACGGGATTAGCCACAGGATATCGCATGCCAAAGCTTCACACCAAATAACCATTAACTACCTGATTTTCTGCATAACCTCTCTGTCACAATATACAAATAATATATGTTCTTCTTCTCACTTCTAATTTCTGACAACAGCTGGAGTTTCAAAACAATGTTTGTTTCCCATGTTAATCTTATGGAGAAATACAAAACTTTAAATGGCCCCAGGGTCTCACTCTCTAATTATTTCCCTAAAAAGAAAGTTTCCTGCACACCTTCACATTACGCTCTTTCCAATGACACCAAAAACATGTCAATCGGTTCAGTAGTTTCGGAGGAGTAAATGTCACAAAAAACCTGCTTGCATATTAAATAAGTAATGATAGATACTACCTTTGTAATATATTATTTTTTCTGAATTCTTAGATCGAGCGAGTGATATCGTGATATCACACTAGCGTTTCCCTATTAAAAGCGAACATCACAACAAAATGTGTTAGCTTGGTAATACGATTATTTTTGTAACGATTTGTTAGAACTGGCGAGTGAAATAACGGCGATCGATTCTTCCTATTAACAGCAACCCAGCTTAAATGTCTTTGACAAGGAAGTAATAGGTGACAAAAAGTATATTTTGACCTATTACCAAAAAGGAATGTTCCTCACTATTATTATTCTGCAATGTAACGGCATTTGCCATCTCTACAGATTACATCTAGGTCTATTGCCAATTCAATATTATTTTTCTTATTTACACTTTGTTGGAAAAAATCACACAATTTCAGTAAAATGTTTATTTACAAATGTTTAACACAACTGGTATTGAGATAAATACAAGTAACTTAGAACACAATGTATGGGCTGAACCGTTAAAACATAATGAAAAATTCTTCTAAACATTCGTCTTTAAAAACTCAAAATTCGAATTACATTTACAATTCTGTCTCGTTTTGGTTCTATGGTACACTGTGGAACAAAACCAAGAGAGTATTACAACTCACAAGAACTTACAAGAACGCTAACCATACAAACATCAGTACAAAATAATTAATCTTAAACCTGTTTTTGCTCTTCGACCTGTACTAAAATATTTGTTTGAAATTAAAGCCTGAAACACATTAACTGTAACAATGCCCTGATGTAAAATTAGCAAACTCGGATTGTGTTTCGGTTAGGTAGGGTAACCACTCCTTCATCCTGAAGTTCCTTCAAAGAGTCTTCAAACATTTCTCTCGTCACCATCTGCAACAAAAGTAAACAAGAGGTAGTTATCTTATCTTATCTAACAGGTGCAGGCCGAGACCATGAAGCACTTCATCCGAAAAGTCAAATTCTTATTGCGCTCCCCAGACAGTTGGTTTAGTGATCAGACCCTACAGATTCAGGCATCCGATGTGAACTTTTCTCCTAATAGTTATATGGAATGGTCTTGGCTTTGGATTTAAAATTTAAATGAACATCATAGTTTCAGAGGGTAGATTCACATCAGTAAATGTTTCAGGGAAATTATGTAATTACTCTACTGTCAATTAAGATGGGGACACAAATGGATGTATGGATGTATGTGGGGAGTAAATGTGCAAATAAAAATAGGGGCAAAATCAAAATGCAAATTAATTGGTTGGATGTAGTGCACACCTAGCACTAAAGCAAGACTCGCATTGAATTTTGTTCACTTTTTTGCAGTTACGTATCTTTAAAGTTTAAACCAAATATCCCAATTAGAAACTTAAGTCTAATGCCATATAATTAAAATTTAAATCAATACAAGTTTGAAAAGGTGTTGTATTAACTTTTACTAGTGACATTTTCCTAATTCCCTACCAACTTATTTTTATATTTGTTCATATATTCATACATACTACATACATACATACATACATACATACATACATACATACATACATACATACATACAAACATACATACATACTATATTGTGAATATTTTTTAAAATTCCTTTTTCCTTCTGGGTGTAAGAAATGATGTAAAAAAATGTTATAAAATTATAAAAATCTTAAAATCCTTACGGTTTGAAAGGTTTCCTTGATTTCTGCCAACATCTTCTGGAAATTAAGGGAAGATCCTTTTCCTTTAGTTGTTAGAAGTTTGCGCAGACCATCTGTTAATTCCTGTCTGCGTTTACGAGCGGCTGAGCTCAACCCAGTCGTCAATATTCCTACGTCAATCTTCCCTGACAACGGGTCGGTGGCCGATTGCTTCAAGGCTTCCCTGTGCAGCCTGAGAACAGAAATTGTTCGTCATTCACATGTCATGGTGCAAAGTAATGTAACACATCAATACGAGATCATTAGAAGACACATTGACAATAAATATTTACAAAATGAATCATGTTTTCAGGATCCAATCTAGTGAACCTGGGATCTGGGTGGTGGGGAGGGGTTGATCTTGGGATTGGGAGACAAGGACTCTATCCGCGCTACTACTTATTTTGATTGGTTTACTTTATTCAGTTTTAAATGTTGAGAAATCAAAAATCACCCCCTATGTCTGAAGTCTAAAGTCAGTCAACTAACCTGTAAGCTTCCTCGACGTCTTCTTGTACAACCGTTAGAGAGAACCGCATCTTGGCGTGGGCCTCAGCCAGACGAATGAGGGACTCCAGCTGGCGAGGGTATGCTGACACTTGGCCCCGGCCACTACCAACCTAACAGGGATAAAAACAGTATAATAATCATAGTATGAGTTATTCATATCTTTGCAAAGTCTAAGACCATATGCATCCCTAGGATTTCTCTGAGAGCAAATTGGTTTGCATCAAATTATCCTCAGGACCGCAAGCAGTGGCGGCCCGTGATCGCTTTTTTTTTTGGGGGGGGGGCAGTGAATAGGGGCCCAGGGACTCTACCCGGGAAATATTCTAGGAAAAAAATGTTTTTCAAAATATTTAAAATTTTTCATGACTCTAAAACTTTTTTAAAATTCTAAACACTCCAAGGGCTGCATGCGGGACGAGTAGTGAGGATGCCTTGTATACATAATATAATCCATCTGAAGGGTAAGTGTTAACAACACTTGGTTGGCTCTGTCAACAATCTTTTCTATTTTTATGCCTTTACATCCTAGAAAGTTACATTCTAGCTCGGAATTGTTTTTACACATTACTTCAGGTTAGTCCTAGAGGTCGCGGCATTATCACATAAAGACCATTGGTAATTGACGGGATTTGAACCCGAGACCTCCATCCGACCGAGACCGAGAGGGATCGGAAGCCTTGTGCTGTACCACTAGACCAGCTAGATGAAAATAGAATTTCTACTTTTATCAACGGTGTAAGGTAAGTTACTAGTTAGTGAGTAGTGAACACTGTTTGTTGGAAATTGAATTCAAAATTTTGTTTCATGGTATATTTTTAATAGAGATGGGCCGATACCAAAAATTGTCGATACCGATACCGATACCACCAAAATACTCTCGATACCTATCGATACCGATACTTCCGATACCTATATTTTTTTGCACAGTTTCTTCCACTAATAATATTATAAACTGTAATACCATAAAAAAACACAATATGTATGTGTATCAAACTTTTATTTTGGTGTTAAAGGTTGATTATTAGTTGCAAAAATATGGAACTAAGTGTTTATTTTAAAATAGGCCTGCTGTAAATGTTTGAAACTGACTAAAACATGAGATCTAATAAAGTTTCCTCTAATTTATAAATAGGCTTATATAAGTATTTATCTAAGTAATTTATCAGTTTTTGTATTTATTTGAAATTGCATTAATTGTCTTAGTTAACTCATTAAGCTATAAATTAAAAAAAAATTACGGACATCCTGGCCTAACTTTTTGTAAAGGTAAGTTTTTCCCTGAGAGAGTAAAAACGAACTTCCTATATAATGACATTTTCTCACTAGTTGTATGAAAAACAGTTATATATCTTCAAAATTTGTTTAACTATGAAAGTCTAGCTGAAAACACCACATTCATAAATGAGGATATTTTTGAAATACAGAATAACTAATCAAACAACATTTTTATTTTCAACACTTTTATTTCTTAACATTTTTTCCTTGAAAATGTCAACAGTTTTTCATTTATTTTTAATAAATATTATCACTTATAATTTCTCAAGAGCAGACAAGAGACATACGTCACTGCCACAAAAACTCTTCTCTACTGTGAAGAATGAACTAAGTGTTTATTAGTGTGAAGCCCCGCCCACCATCTAACGGGACATGGGGTAGGGAAAGAGAAAGTTTGCTCTAAAGAGCATGCCCTCCCTCACCCTCGGCCTCAGTCGCTTGCAGATTTCCATTACACAAAAGTATCTGAGTGTTAATTATTTTAAAATACTGTAAATGTTTGAATTTGACTATGATGAGATCTAATAAAGTTTCCTCTATTTTATAAATAGGCTTATAAGTATTAATCTAAGTCATTTTACAGTTTTTGTATTTCTTTTTAAAAGCAATTGCAGTTGTACTTTAAAAAAAATTACATACATCTTGGCCTATAAATACTTTTTGTAAGGAGAGTCTTTTCTCTAGTGAGTAAAAACGATCGTGGTCAAGTAATGACTGTGCTAAAACAGCACATTGTCAATTTTTACAAAAACATTTTGACTGAAACCTGGTATTATTTATTGTAGAATAAGTCAACGTCTGTGGAGAAAAGTATGGCAATAGATAGGTTTAACTTTTAGCCTACAATAAAGATTATGTTTTTGGGACTAGAATCTCCAAAAGAGTGCTTTTATAAAACATTCCATTCCATAGATTTATTTAGTAGCCTAACAAAAGTGTTTGACTATGTTCCCGATGATACCAAGAGTATAGGTTCGGCAGGGCAGAGTGGATTCACTGTGAACCGGCCTGCCTCTGCCTGGCCCTTATGCACGACGTCACTATAAATTCCTTGTAGGGGTGTCAACAATGGATCGGAACAATGGATGTTTTGAACCTGTTTGTAACTAACCTAGTTGTTTATACTTTAATACTCATTATGTATAAACGAACACGTACTACATATCGGATCTCGAATCGCGATAATTATTGATACCCCTCCCACCAAAGTACATAAAACGATGTCTAAGTAATCGTCATTTGCTCCGTTGAAACACGAAAGTCGATTGGCTGACATGGTAGTGCATTGTCGCCTCCTGCCCAATGAGAACTGTTGTTACATACTTTTATTGTCAACATTCACCATTCGTTATAACATTACACAATCGACATGGACTAAGGCTTATGATATTTTTCAATAAATACATTATGTCATAGTAGCACTTAAAACTTCACTAAACTCTTTAATCAGGTAGATAGTACAGATAAAATATGGACCTACTTTTTGGCGCAATATAAAGCAAGCCTAGCCATACGACGATGACGATGTTAAAGTTTAATGGTTGAATATAATTTTTCGATGCGTATAATGCAGGGAGGAAACTGAACATTTTGACGTGTTTAGGTTATTTATTTTTCACTAAAAATAAAAATAATGTATCTAAATGTCTGGCTTATTGATACAGACATTGTTTAGTATAATTAATTTCGTGTTGGCAGGACATTCGCATTTGCGCGCCGGTTGTCTCTTGAGTTGAGTCTGACATCTTGAAACGTAGATTGTGTTGTGCAATGAGCTGAAGCTAAACAATGTCACCGGCACCGTCGCTGTTTTGAACTAGATAGTTTCTAAGTTGGCTATGAAAATTGTTAACCGTGATTACAAAACTAATACTGTAGCTATAAAGTAAATGTTAAAATAAAATATTTATCCCTGTCGGGTGTCGGTACCTATCATCGGAATCGACTTTTGACAATCGAGTCTTGGTACCGATACCAATGTCCAAGTGGTAACCAATGGATGGTGGTATCGATGACGATGACGATAATCGACACATTCCTTTTTAGAACTGCATCGTGACCAAATCGATGCATGCTGGACCGAATCGGGATTCGATGCATCGAACTGAAATTTCAATGCATCGCAGTATCGCACTCGCTGCACACCACTACCTATCACCCACCCAGTGTCAGCTCCAGCTGTAGCTGTCAGTGAAATGGATGACGCAAGCGATGTCTAGGTTGCCGGTTATTATTATTAGGCCTAGTATGTCAATATTGAAAGGGGTTAAGGGATTAAATAAAACTCAAACATTTTCCTTTCTTGTTATTTACTTGTCAAATATCAACGAAATCGGCTTAACCTCTACTACTCGACTCGAGTTGCGAGTAGGCAAACGGCTAGGATTCGTAACGGCAACGGCAATTTACCCGTTCTGACTGATCCGCACCAATTTGTAGCATTCAGTGTCGGTATCGGTATTGAACCCAAAACAGGCAAGTATCGAGTATCGACGAAACTTCGATACCGCTGGTATCGAGAGTATTTTGGTATCGAGTATCGGTATCGGCCCACCTCTAATTTTTAACTAATTAATTTTTTTTATCATAAAGGTTACCAGCAACATACCTTTCGCATGTCCACGTAGCACTGGACCAACCGTTGTGAAGCTTCCTCCGACAGTTTCGGTTGGATGTGTTCCTTAGCGTACGCAATGTAGTCTCGTAGCAAGGACATATCCTGAAAACATCTCTAATGTGAATCTTTGAGACAGAATAAGCCCAAAACGGAAGGCGAGGGAAAACATCAGAATATAAAAATTCCAAGACTTAAGTTGGTAAAAATCTTGTACATTTTTACACCTAAATTAGCTGGCCATGCTTAACAAAATTTGTATCTAATTTAACATTTCCTTTGAATTATCAAAACGTAAACAATGAATCTTTCATTATTCAGATTGAAATTAAACACAGTCTAATGTACGGTAAGCGATATGTTTTATAATGGCAAGTGTCATCCCAAACTCATCGTCCATTCTAATTTGGGTTGAAATTTGCCTTAGTTGAGTTACCATCTTTAACCTTCTGTTTGGTCGATTCATCATTGCGCTGCAGTTGACAAAATTGATGGTTTCAATATTTTTATACTTTTGAGTTGGAAAATAGAAACAAATGATCAGGTGATACAGCAACGAAGTTTAATTCTTCCCTCTATCAAATTTTTTGATCAATTATATTAGTCGATCAATAGTTTTCAATTAATAAATATAAAAAATCTGCTCTTTGATTTTGAAACACCCTGTACTTAACAGATGTAATCGACCGCAGCCAATTTTTTGGTAACTGCAACCTGCAAAAAAATTGTATTTACAACTGTATAAAACAATGTAAAAAATAATTGTAACCTTCATACCATAAATTCATCTTTTTCCTCGTCTTGAGATTTGTAATACAGCGACACCAAGTGACGGGCGAGTCTTCGATCAAACTGCTCGTTTTGGGGGTCGAGCATCAAGAAAATCAAATCAAACCTGTGAAAAAACAAGACTTTTAGATGTGGAAACAGTCAAATAATCTCTGATCATATTTTGAATAAGATAAAATGTTGGGTATGTTTATGTTTTGTTCAATGTGGTTGCTAAATTGTAGAGATGGACGTTATTTATCGTAATAGGATAATATAAAAACTAGCAAACCCGTATATGACTAGTTATATGTTGTTTTTATTGATAAATCAAATGATTTTGAAGTAATTGATAGAAGCACCTGGACATGAGGGTGTGAGGTAGCTGAATGTTTTCTATAATAGTTTTGTTTTTATTCCACTGAGACTCCACGGGGTTTGCTGCAGCTAGTATAGACGTCCTTGCATTCAGTTGACAAATTATACCCGCCTTAGCAATACTTAAAGTTTGCTGCTCCATCACCTACACAAAAACATAAAGAATTAAAGATCTTATCAGTAGTTTTGTTGAAGGAAAGGCTCTAGGCAAGGATTTCAAATTGTAGAAAAGGGAGGATAACTAGCTGCTTACCTTGAAGAAGTGTAGGTAGACCATAGAACATGCAGTAGTGTAGAGAAAGTATTAGAGTTTGAGTTTACAAAATAGCTGCTGTCATGGCTGTTCCAGAAATCATGACAGCAGCTATTTTGTGAACTCTACTTTCTCTACACTACTTGACAAAGTCCCTCAGGGGACGAAATATTGTGTGTACAGAACCACTCAATACCACTCAGAACCACTCTTCTGCATGTTCTATGACCTACCTACACTTTTCAAGGTAAGCTAGATGCTAGCTATCCTCCTTTCTACAATTTAAAGCTCTAATCAACTTACTTAACACGTTCAGTGCGACGGGCGCCGATCGGCGGCCGAGCGGTGTCCCGTTACGCGTGCGGCGGACGCCGATAGGCGCTTCGTGTAGCATCGTGTTTGGCGCCAAGATATCAGCTGATCGTTCATTTCACGTGTTTTTGCGCTACGGTGTGTTGTTGTTGAAGAGTTGGGTTATGTTTTAGTGGTGATCGTTCGTAGTTTTGCAATAGTTCGTAATAGTGAAAATCATGGATGAAAATCCAGGACCTTCAAACCGTAAAAAAACAAAAATGTGACAGTGATTACATCGATGTAGACAATCTTACTGTTAGTGAGATCGACCAATTGTATTACGACTCTGATGAAGATTATGCTTCATCACATGAGGATGCTTTTGATGATGGTGAAGATTGTGACTACGTCCCAGAAAGTGATTATGACAGTGATGACAGTCAACAAAACTGTGATAATAGTAGGCCTACAAGTGATTTCGGTGAAATTGACACAGTGTTCAATAACAGTAACAACCCGGTTTCAACTCAAGATCAACTGGAATCTGACCCAGATTACCCAGACCCCGTTCAGCCGGAAGACCGTCCAACTCAGGCAGCTTCAAGAGGTAGGCCTACAGAACACGACCCCGTTCTGCCGGACAACCGACCAACTCAAGCAGCTACAAGAGGTAGGCCTACAGAACACGACCCCGTTCTGCCGGACAACCGACCAACTCAAGCAGCTACAAGAGGTAGGCCTACAGAAGACGACCCTGTTCAGCCGGAAGACCATCCAATTCAGGCAGCTACAGGAGGTAGGCCTACAGAACACGACCCCGTTCTGCCGGACAACCGACCAACTCAAGCAGCTACAAGAGGTAGGCCTACAGAAGACGACCCTGTTCAGCCGGAAGACCATCCAATTCAGGCAGCTACAGGAGGTAGGCCTACAGAAGACGACCCCGTTCAGCCGGAAGACCGTCCAACTCAGGAAGCTGCAAGAGGTAGGGCTAAAAAAACTCAACCTCCTAAGTACAAATGGTCACCTAATTGTAACTTAGTTGATGACATATATTTTACAAAAACAAATGAGCTTCTAGTTCCCATACCTGGCAATAATACTCCAGTTGACTATTTTGAAATGCTAGTGGAAGATTCGTTTTTAGAAAAAATAGTAAAAGAATCTAACAGTTACGCCTTGGACACATTTTTTGGTAGATCAGATCTGTTGGAGCATTCCCGGATCAATAAGTGGACTGACATTACAGTAAGTGAGCTCAAAATATTTTTGGGTTTAATTTTACACATGGGAACAATCAAAATGCCAAGGCTTTCCGATTACTGGAAAACAGATCCATTGTTTTTGTCAGTGTTTCCCCAATACATGAGCAGAGATAGGTTCTTCCTAATACTGCGCCACCTTCATTTCAACAACAACAATGATGGGAATGACAAGTTGTTCAAAATTCGTCCAGTGATAGACTATCTGAACAACCGAATGTCCGAAATATATTATCCTAGTAAGGAATTGAGCTTGGATGAAGCGATGATTCTCTGGCGTGGACGTCTACAATTTAGGCAATACATAAAAAATAAACGCCACAAGTACGGCATCAAGATTTACACTCTTTGTGAGCCAAATGGCCTGGTCTTGAACACTATCGTGTATACAGGTAAAAGTGATGAACTTGGTGGCAAGGGACATACTAACAAAATTGTAAAAGCCCTCAGGTAGAGAGAACCACGGACATTCATTGTTCATGGATAATTTTTTTAACTCCCATGACCTGTCCAAAGAACTGCTAGAACAGGGTACCCACGTAACAGGAACCCTATTGGCCAACAGGCAACACAACCCAAAGGATGTTGTAAATTCCAAACTGGAAAAAGGGGAAACGACTTGCCTGTTCTCTGAAAAACATGTCATGGTAGGGAAATGGCGTGATAAAAGAGCCGTTCTCTACCTCTCTACTGAATTTGACAACACAATGACCCAAGCAACAAATCGGAGAGGTCAAATGTCTATGAAGCCACTTCCAATAGTAAGATACAACGCATATATGTCTGGAATAGTGGAATCGATCATAAGGATCAGATGATGGCATACTACCCAGCAGAGCGGAAAACCATTCGCTGGTACAAGAAGCTGTTCATTCACTATTTTGTAATGATGATGTTGAATTCGTTCTCTTTGTTCAACAAGTACACGACCTCAGGAAAACTGGCACTGTATGACTTCAGGCTTCAAATCATAAGACGCCTTCTTTCAGAAAAACAATTAGTAAGAAGGGAACCCACGCCCAGAAACACGGAGCATCTTCCAACCAAATGCTTAGTCGGCGAAAATGGTAGAGTAATGAGGAAAAAGTGCAGAGTTTGCAAAACTGAACAAAACAAAAGGAAAGACACTATATCTACCACTGCATTGCCTGTCCTGGAAATCCCGGCTTATGCTTGGAGCCATGTTTCAAGAAATATCACTAGTAAGAGAGGCCTATCACAAGGATCTTCATGTGGGATCAAACTTGCTTTATTATGAATGTTCAAAATAATGTCGCTTCTAAATGCAGCCTCCGTAAATGTTAACTTGTATGATTATTTTTAAGTATTATTCAGTCTTACTATTTTCACTTCATGTTTTGTAACCAATTTCTCATTCAAAATATAAAAAATAAAAAATGTAAAAAAATATATACATATATTCATCCACAAATGTTAACTTGTATGATTATTTTTAAGTATTATTCAGTCTTACTATTTTCACTTCATGTTTTGTAACCAATTTCTCATTCAAAATATTAAAAATAAAAATGTAAAAAAATATATAAATATATTCAAAGGAAAAAGGACTTGTTTTCTCTTTGTAGCAACAGGCCGTAATGCTTGTCAACCATGACGTCACGATAGAAGACGGCAATGACGTAATTAAGGTTATATTTTTGTTTTCGATGAAAATATTAAAACAAGCAGCTGATCACAAACGGCAAACATTACGTCATTGCCGTCTTCTATCGTGACGTCATGCTAGACGAGCATTACGGCCTAGCAACCGATTCATACAAGGACGCCTATAGGCGCCCGCAGCATCCAACACCAAAACTCTAAAAATTTCTTGCTGGGGGCTGCGGACGCACATAGGCGTCCATATATAATTGTTATATATATTGGCTATATTTTACATGGAGTAAAAGCTTTGACATAAATAAACTTATTTTAAATGTCTTTGACAAAAATAATGATGCAGCCACTGGGGAATGGATCGTGAATTCTTCCATAGCAGTGAACGTGTTAATATCACTTCACTTCAATAAGACAGTGACATATTGCATTTTATCATAAATTAAACTTAAGAATTTAATTACCTCATGAAGCACACTGCGTGTAGAATCATTCATCTTGTCGAACTCGTCAATGCAGCAAATTCCGTTGTCTGCCAACACCAGAGCCCCTCTGAAATGAGAACAAACTTCTGTAAAAAATTTCAGTGAGAAATTAAAATAATCTGTACAAGCGTATGATTTATCAGGTCATTATTTTGAGGGCAAAATTCAAAAGCACTTACGTCTGCAGAACAAGTTGCCTGGTTTCTGGGTCTTTGGAGACATAAGCTGTCAGTCCCACAGCGGAGGAGCCCTTGCCGCTGGTGTACTGACTGCGAGGCACCAGATCGTAAATGTAGGACAGCAGCTGTGACTTGCTGGTACCTGGGTCTCCACACAGCAGAATGTTGATCTCCGCTCTGTAACCGTTTACGTACAGATAGACCAAGAACTCTCCTATCTTTGGAAGGTAGTAAATAAATTCAAATTATTTTACTTTTTATTTTTTTTTATAAGTGAGATCTAGTATTCAAATCTATTTTTTTATGTCAAGTTACTATGTGTGTGTACCACAAAGGTACCACTCAAATATTTTGTATGTCAAACCAAACTAATGTAACAACTTTTTCCAATGTATTCAGCCCTATGACTAGTTATTCAAACGAGACAGTTTCAGCTTTCTTGATCATACTAATTAACATTTTTTATTAGCCTAAGTAAATTACCCACCTGAAATTTGCTCTTCCTGAACTGGTAAAGGTTTTCTTTGTTCCACCAAACAGCTGGAGTAGGATCCCTTTCTTGATGTCCTCGTTCTCGTAAATAGACGGAGCGATGGCACGGGCCAGTCTCTCGTAAATATCAGGCCGTGTACTCAGCTGTTGTAGCACCTCTACTCTCTCCGGTGGGAAACGATGGTCTTTGCTGTAACGGAAAAACATAAAATTAATATCTGGGTATGAGTAGAGTTGTCCTAGTAATCGAATGTTTGTTTGATCACTGTAATGTGGTTTTTTTGATGGTTCATATCTGGAACATTAGGAGAGCAGACACCAGCAGAGTTTAGAAAGGATAAAAAAATGTTACTTTAGAGGTTCAGCTATTTTTTTGTGATCATTTTTGTTTACATAATTGGAAACATAATTAAGTTATCTAGGGGCAAATAGGCTTCTTATGTTTTTTTAACTCAGTCCTATTTTTCACCATGAAAGATCTCCCATTTGATGAAGCGAGCTAGTTCAAACCTAACACCGATGTATTGAAGTACATATATTATACCATTAAAAAGAATCAGCGTTTGCCAGTTTCAATTGAACGAGTCCCATGCTTGAATATTTAGGTGTCATTATGTATATTTTGGCTTATCAGCAGCTTGATCAAGTTTCAATTGTTTGACAACTACATTTCCTAGATCACTTACCCATCCTGCTGGTCGTAAAGTCTCTTGGTATCAGTCTTACTGAAGTGAACGACATCAATGTGTGTACGGTAGACTGATCTGACATTACGCATTCGAGGATTCACCTGGAAAATACATTATTGTAGTAATGTATGGTTACGCTTCTCTTTGTTATAACCTGATACAAAATTTTTGAAGTATTTTTTCTAACTCCAATACATCTTGGACATAAGTTTTAACCATGTTATATTTAACTATGTGGCTCCTGGTTTCTACAGAATTGCATATCATTGTGATGATAGTCGGCACAATTTTCATTAAAGATATGTAGATCTACACTAAAAAGTACTCAAGATTCATTGAATTTTAAAATCAGATGTATAGCCCAACTACCAAATTGATTAAATAATTAATTGAAAGTTCTCTCTTCAGTCAAACAGGTTTGGATACTCTTGAAAACAGAAAAAGGAGCTAAATGAAAAATTCAATCAAGAAAACTTTTGATGTCCCCCATCTTGTTTTTAATTGTTTCAACTTCATAGTAGGGTCTAAATTTCCTTGAAAGGTCTTTGATGTAGATTTTGGTTGCTTTCAAGGTCAAAAGAGACAATTTAATTGAAAAGCTTGCGATTCAGTTGACAACCGCGTTGCTAAACTGTCAAAAATCCTAGCCTACACAGAATTGTAGCTTGCTCTAATGATTGGTAGCTGCAATGCCTCCAAATTTTCAGCCAGTTTAGCTACTTAGTCATTTTGAGAAGGCCAAGATTCAACCCAGTTCATCTAGCAATGTTCAATTTGTGAAAATTCTACCTTTTATATAGTGTGGTTTTGAAATGTATTAATTCATTTTAGCAATAGCTTGTTAAAGTTCAGACCTTAACAAATTGGCCTTTAAAGGTTAAATGTTACTAATGTCAGTTGAACTACAGCTTTTCCTACCTGCATGGGTATGGCCCGGTAGATGCCTGTGACGGTGACTCGGTCGCCGGGATGGACGGCGTCTACGAGATCGTTGTGAGCGAACAACACAACGGTGTGTGGCGTTTGACCAGCTGGCATATCGTCTAAAATACAACAGGTGATTTAAATATTAGGATCCAGCTTTAGGTTGCTACGATAAACAATCAAATTACACTTATCTTCAGTCAAAACCAGAAATTTAGAATTTCAAAACCAAAACCAAAACTTGAATCACGAACACCCAAATGCAAAACTTTTTAGTTGCATGGTTAGGGTTAGAACAAATTACAGGTAATAGGTAAAGTACCAACAATTGTTTACTATACAATCAAAACAGAAAGAAATTAACTCCTGGCCATGACATATTAACATGAATATGTGACTAATACGCTTTGGAAAAAAAAACTTAATTTTTTATAAAGAACAAACACTAAAACTAAACTCCCGACACTAAAATTAACTTGAATATTAGATCAATTATTTAAACAATAAGACAAAATTAATTTGTGTTAATAAAAAATTTATATGAAACTGTATTGTATGTAGTTCCAGTATCAGTATTTTATGATAACAATTGCAGTTCAGAATATGATTTACTTCTTTCATAAGTGTTAGTTGGGATCTGTTTGCCCCATTGCTGCCAGCTTTTATGTACTGTAAACGACGTTATAAGAACAATAATAATGATACAAAAAAATTCTGAAAATGTGTCTGTTCAGAGCTGTAATTGCCAAAATATTTAACTTCAAAACTTACGAATCAAGTTTCAAAACCAACAACTTTTCCAAAGTTATTACGGTTTTGAGAGTTAAGTTTCGGTTTTGACACTTCACTACAGATAATTATTATCCACCTGCTACTTCACTTACCTGGCGACTCTTGCAGTTTGATCATCTGTTTGTCAGTGAACTGAGATCGGTTGTGTATCAGAGTGAAGCAATGGTTAGTGTTACAGTTGCTACAGTTGGTCGGTTCAGCGATGCGTCCTCGGTCAATCTCCACCGACGTGGTCAACGCGCAAACCATGCACTTGAAGAACGCCTCGCGCATCTCCGGCATGATGTTGCTAGTGCGAGTGACCATGCCACTAACACTGATCAGCTGGTCGATATCTGAAACACGCCGATGATGTAGAATACCGAGTTGTGCTCGCAAAAGAGAGTTGGCAGTTTCTAAAACAAGTCACTAGCTTTTTGTAACTCGGCCCAGCTACTTAGAGTTGTTTGAGTCTTTTACCTAACCCGCCATGTTAAACTTCCCTAACCCAAGCGTGATGTATACAACTTTCTTACTTCTCGAGTGACGTAAAGTAGAAAAAACTCACTCGGTGAGGTAATGAAACCCATTTAAATAACATTAAGAGCTTAACTTAAAAAATATACCTCTATGGAGCCAACGACGTTCAACGCTAGAAATCAGCTGTGCACTTGAATGTTATTGTTATGCTTTAAAGTATTTTCCTAACCTAGCTTTTGTTTGTAAAAGAACGTACTGTTAAAAGATGAGTGAAATGGATAATGAAAAATATTGTACGAACCCCATGTATATTGTCGGGTCAGGTAAAATCTTGTACGTTACACGTTACGCAAGAGCGTGTTTACATTACTTAGGTGAATTATGCAACTCGCTTCCGCTCGTTAAAACGCTCTTACGACACTTGTAATGTAAATAGCTATTTTTGTGTATCAGTCCTGTGTATTAACCCCTGGACTCTAATTTTGTCAGTTAAGCTAGCTGAACTGTATTCTTTTTTATAACCATTATTGTACATTGTGTTTGAACATGGGCACCGCCGGGTTTTGTTGCTAGTACATATAAAGTACTGAGCTGTCATCAGATGATTGAGTGATAGTTGATAGTGCAGAGTATGTGTGCTTCAAGAATCCTAGGTCAAGAAATATTATTTTCAATAGTAAGATGCGGGATAAGTGACCGCAAGAAACTGGGCATAATATAATAGAAAAAATACTACCCATCCACTTAAATTAATAACAACTAGTTCATCATAAATCATAGCTTGATAGCATACACAGCTTAATCTATACAAAATATTTCTGAATGTCCATACTGCTGTTGTTAAAGCTAAAACGGAGGATGATTTATGGGTGAAAGTAGAAGACGCTTTAATGGATCTTAGAAGGTGGTTTGAAATAAACGGACTAAAATTAAATCCAGAAAAAACACAACTAGTAAAATTTAATACGATACAATCCCGAAATTTCACACATAAAACAAGAACCAAAACTGTCAAATGTACAAAATTTTTAGGTTTGTATGTTGATTCAAATTTAACCTGGGCCAAGTGCATTGAAAACATATTACATAAGCTTAATTCTGCCTGTTTCCAAATGCTTTGTTTGAGAAATATTTTGGATATGAGAACACGTTTAATGATATATTATGCCTATTTTTATTCCATATTGCATTATGGGATTGAATTTTGGGGATTCTCATCAGAAATAGAAAAGATTTTTAAAGTTCAGAAAAAATACTTAAGAATAATGACATTTGCTAAACGAAAACAATCATGTAGACCAATTTTTAAAGAACTTAATATAATGACTGTACCAAGTTTAATCATTTTTAAATCCTTATTAATGGTACAGTCAAATTTTGAAAACTTATGTGCGGAGAATTTTGACCATCCATATAACACCCGTTTCAAAAAGAATTTTCAGTTTCCGATTCACCGATTAAAATTAATAGAAAAAACACCAAAATATATGGGAAAGAAATTGTTTAATAAACTGCAACCAAAATATAAAGATTTAATAAACAAAACGTCTTTTAAAAGCAGCCTTGCCTCATTTCTTGTAAACAAAATATATTATAGTATTGACGAATTTTTGAATGATGGTAATTTTTTAAATTAGCAAATATTATGTTTTATAAAATAACCCAAATAATTATTTGTAAGAATCATTGTTTATTTTTTAGTATTTTAGGTACTTATGATATATGATTATATTGACAATGTCACCTGTTTTTGTAGCTTATGCTATGTAATCTGTAAAACGTTTATGTGACAATAAAGATATATTTATTTATTTATTTATTTAAAAAATAATTTTTATTCAGTAGAATGAGCCATAACAAATTTAGTAACAGTTTCAGCAATAAATTTAAATCAAAATGAAGTTTTACCTTCTGGATTAAGGGAGCGCATGTCTTTGGTTTTCTGAGCATTGAACGGCCGAACTTGGATCTGATGTTCCAAAACAGCGGCAGGATGTCTATCGAAGAACAACTCATTCACAGCCATGTCTAAAGTGGGAATAACCTAAAAGACAAAACACAATCAAGTTTTTGTTCATTTTGGAAAAGCGTTTAAGGATTCGCTTCGAGTGAAATTTTGTGTAAGACTGAAAACCCACGGCAACAATACTGTAGGGTAATTGTGCCACTTAAATGTGTCAGTTAATTTCTTTCTCATACTGACCGGCTCACCCCTTGCTTCGCTTGATTTTTTTCATGTACACAGTCCTGAGCAGGGTTGCCACCGGTCCCGCCTTCAGACTCTTTTGCCTGTGTTTATCCAAGGGGGCCGTCCGGATTTCTCCCTACCCAAAGGTGGCCAGCCTAGTCTGAGGCTTATGTGACAGGCAAATGCAAGGATATAAGAAGGCAACCTCTTAATGTTGCTGGGAATAAGATTTACCCTTGTATTAGGTACTAACTTTGACAATATTTTTTGTCACAATAGATTACTTTCCTACTGTTAATACTTAACATGCATACTGTTGACTATGATCCCGTTTTACTGCATGAGTTTAAAACAAAATTTAACTTTTATTTGATTTGTGCAAAAGTCATATTATGTTGCAAAATCGCAATAGTCATTAGATATCTTGGATAAGTAAGTATCTGATATGAAAAATGTTTCGGCCTCACAATTAATTGTCAATTAATGAATTAATCCTGCAAGTTAAAAATTAATCACAAAATGGCTAGTTACCTCCTGAGGATAGCAGATCAGCTGTTGATACAACTCAGGGTCAAATTTAAACAGATGTCCACAGTTGATGTTCAGGAAGGGCTCCTCCAACATGTGAATCTAAAAAAGATGCAGTCTTTGTAATTTATTGTACATTTTATATCACTTATTGTAATTTGACCAATGATGGCAATGTTTTTTTAGTTAGTGGTTGACCTGGATAAATCATAGAAGCAATGATAATATGTAGAGTAGGCCTACAAATATCTTCTGAGAAAAAAAATTAATAAATTCCAAATAGGATTATCAAAACTTTGCTCCTATGCATAGCCTAGGTTCTATGCTTGTGATATTAAACTTATCCAATAAAATACATTTGAAAAAACAAAATAAAAAACAGATAAGAAAAAATGTTTGAATTAAAAAAAAAACAAGTAAACTGTTTTGGTAGAATCCTGGCTTACCTCCTCAAGTTTCTGAATGTAAAGGGGCAAATTTGACTCGATATTTTCCGGGATGTCTTCTTCGTCTTTTTCCTCTTCATCATCGACAAAGTTATTGAGAAATCGCTTGAACTTGTCCTTACAACGGCTGACAACAACGTTTGTTCCCCAGATGACCAACGTCGGCCCTTGCTGTGATAAGCCCTCGCCTTCGGAAGACGCAACTCTTGCTACGTCATCTGCTGCTGCCTGTGGAACAAGGAATTTGAAATTGCGCTTCACAGATTATTCCCCAGTTCCAAAGATGCTTCTAAAAAAGTTGGCACCGTTAAAATAAAATTTTATTTATTTCAATAACAATATGACTTTTTAGCTCTCCTTACTGGCTATTATTTGATATTCTAAAGCTTAACAATATTTTTCATAGATGTTTTGATAAATTATTCATTAAGTGTCTCAAGTTCTCTAGGTTTAGCAAGAGACTATGGGTTTCAAAAATTTTCTAATCAGGCAATTAGAAATTCCACTAAGTTTGCTGCGGCAGGGGTATTTTTGTATGTAGGATTAACAATTGATTAACACTAACCGGGTCTGATGCAACATTGACTTGTCTCATCCGACGATCTGTCCGGATGTCAGGACGAAGCCGGATGGGAGTTCCTCGAATCCCGGATCTGGGGGTCCTCATGGAACCCATTGAGCTGGGAGTGCCGTAGTTCAATGGAGAACTTAAATCGATTTCACTCATTCCTAACAAGAGTAGTAAATGTTGAGTTTAGAGTTTACATATCCTATCCGAACGTAAATTAAAATACAGTACAAGAATTGTTTACTCTCCTAGCTTTACAAACATCTACTTCAACTATCTAAATCATATGTTTTTTACACAGTCTTCTGTTAAAAATTTGTATACACTCCTAACATTAACAGTTTCAAAAATCTGGAAAAAGTTCATTGTATAGCCTTTGATTACCAGTATTGATACAACTAACTGTAATAAGTGTATCCAAATCAGTATCCAATAGTCAATGGTATAAATTTCATTAGGCTAAACACAATCAATGTTAGTATTCAATATAACATAACAATATGTCAATATGACACTAGGTTGGATGTTTTAAAAATAAAGTATCATAAACGTTTTGGATATGTTCATGTAGATTTTTGTAGTGATAAGTGACGCAGGTGAATTCTCCGACTAGGGCTTGTTATTTATTTTGAGTCAATATTTTTCCAAGTGGAGAAAATATAAGCTGGTGAAATGAAATGTAAAGCACGGGTCACACTAGGCTGGCATCAGCGGCGAATTGAAAGAAGCCGCGACTGTCAGCTTAATGTGACCACAAAATTCGCAGCTGACACTGAGCTGACTCAGCCTGGATTGGTGAGCCGGTGATGCTGGTGCCAGCTGCTGATCACCAGCGGCTGGCAAACAGCCTAGTGTGACCCGTGCTTAAGCTTATGTGTATGTGCGCCTGTTAAGGCCAGATTTATTTTAGTTTCAAAAACATTTTATTTTAATCCCCTTTGCTTGACCAGAATAATTTCATTTTATTTCCCCAATACCTACAGCCAGTTTACCTATCCATCCTATAACCAGTATTCAAATTTGCCGCCATACCCCACTACCTCAAATCAAGAGTCACCTGGGAAGAACACTGGGTCACATGACCTCACTTCTTCAACATGGCTGGAACAACAGGAATCTACAGTATGAGGTATTCCTAATTTTAGCAATTCCTTTAGTTTCGCCACCTCCTACTCATTTTAATCATTCCTAATCGCTTTATTTTCATGGTCCTTCGAGTCTGATTCATAAATTTTCCTATTATTCCTGTTTTTTACTTCAAAAATTAGCAAAATCAAATCTGGCCTGGCTTTACATTCACTTGCTTATTTAAAGACTATTTGAAGAAGTATTTTAGTTATCAGCAGTTTTATTATCATTTTTAATCAATTTGCAATCAATTTCCACCAATTAAAATAGTTTACATCAAGATTTATTAGTTTTTTGGCAATTTGATTCACATGTGCAAGATTGCAGGATAATTCAGGAGTTTTGTCAGGATTGCAACCTGAGGGAAAAGTTCCCTGGAATTACCCACCAAGATTCCCCACAATTACCCCACACTGTGGAAATTTCCCCTGAAATATCTCTTTTGGGTAAAACTAAAGAAGAAATTTCCCAGATATGAAGAATTTATGCTGATTTATTTAAGTTGCTAAGAATTATTCTTTTTAAAATATTTGTTTGATACTGACTGTTTATTTTCACCATTTTGCATAAATATTGAAGAGTCTGGCACTTACAATAATTATTGCCACTGGTTGGTTTACTGTAAACAGAGAGTGCCACTTTAATAATTTTACAATTACATGCAGATTAAGAATACTATTTATCAAGACAACATAATTGAAGTTTTCTGCAATACTTAACAAATTATTTTAATTGAATTATCATACTCTCAGTCAAGTGGTAACTTATAAATATTTGTTGTGGAGTTTTTTGAGTTTCTACAGATCTAGGCTATTTGTAAATGACAATAAATAGCATTTACAATGGCAGATGCCAAACTAAAGAGAGATATTGATCTTCTGATTTATAAAAGAGATAATATTGTTCAAAAAATTGAGTTTTTGCACAATCAAGCTGAAACTTTGTCTATAGAGGCTAGCCCAATTGAATTATCAGAGTTCAAAGTTCGTTGTGATCGTCTCCCTGCCCACTATGAAAGTTTTGAGCGTTACCAATCTGACATAGTGAAAGGTTATGTCCAGCTCAAAGATACTTCTCAGCTGGAGGGAATTCTTGCCAAAAATAAGGTTGTAGATGAGAAATATTTTTTTATTCTTGCTACCAAAGACAAGTTTCTTTCACCTCTTGTTAGACAGGAAAATGTTGAAAATGTTAAGCCTATCGCCTCCACAGCTGTTAGACTCCCAAAAATCAATCTACCCACATTCGAGGGAGTTTTGAAAGACTGGCCTCATTACAAGGACCTTTTCCTTGCTCTTGTTCATAATAATGTCTCGTTATCCCCTGTAGAAAAACTTCATTTTTTACTTTCAAGTACAAAGGGTGAACCGCATACCTTGGTAAAAGGCATTCCCATTTGTTCTGACAACTATGAACTTGTTTGGACACAGTTAAATGAGAGATATGATAACAAAAGGTTGTTAGCAGCTAATTACATTGATGAAATTTTAAGTCTTACCCCCATCCATTTCGAGTCTCCTAAACCATTAAGAACTCTACTGGACACACTAAATGAGAACACTTCAGCCTTAAAGCAAATGGAGATACCTGACAGCTTAGGTGAATTTATTATCCTGCACGTAGCTCTGAAAACCGTGGACAGGCATACAAGACAGTTATTCGAACGCAAGTTCTCTAATAGGGAATATCCCTCCTTGTCCGATTTCATTGAATTTCTAAAGGAACACTGCAAGTCACTCGAAGCTGCAGGTGAGACACAACCTAACCTAAAGTTTGGACAGTATAAGGTAGGCTACAAAAATGCTCCAAACAAGACTACCTTTGCAAGTGCCCCGACCAAGAGGGTATTTGTTGTCAATAGCCCTACTACCAATCAATCTAAACCGCCAGTGACTTGTATTTCATGTGGTAGCCAAGAACATAACATTTATCGTTGCCAATCTTACTTAAATTTGTCTCCAACCCAAAGAAGAGATCTAATCAAATCCAAGGAAGCATGTTTTAACTGTTTAAGCATATCACATATGTTAAGCAAATGTCGTTCATCCCGCACATGTTTCAAATGTAGAAAATCACATCACACAACGCTTCATGTTTCTTATCCTGAATCTGATTCTTTGGTTAAGGCTACGCCGACATCAACTTCTAAGCAAGAAGAAAAATTATCCCCTGCTCCTACCTCTGCATTTACCTGCATTAGGCCTACATGTGATTCAAGCCCGAAAGACGAAACTTACTTTAAGCCTACAACCATTCTCTTAGGTACTGCCATTGTTCGCATTCTAGATGTTTGTGGTAATCCTCAACAGGTTAGAGCATTAATTGATGCTGGTAGCCAAAGTTCCTTCATTACTGAATCATGTGTCAGTCAGTTGTGTTTACCGAGACGGAAAGTTGTTCAACCAATTTTAGGATTGTCTGAAGTGTCTGTTTCCAGCAACAAAGGACTAGTACCCTGTGTAATCAAGCCTTTGCATCAAGATAACCCTTCACTGAGAACGGAAGCCATTGTTTTAAATCGAATCACTTCACCGCTACCTTCTACTGCTCTTGATGATAAGGTTAAAATGTTATTTCAAGGTTGGGATTTGGCCGATCCGGAGTTTTACCAACCTGGAAGAGTTGATCTTCTTATTGGGGCTGATTTGTTCCCACAGCTTTTTGACGGTGGGCGGCGTGATACGCCATCTGGATTCCCTACTGCCTTTCACACCATTTTTGGATGGTTGCTCATCGGTGAATCACGTTTGCCAATTCCAACGACTCAGTCCGTTTCTGTTAATTTAGCTATATTAGACCAAGTATCACTGGAGTCGAATCTGCGCAAGTTCTGGGAAATTGAAGAACCCCCGATGAATCATTGCCAAACTAGCCCAGAAGATGAACGATGTGAGTCAATCTACGCGTCAACAGTTCAAAGAGATTCAGCTGGTCGTTTTGTTGTTGACCTGCCCTTTAAAAATGATTGTCCCGACCTTGGAGAGTCGTACAGCAAAGCCAAGCATTGTTTTTTATCTCTGGAAAGAAAATTCAATCAAAATCCTGATCTAAAGGGAGCCTACTCAACATTCATGAATGAATATAGAGATTTGGGTCACATGTCCGAGGTTGTAAACTCTGTAACACCAGCTTACTACATCCCGCATCACGGAATCTTCAAGAAAAACTCCTCTTCGTCAAAACTACGAGTAGTATTTAATGCATCAGCTCCAACCTCAACTGGAAAATCACTAAATGATGAATTGTTAATAGGTCCGAAGCTTCAGACTGACATTTGTAAAATTCTTTCGCTTTTTCGCCTTCACTTGTATGTATTTACAACCGACATTGAGAAAATGTATCGTCAAATACTTGTCAACCCGCAACATAAGTCTTTTCAAGCAATTTTGTGGAGAGATAGCCCAGAGAAACCTATGTCTACCTTTCTTCTCAACACAGTAACCTACGGTGTATCAAGTTCGCCATTCTTAGCCTTGCGTTCTTTAAGACAGCTGGCTTTGGAAGACTCCGAAAAATATCCTCTTGCAAGTGAGGTTATTTTAAACTCAATGTTTGTCGATGATGTCCTTACAGGAGGTGACTCACTTGATCACACCCTGAAAATAAAATCTGAACTAATCAGTCTCTTAGATTCTGGTGGATTTAAACTTAGGAAATGGTCCAGCAACAATCATAAAATATTAGAAGATGTTCCATCTCATGATCAAGAATTCATTTTTAAAGACGAAAGCTCTGCCGATCCCTCTATCAAAGTCTTAGGCCTTAAATGGAATCCAAATTCAGACAAGTTTTCTTACGATGTTCACATAGGACAACCACCTTCTACCAAACGTGGCCTATTGTCTCAAGTATCCAAGGTCTATGACCCGCTTGGGTTAATTACACCTGTAGTCCTTTGGGCAAAATGTTTGATCCAAAAAATTTGGACTCTGGGACTCGACTGGGATCAACCGCTGCCAATTGATATTGTTCGTCAGTCTTCCAAGTTTTTTGAAACTCTTCCTCATCTCAGCAACTTAACCATTCCCCGACTGGTTCTGCTTCCAGAAACCACTGACGTTCAGCTCCATGGATTTTCGGATGCCTCGGAAGTTGGCTACGGATGTGCTATCTACTTAAGAGTTGTTAATTCTGATGGAAAACCTCTTACCAACCTTATCATGGCCAAATCCAAAGTTGCACCCTTAAAGAAAATTTCAATTCCTCGCTTAGAGTTGTGTGGAGCAGTTTTACTTAGTAAAACAATGTTTTTTTGTAAAAACATGTTAGCCTACAAATTTGGAAATATACCCACTTTCGCCTGGACCGACTCTCTAGTAACGCTACACTGGATCCGCACCGCACCTCATCAGCTCAAGACTTTTGTGGCTAACCGGGTCGCTGAACTCCAGACATTGCTCGAACCCGCTTGCTGGCGACATACACCGACAGATACCAATCCTGCTGATTACGCCTCAAGAGGGCTACTACCCCATGAAATCTTAAGAAATTCTCTATGGTGGATTGGACCTAATTGGCTCATGGAGGAACCAATGTCTTGGCCGACTCAACCTTTACCTGCTCTAACACCCAACGAGTCACTGCTTGAGTTTCGCCCATCTGCGACATGTGCACTAGTTGCCGCCAAAGACACAAAGAATGAGTTCACTGCCTTAGTTGAAAAACATTCACAGTTCACCAAACTACAATCTTGTATAGGATGGATATTAAGGTTCATACATAATTGCCAAAAGAAGAAAGAGAAGATTACTGAACCATTTCTTACTTCTAAGGAACGTGCATCAGCCCTACACCTACTTGTGAAACTAACTCAATCAAGTTACTTACCTGATCACATTGATAAACTTGCTACTGATCAGACAAGTCATAGTCTTCAGCGGTTAAGTCCATTTTTAGATGAACAAGGACTCATTCGTGTGGGTGGACGTTTGAAAAATTCCCAGCTACCATACAATGCTAAATTTCCTATGTTGTTGCCAAAACAATGTCACTTAACCAACCTACTTATAGACCACTACCATCTCAAGCACTTGCATGTAGGCCCAAGAACCTTGCAGTCACTACTGTCTCAACAGTTTTGGATTATTTCAGCTAGGCAAGTCATCCGTCATCGATTATCCAAGTGCCTAGTTTGTGTTAAAATGAAAGCTAACTCCATTCAACCATACATGGGTAACTTACCTGGCTCACGAATTACGCAAAGCCGCCCTTTTCTCCATGTAGGCATTGATTTTGGTGGACCCTTTACCACAAAAACGGACAAGTTGCGCAAACCACAGTTACTGAAGAGCTATGTATGTTTGTTCATATGTTTTAGTACAAAAGCAATCCATCTCGAGTCAGTCTCGTCTCTCTCTACGGAAGCATTCTTAGCTTGTTTTGACCGATTCGTCTCAAGAAGAGGTCTTTGTGCACATATCTACTCAGACCAAGCAACTAACTTCGTGGGAGCAGATCGAGAACTCCAAGAACTTCACAGTCTACTTCACAAGACTCCAACTTCAGATGCCGTTCTTTCAAAACTCGCCCAGATGGGAATCAGCTGGCACTTCAACCCACCTGCTGCACCACATTTTGGCGGACTATGGGAAAGTGGAATCAAGTCCATGAAGTATCACTTAAAACGAGTTGTTGGAAATCAGATTCTAACTTTTGAAGAGTTCTCAACATTATTGACAAAGGTCGAAGCAGTCCTCAATTCTAGGCCTCTGTGTAGTCTTTCAACTGATCCCAACGAGTATGAGACTCTAACCCCTGGACATTTTCTCATAGGAGAGCCTTTGGTAGCGATCCCCCAGACTGATTTAACAAACCTTCCACAGAATCGTCTTTCTCGCTGGCAAATGATCCAACAGGCACAACGATCCTTTTGGAAAGTATGGAGTCAAGATTACTTGCATCAGTTACAACAGCGATACAAATGGACACGTGATTCACCCAATTTGAAAATCAATGACTTAGTCCTAATAAAGGACAAAAACCTTCCCCCTTTGAAGTGGACTACAGCTCGTGTCATCCAGACACACCCAGGGAAAGATGGCATCGTCCGAGTCGCCACTCTGAAGACACCAGCTGGACAACTTCAGCGACCAGTCGTGCAGCTGTGTCCCCTTCCTCAAGAGAATTAATTTGTTTTTATTTGCCAAGAAGATGTTTTTCGTTGTGTTTTTTTCCTTTTCAAGAAATTTTGAGTTATTTACATAGAACTATGAGACATAAATTTTGTGTGAAAAAGACTAAATCTTTTTGGTGGGCGGAAATGTTAAGGCCAGATTTATTTTAGTTTCAAAAACATTTTATTTTAATCCCCTTTGCTTGACCAGAATAATTTCATTTTATTTCCCCAATACCTACAGCCAGTTTACCTATCCATCCTATAACCAGTATTCAAATTTGCCGCCATACCCCACTACCTCAAATCAAGAGTCACCTGGGAAGAACACTGGGTCACATGACCTCACTTCTTCAACATGGCTGGAACAACAGGAATCTACAGTATGAGGTATTCCTAATTTTAGCAATTCCTTTAGTTTCGCCACCTCCTACTCATTTTAATCATTCCTAATCGCTTTATTTTCAGCGCCAGTGATAATAGGATGATTTTCAATTGGGGAAATATCACTTGTTTGCTAAAGCACAGTTTGTAAATTACAGCTATGTACCACACATTTGAATGTTTGTTTACTGTACCACAACTTTTAGAGGTTACAGTGCAATGTTATAAAGAGTACTTTAAAATACTATATTACTAGGTCTAGGTATATTATGTCCATATTTAAAGTAAAGTGTTGTAATGTAACTAAACCACAAAATTATCAAAATTGTTCTTGACTCAGTAACTTAGTGGTAGGCCTATGCAAGTAAAATTACCCATCACCTATGAAATTTGTTTGAGAAATCAAACATCAAACATTAAGTAGGAGTAAAATGGTTTTTAAACGAGTGTTTGTGGTTAATGCAAAAGTTAATTCTTTAACATCATATCATTACTTACCGATGGCAAATGGACTGGTTGGGGCGAGGTTGTGGGGCGGAGAAGAGGATGGCTGAGAAAGAGGATCTGATGGTTCCACGACATTGTCTTGACCAGCTGCTGGCTGTCTTTGGGCTCCAAACCTGTCAAAATCAGCTGATTAATAGCTGTGATTTACTTTAAACAGTTTTGACAGCTGGGTGTAAAAAGGTTCAACAAAATAATCTCCTAAAGCTAAAAGAATCAAGTGTATTATCGGGAACAAATATGGACCTATTCTCCTTAAATTGAAACAAGAAAAAAACTAGGTATAACTTTTTTTATTTTACTTCAAGTGTTGTAACAATTAACTTAAAGTGGTTTTGCAATTTTTTGATACCGGTATATGTCACTGTGTTATTACAACGGAAAAGTTGAGTCAGTATTATTAGTATCACATTCCTGGATGCAACAGACCTACCTGAGAGGTGTAGACGCTGGAGTGGTTGAGCGAGAGCTCCGTCGAGGGGTAGGGGAAGATGTTTCTTGACTCTGTGACTGAGTTCCTCTACGTGTACGGGAGCTTGGGGTACGGGGAGCGACCGGCTGGTGCTGTGGCGTCCCTGGAGCTTGGTCCGGCTCCGAGCCATGACGAGACGGAGTCCTCGACCCTCTAGTTCTTCTAGGACTCGACATTGCTGTAAAGTATCCATGGTTAGAGGGTGTAAGTAATGGTCTAGGCTTCAATGTTGAGAGTATAACGGAAATTCCTTCATTTAAAAGGATAGGCTAGGCAACAAATTAAGTTAAAAGACCAATATCTGAATATTAGCTGTATGTAGGCCTATGTAGAAATTAAACTAATAGGCTATAACTTTAGGGCAAATTCAAATCCTACTAGGCCTAGTGTGAGAAAGAAGACAGAACAGCATTTAATCTGAATAAAACTAAGGGCATAGGCCTACCCTCGAGGACTAATATTTAGCCTAAGTGCAGCCTAACACTTCTTGTCAAACGCTTGGGGCTACAATTAACAGCTTAGACCTAGTCTACTGACGAGGATAACAAAAAAGTTTGTAAATGACTCTTTTTCTTTAATTTATTGCCCAGTGTTTGATCAGAATCAGAATGAAGATGAACAATACAATACATCCTGTAATTATAAATAGGTACCGGTACCTCCTTATTTTTTTCAAAAACGATTAAAAGCTAGAATTATTAGGCTACTGTCATGTTTACTTGCAAATAAATGTGTGCCTAAAAGCAGGCTTACCGTACTGCTATCTCTTTATTTAAAAACAGGTGATCAGATGTGTACGGTAACTTACGACCCTCCAGATAACTGGTCTGTGGGGGCCAAGCATCCCGCTTACGCTTTAGTCTAATAGGCCAAGTAAAATAGGCATACCGGTATTTAATATTGTCTTATATTGTTGACTTAGAGTTATATTTTGTTACGGTCTTTCCTGAAGATTTCGGAGGATTGCGTTGTTTCCCCTAGGCCTATGTGTGTTGTGGTTTGATAAGACACTGCATATGATAGAATAAAAAGACCTCGCAAAACGTACAGCATTTTATTTGTAAAATTTTATTTGTTTGTTTGAAGACAGAGAGAATTGTCATTTTATAAGTGCTACCATTGACTATTTATAGAACTACTAACTATAATTATTAGTCTAACTTAGGACAGGAATATAGTCTAACTAAGGCCTATTTAGCTTAAAAAAGAAATGTTACCTATCTAAATAAAAATCAGGTATCATATAACTTACTGCAGTAGGCCTAAAGCTGTCCTTTGTTCCGTGGTAACTTAACTTGTAAAGTTATTTCCAATGAACACACAAGTATGTACAATTAGTAAAACAAATTAAAATTTGTCAACTTCACAATCACAACTTGTTGCTGTAGAGTGTGAATTGTGAAAAAGAAGGTAGATGGAGTGGAGACTGCAGACAAGAGGATTTGGCGGGTAAATTCCATAGTTTTACCACCTCCAATGTGTTAGACAATTGAAGTGGAATGAACTTAAACCGACCCATTCTAGTCCCAAAACCGCTTAGCTGCTATGCTGGTATGTAGTTTACGGTACGTTGCATCAACCAGATTCGTTCAGTTCACTCTCAGTGGATTCAATTCTGTTCAGAATAAACTAAAAAATAGCGTTTTCGCGGTTTTCCAATTTCTTGTTCTGCTTTGGATATCTGTATGAAACCTGATACCCAGTACTATATTTAATGACAACTGTAAAACTATATTTTTATTATATTTATATTAAATGTTAGTCCAGTGAAGCGGACGGACGGTTAGCAATAGTGAGTAAACAATAAATAAATCCATAGATTTCTAGGGTCTGGTATTTTTCGATCTTTTAAGTTACAGTACCGGTACTTCTTTGAATGTGATCAACTTCACAACTATTATAGGTCAAATACAATGTCTAGGCCTACGTGTTTTCTTCTTTCTTTTGACAATTCTCTCTGTCTTTCTTTTTCTTGACTGTCTTGTGCATTTCAAGCGTCCATGACAAGATCGATTGCATGTAATTTTGCCTAAAGATCATTAAATTAATGTCTTTAAATGTCTTTTGAACTTATGCCGTGTGGTCTTGAAACGGTCTCATTTTGTGGTCGTTCGTTACTTCCCTTACCGCTATAAAAACAGAAGAGTCCCACTCCCACCCCACAAGGTTCTATTACTTGCCATCTTCCCCCCGGATCCCCCATTTTGGGGATGTACACGAAGTGGCGGTTATGCCCAAAAAGTACTTTAACATGCCAAAAAGGTGAGCAAAGTTTAGTTTTTCTAGTATGGGGTGTTAAAAAATTGACAGGGGTCTGGGGTCTCCAGACTTTTTATTAACCCTATGTATGCATATACCCTTATCTTTATGTCCATTTGACGAGTTAAACCATTTATGTCCATATTTGAATTCGACCACCCTCTTTCTACTGAGAAGCACGAAGCACAATATACAAATTAGTCTGCTTAAACTAAAACGTGGTTCTAAGACATCACAGTTCACAAAAAAAACTATACAACTATGGTTAAACATACTAAATGCTGGTTTCCAAATGAATTTGAAGACATCACTCACAAATCATGCCATTCAGTTCACTTTTGGCAAGCACCAGGTCTGCTCTCCTTTCATTACAAGCCATACGAAATATATTGCCAAATTAGGAGAACGGTGACCGTATTTTCTTAATAAACGTGTATTTTCCTACTTAATGCTGGCTATGTGGGTCATCCTATAATCCAACTACTTGGATGTCGCAAATTGTGGATATTTTATAGGCATGATCCGTCCCTGGTGTGGCTGTAACGTCAGCACTAGTGAGTATTACAACCATCCGGTCTATCATCTGCAGTACTTTCCTGATTATTAGACCAATTGTAAAGTACAAGGCAAAATGTGATTCGGATGCCCCTATAAACCCCTGATTCCCTTAGTTGCCATTGGCTGTATGGGCTATTAATTAAACAGTCCATTAATTAAACATTGAACAAATCGAAAACACAACCAATACACCATCTCTTTCAAAATTCAAATGCATATCAGAAGATAAACTAAAAAAACTTTTTACCCATATCAAGTCCAACAATGCTGCGGGCTACGATGAAATCACGGGAAAGCTGCTTAGGTACTGCAGAGAAGAAGTAACGGAACCTTTACTCCATAATCAACACCTCACTCAACAAAAATCAAATACCTAAAAACTTAAAAATCTCAAAGATTCACCCAAAATTTAAAAAAGGAGACAAAGAAAATCCTGGAAATTATAGGCCCATATCTAACCTACCAACAATATCCAAACTATTAGAAAGAGAAATATACGACCAAATCATTAATCACCTAGAAACAAACAACCTACTCACAAACTGTCAACATGGCTTCCGGAAGAAACGAGGAACAAATACCGCAATTGTAGAACTCAGCGAAGACTTAACAAGTATTTGGGAAGACAAAAAAAATGCATCGGGACTTTTCTTAGACCTTCAACAAGCGTTTGACTCATAGGACTGGGATATACTTCTACAAAAGCTAAAAAAATTACATATTGAAGGAGAAGCATTGGCACTAATAAAAAACTATCTTGACCATAGGTACCAATATGTTGAAACCGATCAGCAAGTGAACAACATAATAATAGCATCCAAATCACCACTTAAACAGAATACAAAAGGCATCCCTCAAGGCTCCCTACTTGGCCCACTTTTCTTCCTGATATATATAAATGATGTACCAGAAAAATTATCAAAAGAATTCAAATGTATTTTATTTGCAGACGATACCACCATACCAGATAGAAATAAAAATAACCAACAACTCATAACCACAGCAGTAGAACAAGCAACAACAATATGCAATAACCTAAATATAAAACTTAATACCAGTAAAACTACACACATCAATTTCAAACCAAGCAACAACCTAGAAGATCAAAGCGACTGGACCAACATCAGTATCACAACGCAAGAAACCACTAAATTCCTGGGAATAATTGTTGATAAAAATTTATCCTGGCAGCAGCACATCGAACATTTGTGTACAAAACTGGCCTCTGCACACTATGGCATCAAACGAATTCGCACCATAACCGACGAAGAAACCACCAGAATAGCCTACTTCTCGCTTTTTGCTTCTCACCTGAGTTACGGAATTGCAACATGGGGATCATCATCTGCAAACAATATGGACAAGCTACTTATCCTACAAAAGAAAGTACTACGGACGATATGCAGGACACACTATCTGGAACATTGTAGACCCCTATTCATCCAGCTCAAAATCCCCACCGTTTTCTCACAATACATCCTAGAAACCATAATCCTAGCAAAAAAATCCAATCCAACACTCCGGTCATATTATCACAATCACAACACCAACACCAGACACAAAAACAATATAAACCTGCCACAACACAGACTAAAAAAATTCAGCAACACCCCAATATACACAGGATCTAAATACATAAATCTTCTGCCAGAAAAAATTAAAAATATTTCAAATCATACCACATTTGTAAAGACACTAAAAAACTACCTTATAAACAAACCATATTACTCAACAAAGGAATACATACAAGAACACACTTACACTGGGCTAGCTGAAAGGCTGCCAAGAAGATGAAGAAGGAGAAATTTTGACGACTCCCCGATCTGAGGATTGTGGCGAAGAAAGAAGAGGTAAAAGGTAAAAGTCCTGTCTAAGGAACATGTCGACCATAGTCAGTAACAAGACTACATCGTGCCTTACTCATCTCCGATCTTTATTCACTTGGCTTACAACACCTTCCTTCATATGGTAGTTAATAAGTACCTAAAGTACAACCTTTGATTATTAATACTACAACAGTAGAATATATCCCTATTCTCCTCCTTGACTGAAATGATAACTCAGCTGATATAAAAGCATCATGTCAAAACGTTGACACATATCATTCCAGTTGGTATAAAATTTTAAATATCAAACTTCAAGAAGTCAGTAGTAAATTTAAAATCCTCTGCCAAAATTATAGGAACAACCTTATAATTTATAATCTTTATAACTTTTATTATATTTAATTTGTGTCATTTTTGCAAATTATGGCTGGTCCTCGTGTTAGGGAAGGAACTTTAGCGAAAGTTTATGAAAAACATCTCAAGAATGTAAGTTGTATTTTTCTTACTATTTGTATGAATCAAAATTAAAATAAAGAACCACGCACTATTCATTAATGAATAAGTAATATGGGTTTTCTTTGAAATTACCCCATTATACTAGAGCAATGCTTTTCTAATTGACTATGTTTATATCTTAAGGTAAAAACTGTTGCTGCAAAAATAGACAACTCGGCACCTCGCCTGCCTGTTGCAGTCTACGTTAAAGAAGCGAAGTACTATGCAGATATTGCCAGGTTGCGGAACCTAGATGTGGAAAACCGAGGACTGATTAAACGGATCAATACTATATACAGAATCAAGGTATGCAATTGTGTTTACTGCTGTATTTTTTGACATTTTAAGTAATATGGGTTTCACCAAAAAAGTAATAGCATTGACTAATGACCATGTACCATTAGTCTTTGGTAATAGATAGAGAATATTTTCTATTGCAAATAACATAGGCCTATATAAGTATTTTTATCATGGACTTCTATTTTAGTGTACAGTATCAAAATACTGTACAATTATTTTGGCATAAAATATTAATTTGTTAATAAATCTTAAATATAAAGGTATAAAGAATGAAGAAGGTTATGGTTAAAGGGAGCTTTCATTTTCCTATATTAAAATGGGAAAACTTATGATCCTACCTTTTTCTTATTGGTATTTACAATTGAGTAACTGTAGTCTTTAATGTTCCATTTAAAACAGAGATAAAAGCGATCAGCTCAAAAAATTTGAAGCGTAACATAACGTTTACAGCGCAGACGGGGTGTGGTATGACCTTAACCAAGGAGTAAAGGAAGATGTGAACTCCTAGTTATCCCAATAAATCTTTAAAGATTAGAGGTTTTTAAGATAAAATTTATTGTTTAGATTATTAATTTATTTGTGTAGGGAAGGGTGGATTGCAAACTTGAGAGGTACAGCAGGCAAAGAACTATTTATAGCCATGAAGCTGAAGCTGTGGAAAAACAACAAAGAAGAAATGCCAAGTTTTTGCAGAAGTTAGATTCGAAGGTATGTGTGTCCTTTCAATGATGAATATCCAGTATCCATTAATGTCTTGTAATTTTCACACTCTAAAAATTCCAATCCTCCTATGAAAAAATCAACATTTTAGATTAACAAAATAAAGAGGTATCCAAAACACACCAGGATGCTTATTTTTATGGAAAAGGAGTAAAATATGAATGAGCCGAGCATTTTGTTTCTGATTAAACATTTTCCATTAATTCATTGAAAAAGTATTCAGGCCTCCAATTAAGTGATAGTCTTAAACTAAAACTAACCATAAAAGGATCCCCATATAGCTTTCTTTCTGTTTGAGTGCTAGAACCAATTTTTAATGTTCTATGAGAAGATTTTATTTTTTACAGTTTGTAAAATCTGAATATAACCAAGAGTACTTATCAAAAGACTGGAAGAAGATGTTAAAGGCAATGAAGTTCTCGGCGAAATATCCAGAGTTTTACGACATTAAACCCTCTCGTCTAGAAAGTTGGTCGCTCTGCCCACCGAATGTTTCTTCCGATCCAGCTTCTCATCAAGTGTAATGGATGTTTATAGTAACTAAATCATTCAAAAATATTGTTTAGTATGCACCTACAGTACAATCCAACTTCACTATTGCAATCCTTTTAGTAGCATCTGCAAAACCTCTAAACCAAATCTACTGAATATGAGTAGCTTTTATCGTCTTGGCCTCGTAAAGCCAGACATTGAAGATTTGTGACATGCCTTTGCATCCTGCACCACCTTATCACTGTACTACTGTTTACTTGAGACAACATTGGCTCGTCCATATGATCTATAAAATGAGTGCGGCAAAAGTAAGTAAATGCAACAATTAGCTACTTTGCGTGCTATAATCAGTGCAAGGAAGCCCACTTTGTCAGGTAACTGTAGGAAAAATACTTTTCAGGTGTTATTTAGACCTGAAGATCGGGGATCTGCCACAAGTAAGTCGGTTGGAGATTGAGGTTTACAGTGACATTGTCCCAGCCACTGCGGCCAACTTCGTAGCGTTGTGTCAAGGATTTGGCAAACTCGGCTACAAAGGATCTCCCTTCCACAGGTAAACACTGCTAGGAGAAACACAAAATATGATGAAACTAAAAACTTTTTGTTGAAAACTAAAGCTTATGATACCGCTTATTACTTAAAATATGTTTGATCGATCTTTGTTTAATGGCCGAGCCATAGTTGTATCAGTGGTTTAGCCAATTTCCCATATAGGGAATAACCTATTTTTTGTTTAAAGTAATAAATTCATTTAATCACTTGTTTGACATCTATACCCAATAAAGGTATTCGGCCTAGCCAACTAATTGCCTCCACTTCAATTATATCCTGCATTTCTTCTTCTTCAGCTCTCTACCTTCTCATGTCTTTGGGTACTTTGGCTATGCTCGATATCCGATAGTCACAGAATAAAGAGCCATCTAGAGATGTCAACTCCCTACTTGGTTTTGATTTTGGAAACATATCTACTTTCAATCAGAAAAAATCTCAGGATTGTAAATTAATTACACAACGTTAACTCACTTAAGCCAACAAAATTTTTTAGACTGTAAAGTCTACTCCTTAGTAAAAATAAATATCAAATTGTTCTAGATGAGTAACCATATCAAGTATGCATTACAGTCCTGCTTTAATGGTAATTGAAAGTCTGCTTTGGTTATCTATAGTCAAATGACCGACTAACCTTGTACCTTTTCATACCCCTTTTTTGTTTTAGCTGAGAGTGAGAGCTAAGAAAAGTTCAAGTTTTTTTTCAGAGATTGTTAAGTAAATCTATGCAAACAAAGCATGTATTTTAAAAAAATGTGCTGCAAACTGAATTTTATTCTCTGAATCACTCAATGTCTATTGCTCTATTCAACACCATAAAACACATCCTCCATAATTTCCAGGATAGTTCCGAATTTGTTCTGTATCGGTGGAGACGTTGTCAACCATTCTGGAACTGGCGGAATGTCTATATATGGTGCTTCCTTTCCAGATGAGAACTTTACACTGCAACATAATGGACCAGGTATTGCCGATTTAACTTTTAATTAAACTAGCTTTCAATTAAGTAAGTAAGTAAGTAACAGTAGAATTAGATGACACAAATAAGGCAAATTTCCACCCACATAAGTCAATGATCATGGAAGCCATGATCCTATCAACAATCTTTACATGGCTATATTTTCATGTCTGGATTCTAATTTTATATTTGAACAAAATAATAAGTTCATGACCAAAGCTTTTAAAACCAGTTGACAAAGGCGGTATATTTCGTCACTAGGGGCATAAAGTGACTCTTTTCAACGTGAAATAAAGCTTTAAATGAGCAAGGGTTGAAAAGACACTTTTGCCCATGTGATGCACTATTTTTTATCATATTGCACCATTATTTAAGCAAACTAAGTTTAAAAAAAATAGTTTTCATTGAAAGAGAAGCTTCCAAAATAGCTTCCACCCTGTTCTCAATTTTGCTATTGTAATTGTGAACAGGCAGCTGTTTAGTATATGGAATCAATTTGATTGTGTTTGTGATAAAATATCAATTAAGTGACCCATTTGCAGTGGATGTGGCTGAACGTTCCATAACATCTCTCTTTGATCAGAAAGATAAAAAGATTGGCATAGGTACTAATCACATTAAATAGGTTACAGTTCTGGCACCTCATTTATAACAAATCGAGTACTGAATATCAATTTCTTGGGCATTCAGTCCAACTATTTCCTTGTGTCAACCATCTTTTTATAGATTCAATGTAAAAAAAATTGAATCCAGCCTATGTCTAAAATAATGCAATAATGAACTATAACATTTAAAATGGAATAATCAATAATAGAAGTGTTACTTTTAATACAACTGTTACTTTTGATACAACTGTTACTTTTGATACAACCGTTACTTTTGTTACAACTGTTACTTTTTATACAAGCGATGCTTACAATCAAAGTTAACAAGTGAGCAAAATATACTGCTAATATCGACTCCAGATGATTTTCACTCCCTAGGTCCAAGGGAGAAAAATAGCTACTTAAGACCTGCCCATGTTGCAGTATGACAACAATTTTTTTCAGGGGTTGTCGCCATGTACTCCTCCACTCCAGACAACAACAATTCACAGTTTCTTATAACATTCAAGCAGCTTGTAACCTTAAATGGAAAGTTTGTGGTTATTGGAAGAGTCAAGAAAGGTTTCAAAGTTCTTAGAATGGTGAGTCTATGATATAAAATCTAGTTGAATTTGTTTAAATGATTCACCCTTGACATCAATATTGCTTGTTCGTCATCTATAAGTATAAAAGAGGATGTTTGTATATATATATATATATGTTTGGCAGTGATAAACTCAGACACCGCTGAACCGATTGCCACGAAACTTGGTACATACGTGTAGAATTTCATGGAATAGGTTTATACACCATCAATTTCGTGATCCGTCCAATCGGCTCCACCCCAGTGGCTCTGGAGTTTCCCATGTTAACCTTATGAGAAATGGAATTAATGAATCTTAACAGCTGTTTCAATTAAACAAGTTGGTTCTGTTCTATGATGTTTAATAGCATTAAAGTTACAAGGATTACCAACAGGGTGCAGCAATATTATTTCTTTTACATTTATGACAACAGCTAATTTGCAACCAAAAGGTGAGTGAGCATAGCGAACGAACTTCAACCTGGAGGCGAGTTAGCGTAGTGAACGAGCTAACCTGAAGGCAAGTGAGCGCAGCGAACGAGCTCCAACCAAAGGTGAGTGAGCGTAGCGAATGAACTTCAATCAGGACGTGATTGAGCCGAATAGAAAAACCAAAAATATTGTCTACCCACTAGCATTAATATAAGAGCAATAATAATAAAGAATCGGATATCGGGGAGCGAGCTGGGGGGGAGCGAGCTGGCGTAGTCGGTGTAGATATTAAGTCAATGGTAGTGGTTAGAGCGCGGGACTTCAGTCCCTAAGGTCCCGGGTTCGATCCCCGCCAAGTCACCAATGGATTTTATCTAAGTGATGATGCCGTAACCCCTAGGTCTAGCCTGAAGTAATGTGAAAAACAATCCCAGGCTCGTGCCTAGCGTCCTAGGACAAAAAAGAATCCACCTAAACTTTACAATTTTACCGATAGGACACTAAGTGCTCGGTTTCTATAGTGAAAGTTATTTAGATTTGTGACAGGTACTTTTTTAAACACAGTTTGAAGCAATTCCCCCATGTTATAAGTGGTGTCAGCGGCGTATGGCCTGTGGCTGACTCCCGCGCCCTCTTAAGTAAAAAAAAAAATATATATATATATATTAATGAGGGGGGAAATTTTCATTCAAGAACAAAAATTTGGGGAGTTCAAAAATATTAATTGTTTACACTACTGGTGAACCAAGAATTTGGAACTAGATAGTGATTGAAGTTTAGTTAAATTTCTAACTTCTCAATCTATAACAGTTTTCAGTTGACTGATTGTGTTATTATTTTTTTTTTTTTTAGATTGAGAGCTGTGGAACAAAAGGTGGCAAACCTTTGGGCACAGTGAAGGTCGTTAAAAGTGGAGTTTACAAAGAAAACAAGAAAGAAACCATCTCTACCCCAATAAGTGGATGCCAAGGGCTGTAAAATATACATTTGATGTTATATATAAATATACTCTGAGGATAAAAATAATATTCATTATTTTGATTTATTAGGTTTTGCTCTAAAAATGGATTCACTATAACTTATATTAATTGCTCATAAACATTATTCTCATGTACTAATCCCTTTCAAATTTACAATAAAAAAAGTATGCTTAATTCATTATTAATCTAACGTACAAGCTAAGGAAAAAAATAATGTTGATACTAAAGGAAAACAAATCTCTACCAATGTACAATAACTTCTACTAGAACACTGCTCTCCAATTTGAGATGAATCATTGGAAACCCGGAAACCCTGGACATGTCACTTTTATAACTTTTATCTTTTGTTAGAACTTAAAAAGCATTAAATAGTCTCAACTGCAAATCGTGTGTTTTACAGGTGTATAAGCTAAAGGGGAGTTTTTGTTTGCACAACTGTTATTTATTTATTGTTTAACATATTTTAAAATTATCCACACATTCTATTTTCTTTTGAGTTGACACATTCAATGTTCAATCCTTATTAACAAAGTTATTTGTCCAAAGTTTTGGAGATGGTAAGCTTAGATTATTGCCACTATCTTCCATCACGACTAGTACAAAACAAAATTCATTAGTACTAGTGGAACCCCGTCGAAATCGACGGTTAATCTTGAGGTTTTATGTAAATTCAGCTAACTGCGTTGGATAGAGTGAAGTCATTAAATTCTTAGTTATATGAAGGGAGGATAAGCAATAATTAGTATGACGATTGTGTTCCCTAAAAAACGTGATTGATGAATTCGTTTAACACAATATTTCCTACCTTTCTTTTTATCGGCTTTAGGTTGCCCAAAAGGTTTTTTAGGAGTCTTATAATTGTTTGTTCATGAGTTTGTTTCATACCAAAGCCACTTCATATAATTAGTCTATCATGTTACGGAAAGAGTCAATATTTATTACTAACCACTAATTCCATCTGCTTTAGGAAAATCAATCAGATTGTATTCGGATTTATAAGTAAATCATTATCTTTTTTTTGATAAAAATATCTGATTCTAAAGAAAGCAGTAACATTCTTACTTTGATCTCAGCAATTTTAAATCCTTTTCTTGCCACATCGACCCATGTATTTAATCATCCTGTTCTTACTTGATAATTCATTAACTTATGGGGTAGTTTTGCCTTGGCCATATAGATCACATAAAGCTGTGCATGTATTTCGTGGATTGGAATGATCATAATTGTAGGAAATTTTATCACAAATCTTGAACATTTGCGGAACCAAATCCATAACCTAGTCCAGCATTGGTAACAAATTATGCAAATGCGATGAGATGTGATGACACTGTTGTGTTTCCGAATGTTTTGTATGTAGTGAGGTTTAGATGCGTTGTTCAACCTAGCTACATGTGTACATCAAAGTAAAAACTGTGTACACATTTTTTTTTTAATATTTGAATTGACATTAGTTCACCTACTTTACCAAAACCATAGACTCCGTAGTTAGTCTATTCCAAAACTTGAACACAGCTCTCATCCTCAACGTACTCACCTATGAACAATTATCAACCCGATTATCAAAAACTGTTATACCAATAAATGAATCTCAGGTGTTCTTTCTTGAATTTAAAAATAAATGGTGATTGAAAGTAGGAAAAAAAGGCAAGTGCCAACCTTACAATATGTATAAGCTAACCCGATAAGGAATAGTTATATGTTCCTTTGAAATTGATAAGTCACACTTATTTCATAATTTAAAATTTTCTAAGAGCAATAAAGCATCGATTTTTGAACAAAACATTTCAAACGTATCATAAATTCATCATTTTGTTGAAACTATAAAAAACTTGCCATGCAGTGGAGAATCCATTTAAAATAATAAATAATATTGTAAACATTTAATTTTGACAGTTTCAGTAGACCTTTGAATACAATATTAATATTAACAGCTGGTTCATTAAAAGTAGTGTAAAATTATCCATATGGTCGAAATGTAAACAAAATTGCAGAGTGAACTTTAAAGGCCTCTGGGGCAGAGCCCCAAGGAAATTTACATCGTTTCTCTTTTGAGGGCTCACCTACAGACCAATACCTTTCTTTAGACACCCCTACCAAGTTTCTACGCCCAGCCGTTCTCTCAAATTAGCTGTGACAAAAACCTTGTTTTCCTCCATAAGAATAACATGGGATGGGAATTTAAAGGCCACTGGGGCAGAGCCCCGAGGGAATTCTCCATGTTTCTCTTTTGATGGCTCATCTACAGACCAGGACCTTTCTTTAGACACCTCTACCGAATTTCTACGCCCAGCCGTTCTCTCAAAATAGCTGTCACAAAGAAAAACAGTTTCAAATTAATATATAGATACGAGGGGTGTTCAATAAAGACTGACAGTAGCTTACTTGTAAACAAACAAAGTCAAATAATTACGTTTTTATAAGTTGGTATGAAAGATTGAAGTATTACCAACCACGAAATCAGCTGTTAACATCATAGCATTGTTGCATTGTTGTCATAGCATCCGATTCATAAACAGTTGCACATTTTTGCCTCTAAGGTTTACTATGGCTGATTTTCGTGAGCAAAGATATGCGATAAAGTTTTGTGTAAAATTAGGGAAAAGTGCTACGGATACTTACAGCGACTTGGAAAAAAGCTTTTGGTAATGATGCAATGAGTGAAAGAACCTGTTTTGGGTAGCATAGAGACTTTAAAAATGGACGGGAATCATGTGAGTTGGAAGGTGGGCCTGGCGCCCCTGTTTCTGCCCTTACCGAAGAAACTATCAACACTGCTGGTGTTATGATTCACACTGATCCACATTTGACTATTAGACAGCTTCCTATACTGCTCGATAACCAATTGGCAGTGTCCATACACTTATGCATGATCATTTGAATATGACACTTGTCTGTGCCCGTTGGATACCACGTCTTGGCCCCCATGTTGCCAATACTGTGCTTCAGTTTCTAGCCAAAAAAGAAGTCGAAACTGTGCCACATCCACCATACAGCCCTGACTTGGCTCCAAATGACTTTTTTCTCTATCCTCAGGCCAAAAAGGAGCTCAAAGGCCGCCGTTTTCCAACTACTATTGCCGCTATTAAGGCTTTAGAGGTGATTTTGAAGGTCCTGACAAAGGAGGGCTTTGAACACGTCTTCAAGGAGTGGCAGAGGCGCTGGGACAAGTGTGTGGCTTTAAATGGTGACTACTTAGAAGGAGATACAAGTGTGAAAGTACCTATAAGCTTTTTTATTAAAGGTATTAAAAGAGTACTGTCAGTCTTTATTGAACACCCCTCGTAGATTATTTTTAACTATTCGTCATGGAAAGTGGCTGCAGTAATCTCTTGAATAACAAATGTAAAATTATTTGATGAAAAAATAACAGTTAGGTTCTTATTTTTGTAGTTAAGGGTACTCTTTTGGTTTGGGTGAAATTTTGAAAAATAATTTACGATCCAAATATGTATGCACATTTCCTTATTTGGCTGAATGTTATGTTTTATGAATGGTATTTAGAATTTACAATCTTCAATCAAATAGCTGGGTAACTGTGTGGATATTGTCTTCACAATAATCACAGGATCGTTGGTTCAATTGAAAAATTTCAGGATCCAGCTTTCCTTGATCTTTGGGCAAATAAATGATTATGACTTAAGAATCAGCTTATCTTAGTCAGTGACAGCTGAACATTTCGTTCATTACTCATCCGTCTCTCCACCTTATAATCCAACGCAATTAACATTATTCTCTGTATTTAATCGTTACTACCCTAAATCACATTGATATTTGAATATTAAATAGACACACACCAAAGTATACCTACAACAGTTCAGGCCCACAGAAATCTTCTTAGTACGAGTAACCAAAGTGTGAAATACTCTTCCCTTTGAGCAGCGAACCGCATACTCTTCTAATTCCGCTCCAAGAATTTTATCGCAGTCGGTTCACATGATGAACTGCCACCTCCCATATTTTTGGCTATTTGAAAGACGAATGTTATTAAATATAAATGTCGACGCGCATTACTAAAATAAATTTATGCTCATGGAAGAGAGCCATTCCAATTAGTTTGGGTTTCCGCTTTAAATCAACTGATGCACTTTGAGCTCACACATTTTTAACAGCTGTTAACCCTTCCCAGATGATATAAAATATGTATACATACAGAAAAATTAATATATATATATATATATCCCTTTTTTACATCTGAAGTTTATAGAATGTTGTAAATATTTTACCTATGCAGAAATTTAGTACAAAATAAAATAAATTTTTTATTTTTCTAGAAAAACATTCCTAGTACATCGGTTAAAGATATAATTGAATAAAAGACCGTTTTACGAAAATTAATGTTGTGGTATATACAATCAACTATAACAATAGATGTCGTAATAATCGGCGGGTATATGCCGTCTGCTATGCACAAAATGATTCCCTATATTCCTTCCGGGAAGGGTTAATATGGGGGAGGGGAAAAATAGGTTTAAATGAAAATAATTTAGATAATATTTAGGTTATATTTTAATCTAAATGGAAAATTTGTATTGTTTGAGAAATTTTTAGCTTTTAAATAATCGGTAAAAACAAATCAATCAGGAAAATTTCAGTATTGAAAAGTAAATGTCTCTTTTTGCAAAACCAAACCTTGACTGACTGATAATAATACATTATAATTACTATCCTTGGGACTCAGGGTTTTGATTGCTTTGAAATATATACCAAATTTCTAATAGGTCTACTGTTATACTGTTAAATGTATAACATACAATTTCTGATATATTCAATGATACTATACAATTTTGATGAATGTTTTGGTTACTTTAAAGGTAATGGCAATTTCCTTCTCTTCTCAGCCAAGAAAGTTTTTGTTCATTTATAGAATAATGATTTTGATCTTCATTACACTTGTTGCCTCTGTCTGCAGAAAAATAATTTTCTAAACCTCCAAAGATAGATTCATCATCTGTATCTCAAAATCTCAATATTTGTTCTATGTGAAACTCATATTTTCTGCTATGAAGTTATGAATCTATATTGAATATTTGGTTTTTTTATTATTCTAGTTTTTTATGAAAATTGATTACTTCTCAAGTTTTGCGTGGTTTCAAACTTCCTTCTCCACGACAAATTTCATAGTTAAATTATTTTATTAAATCAACCATAATAATAATTCTAACAGGATCTTTGGCTTCATAAAAATGGAGATTAGACTTAATGAAATAAAGTTTCTGATTAGCTACATTGACTTTATAGTTTTTACCACAGACATTAAGACAACGGCCATACAAATAGTGCTTAAAAAGGATAACCGCTAATTATTACTTTAATTTAAAAGTAGTTTTCAGGTGAATTCTAGATATATTATCAATTCATAAATTGTATTTGTTAGTGGTAGAATTTTATCCATCTTGTTTTGTTGCTTGTTCGTGTTAAGTTAAATAAAAAAAAAAAAAACTATAACCACAAATTAGATACACAAACTAGCATGATATCACCTAGACCCCTTAGCATTATTAATGACACCCCAGCTTTCTATTTAATGCTCCTTTGAGTTAAAACAATCTTTTTGAACGATTTTTGATATTTATTGACTATTTAATAATAACTTAGTAGCTGAAAGTATAATAGCACCTCACAACCAGAAAATCACCAGTTTCATCTTGATATAAGTATTTTTTGAGAGTTTAATCCATCTGTCCTCAATCATTAGCATTACAATAATATGTTGATCTGGCTAAATAAACAGCTGATCTTAGTCAGCTGATCTCAGCTGATTCTTAGTCCATTCATTCTACTTATCCTTCATTGTTATTAGGGTAAAATACACCCATATGTATCTCCATAATTGGTAACAAAGTGAACTTTTAAGCTCACACAAAGCTTTCTTTAGCAAAAAATTAGGTAAATAATAAAACGTATGATCATTATAACTATTTTATTATATAAGGTCAGTCTCTAGATTGGCTCAAATGTGTCATAAAAAGATAATCAATAAAATCACTTAATCAATACTGAACAATCACTCAATACATCACAAAAACAAGAAATTGATGACAGTCAAAGTTTCCAAAAGATAAATTTATCAACTCATTTTACATTTTGAAGTTCGGCAAATCAATAATGTTATGAAATGTGTGTATAACAATAATTTAACCTTGACTAGGTTATTCTAACAATTATTAGTAGAGCAGTCTAAATTGGTTCTACTTAAAATGGAAGAAGTAAGATGTTAGTCCCAGTTAAATTACTAAGAAATAATATTGACAACAAATACAATAATGTAACCACAATCTTTAGTTTGTATTGTCTGAAAGACTCGATTTCCCAGAACAGGGCTTATATGTATATATGATTAAAAATAATGAAAGTATAAACATTGTTTACTTTGAAAAATCTTATTAATTTATACATTAGATTATGTCAAGGAGAAATCCATTAATGTTTTTTCAGTTTTTAAAATAGTAAAAGTGGGCTATAAAATCAATTTCCAAAATAAATTTTATCGCAAAACTAAATTTGAAATTTTTACTGAAAATATTTTTTTTTTACTCCAAAACTGTTAATTAGGATTATAGATATAGACTAGACATCTTACTTTCTTAATTACACACGGTTACATACAAATTCAGTTAAATCTCTATATTTATGAAATTAATTTTTAACATGATGCATCCAAGTGAAGTATAGTATAACTTTCGTATCTTACTAGTGTTTGTAACAAGTGAATACTGTCGTATCTACAATACTGGATGGGCAATGTAAGAATATGAAAATAGCAACTTTAGCAGGCACAAAAATATAAGGCATAGGCAATAAATTAAATGGTTGTCCTTTAAATATTTGTAAAGCTTAATTATTTGGAATGAGCAGAAAAATCTAAGTGGATAGATGAGTATTTTAAGTGTTTTTCATGATCAATTACTAATTAACGTAACCGTAAGGCAAGCATTTAAAAAGTATTTTTTCACATCAATGCAAAACAACCTGGCTTAGGTATTTCTAAAACTTTGTTTGTTACACTAAATTACATTTTGTGCATTATAGATTAAAAAAAAGAAAAATGAAAGTGCTGTGTAGTTTCAGTTTTGTTAGAGAAGTGAGGGATATTTTTCTATCCATTATATTAAGAATTTTAAAGATTTCAAAATTAAAATTTATTTTAAGATAGTACAGGTGTATTGTTGAGTTTTTTTCAATTGGCAATTCAAAGGACAACCTTATCAAGCTCTCAAGTGCAATTTGGAAATTACAGGATATTAAAGTCAAATATGATTTTACAATATCAAAGTTTTTTTAAGATTGGTCTTTTTTTCAAGGTTGAAATATCAAACCAGATCAGAGACAGTTTAGATTTACGTGTAGACTAGGCACGTACAAGCAGTTTTTAGATCACAGGCTTACGTTTTTCAAAGGCTTTGAAAATCATATAAAGCATCTCATAAATTATAAATACTATATACACAGGTATCTAGGTACTTCCAGAAACAAATACGCAGAAATTTAAAATTTCACTAAAATCTACAATAGAATACTCTGGAAGTTCCAGTCGACCTCGATTTTCTCTATTCACATAAATACATCCATACTCGTATTAACATTTGTACACGGGTTGACTTACAAAATTAAAAACAAATGTACATAAAAATTAAAGCTACACACCAAAGTTTCAAATCTCAGAGCAGCGAGTGCTCGAGAATAACAAAATATTAGTAACAAAAGAAACATTGTAAACTTAGAGGAAGACTGGGTAAAAAACAAGTTAATAAACAATTTAGTAGTGAAACTTAAAATTATAATACAAGAACCAGTGGGATTGTTATATTAAATACTTTGGTTACTCTACAGAATTATGATACAGAGTCTATGTACAGACATTCACAATTATCACATTTAACAACAATGTCACGGGTTCCCCTTCTAAACTAAGTCCTAAATTACATGTAAGTAGTTTTAATCTAGGCTGAGACTTGAGTCTCGCTTTGTACTAATAAACCTGACAAGTGATCTACACTATTGTTTAAGACTTTGTAACGTGGTAGAAAAAAATTAGTAGATTATTATTACTATTAATTCCACTCTTTTCGTACCACCTTGTGAAATAAAATGTTTTTTTAAGTGCAACGAAATAACAAAATTTAATCTTTAGTAATCAGTTTTCAAAATAATTTTCTATGCTGAAACATAATTAGTAAGTTATTGCAGGATTTAAAACGCTATTGAATACAGCAAATTAGTTTCTCCATTATATGAAGTGACAATGTTACTTGTGGCAAGTTTCACTACCTTAGTACTTTACAAGAACTGCCTGAGAAGTATCATCAGCAGTAACAGCACAGCTGATACCCTCTGCAGGCTTGCTGCCGAGGGTGGAGCCTGACTCAGCAGCAGGCTCGTCCTGTTCTGCAGCGACGAAGGATCTAACCTCAAAACGTCTGCTTGAGCGGAATGCGCCGCCGCGGTGAAGTCAAATTCCACGCCGGCTGTCATCGCGTCAAACACACACCAGTCTAAGTAGTAATCCGTCAAGTTGTTGACGATATCGTTACTCAAGTCCTCGGTACTTCGACACTTCTCTAACGCTGTTTCCCACGACACCTGGTGTCCCCGAGATGTCACTAAGTCTAAACGTTCCGTCACCGGACACCCTCGCGTGCAGAGTTGAAGGGACTCTGGGTCTTGCTGGAGAGAGTTCTCGACCAACTCCTCTGGGAGTTTTGCCGAGAATGCTAGATGCTTCCCAACTCTGCGGACGACCAAAGTTGTGTCGACGTAACGTAGGAATATCTCCACCCTCTCACTTGCGCCGTTGCTGGCTGCGATCACCACACTCTCGTCAGGCCCAGACCTGTAGCTGCCGTCTATGAAGGTGGTGGGGAGAGGAGCGTCGGCGACCGCCTCGTACGTCTTCTCAGAAGTACAAGGGGTGCTGCGGCCTTTGATGATGATTGTGACCTGAAACATTAAACAGATGTTAATAATATTTGCAATAATATTCTAAAAAAGATATAATATTTTTACTCTTTCTTACATGTTCTAAAAGAAATATTGAACAAATAATCCCTTGCCTTGAAGGATGTTACTTAAGAGAGTGTTGAATTGTATCCATTCTTTGTCCACATTGTGTTATTAAGTTATCTATCAAGTTCAATACAATTTTTATTTACATGAACGCAAAAATGATTTTGGGTCTTATTTGCACAAATAATGAAGTAGGCCTAAATATTATGTAACAGTTTGTCAACATTCATCCATTATCAAAATCCTATGACCAATATTCCTCACCTCAAAGATAAAAAACCATTATTAATATCAAAATCATTACTTGGATGCATAGAATATTTAATCATCAAAGATTAAACAACCAATATTCATAAAGAGCAACATAAAGATGGAAGATTCTTGGTAGTGTAACTATTTTGAACCCTTTTATCAGCAGGTGCATTGGGTTGCAGCTTTGCCAACTTTATTTCATTACCATTACCCCACATCTTGGACGTCTCTCAAGAGATTTCAAGAGATAATATCAGTTGGTTTCAAAAGAGAATCTGTTGGTGAATAGTGCAATATAATAATAAATAATAGTGATTGATTAAGTAAAACAATGCTTTTGTAGCTGAATCAGATCGAATATTTCAAGTGGAATTCATAAATTAGGTTTCAATTTTTTTTTTATTGAGGATTTAAAATCCTCTATTAGGATACACAGCTTCAAGTTCAACAAGTTGTGTAACAAGCTTATAACTTGAGACTGCAACGTGAAATGTAATGTTTTAGTGACCATTATTTTGTGATTGAAGATAAACCTAAAAACATATACAATTCATATTTCATAATAATTTAAGTACCTGGGGACCAAGCTTTGCTCGGGAAACTTTTTTAACTTTATTTTAACTTTTTTTTTACTTTATCACTACACTATGCTTCAAGAGTATTCTTTGGTCAATTTAAATCTATCCCAAAAATATTAATTTGCGGTCTATTTTTTTGACATCAATTTAACTTCTATTAAAATAATAATATCATAGTTTACTGAAATGATGAGATAGAAGAGTTTTTAACAATTTGTTTGGTTCCCCTAAACGGCCAAAACCATAGAAAATGCCCAGTATTTTTCACGCTGAATTCGAAAAAGGCTATCAGCAGTAAGAAAAATATCTTCTCACATTCCTTCTTTTGAAGTATTAGTCACGGCAAGAACTTGGTCAGGAACCTTTAATTTATCCTTAATTTTTTAAATGTAATAAGTTACAATTATCCGGACACTCAGGAATCTTTCCGACTGAAAACAGTTACATTTTTTTATTTAGCAAGAAGATCTCAGTAAAAAAAAACTTTGCACAAAAAATCAATTTAGCCTTTGTTTAAAATGATTTATTTTAAAATGTAGTGTATTTAAGTATGTAATGTTAATTGCAGATTCAAATAGTTCAATATTATACATACGAAAATTTCAATTATGTATTTACTATCAATCAAAACATATTTTTAGTTAAAGTAATAACGACGGATGATTTTCATGTGACACTACGAGTTTTGAGAGATCCAATCTTAAACAAAATACAAAAGAGTCTAACAGGACGCTTCACATTGGACTTGTTTACGTAATTAATTCTAGCAGACAGCGCGGCTGCATGACAATTTCTGCGCCCACCGACTGCCGTACAACCTCGTGTATCTCCGGAAGCGTTCGTACATCGTCGGCAACACTCGTGTGTCTTCGCCTTCGGCAACGTTCGTGTCTCGATCCTGCTCTACCTTCTCAACCCACATGTCGCCTCAACACCTAGACTTTTATTTTTAATCGCCACTTCCTCCGCGACAGGATAGAGGCAATTTGTTCAGTTACGGTCTCAGTAACTGAATTACAACCTGCTGGACATTGATTTAAATTGCGCCGACTCGCAGTTACAGTTGGGTGACGCCATTTTTGTGTTCGCGTCCAACAATAACTATTGTAGTGTTGAGAAAAGTCAAAGAAACTTTCACGAAATGATGAATGCATCTATTTATTTTAGATAAAAATCGTGTTATTTGTTTTGAATTCAATAAGGTAAAAGAATTGCATTGTTCAAGAATAAAATGTAAAATCAATTTCATAGTTGTCCAGTTTTCATCACGATTCTCAACATTATTTATTCTCCCTCTAGAAGATGCTTTAATGAAAACGTCAACACTTCGCTGTACTGTATCAATGTTTAGTCTAGTTAATATTGTACACACGTGGTTCGTGATTTTTTATCGTAACAAGCAAGAGAAAGTTTCCAGTTTTTTTTTTTACATAATCTTATACAAAGATATTTACAGCATTTGTAAATATTCGGATTAGACATAAACAAAGGAAAGAACTCTGATTCGAAGTAAGTTCCAAGTGTAGTTATAATCCGCTCCCTCTCCCTCGTATTTCTCGTTTCTCGTCGTCGCCCGGAGCCTCTGCAGATACGGACGGACAGACAGACAGGTCTATTACGCGCCAATCATGACTGAGATTACATATGACGTCAGGAAACTCATTCCGCTGATCTCTTCAACTCGGACTTTCATCCCATATGTTGCTGGAATGCGCTGTGAAATGTGTCAGCTGATAAAGTGTAGAACGTTTTGCAAATTTAAAAGGGCTTACTAAACAGCGACTCATAATATTATATTTCAACACTAGGGTGTAAAAAGACTCTTTTCGACACGAGCTCATGTTTTACGACCGAGGGTTGAAAAGACGCTTTCTGCTGGTGTGATGCACAATTTCTTTTCTCATCATATTGCAATATTTAACAAACTACGCTAGAAAATGATAATACTTATCATGTAAAAATATAAGCTCTCAAAGAACTTGTATGTTGTCAAAGAATTTTGTTGTGTGTTGTAGAAGATGTTTGTGTTTTCAACCAAGACCTAAATATGTTAAAACATTCGTAATGGAAATAGTATAGTGTATTGATTGAAAAGGAAACGCACAAATGAAGACAATTGCTACTCAAGTTTTTGGCGAGCAAATTGGAAAATGATTTGTCCGATAGCTAATCAGAAATGTAAACACAAACAAAAAGCGAGTTATGTCTTAGCGAGAGAGAGATGGAGTTGTCCGGATGTACAAAATTAGTTAGTTGGCGTCCAGCCCACGACTTCTACCAGCAGATCGTTCGGCAAACATAGCAAAACTGTTGGACATTGTCTGGTTAATTAACTCGTTTTTTGGATGGTTACACAAGAAACTGATTAATTAGCTAGGAATGTAAATATATTATTTAAAAAAAAACACGCAGATAAGCGTCAAAACCAAAACACAACACTTTAACTCGTAGAAGTAAAAACTTGAGAAATGTTGGAAATCCAATCAGAATGTAAAACAACTGAAAATGAAAAAATCGAGAAACGCAATTCAAGAAAATTTACATCAGTTCCGTAACAAGCAATGTGAGCAAGACAGGTTACGTAGTAGAAAATATAAAATTACAACAATCGCGTACATATAAATCAGTATTAAAAAGTTGCTGAAAAAAAGAACCCAAACATGTATGTGTTCTAAAAACAAACCGGTATTATATCAAGACTAAGAACTTGCTAGGGATAGACGGCAGAAGGATCTAGCCAACGATCACATAAGACCAACTAGTAGGCCTACATCTTTTAGCAAAGCTGGACAACAAAGAATAACTAATCGAATAACCTGGCTCGATGCTGAAGAACGAAACCCCCCCCAAAGGAAAACTAGAGAACAACCGATCTCACGTCCATCCAAAAGCCGAAGATGTGAAGGTATAGGAAAACTAAAGATAAAAAGGCTGAAGAGTTAATGTTTCAGAGAGCAAAGAACAACCAATCGAATAACCTCGATGTATCCTTAAGAACCACTCAAGAACAAAAGAACAACCGACCTAATTCCCCAAAGGTTTAGGAAAACTGGAGAACAAACAACTAATACATTAAACTCGATAAAGGCTGAAGAACAAAGAACCACCAACTCAAGTCTAGAACAACCGGAGAACAAAGAACATTCAATCGATGAACCTCGCTGCCGAAGAACGAAGAACCATCATGGCGTGCTGGTGCCTGTATCATTACCTGAGATGAGGCTTGCTGATATCACCACGGCCGCGCTATCGATGAGTTTAATTCTCGCGGAGGATTTATAATGACGGAGGAGTGAGAGAGACGGAGGTAGCTGCTATCTGGTGTCTGCATCATGAATTTCTCGCCGCCGGACAGTTCAGTGGACCGTGGTGCGATCTGTTGAGCGTCTGGTGTAACCAACCGACATTCCACTCCACACACCTACAGATCTTGAGATCTTGAGGTCGTGTTACATCCAGGGTCAACACTGGGGGTGGTCAAAAAATGGCATGAAGACTTGAGGAAGAAGTGCCATCTTGGTCCATGATTATGAAGATGCATTCCGGAATTGCTTTTTGCCAATCGAATTACATTTTAAGGTCCTTGTGAACCGAAATTCTAACTTTTAGGGTGGATTGAAATTGAAGTTGGGGAAATGAAAACTCTCTTCACGATACCGTGATAACGACGACGCTTGTTTGGAGTTTTTTTTGTTTTTTTTTTTTTTTTCAAAGCCAATCAAATTGTTGTGTTTCTAGTCAACGTGAACGGTTTGACCAAAGTTTACACTGACTGACTTTCTCAAGAGAGTACAGAGGATTGTTATGTATTTACTTGATTTGACCATTTCAACGCTGCCAAAAATCTAGTATAGTTAAATGGAAAAGCAAAGTCAGATCTTACCGGTTAGGTAATATCCGAGAGGGTGCACAAAGATTCTAGCTTTTGGGTTGGATTAAGATAACGGGCGCTTCGAAAAAACTGTCTGTTGATTGTTATGAAAAGATTGTCGAACAGCCAGAAATCTAGTAGAAACAACTAAAAGAGCAACGTTAAATTTCTCCTAGTCTTATAGCCTACACAACGTAGTGCACAAACAGTATAGACTTCAGGAAATTAATTGTTTCAAACCGGATTATGAATCTGCATAATTCCGCAGTAACGCGGCTCAAGCGGGCGGGAAATCACGAGCGAACTTAGTGGAAATGATGGGATGTAACAATCTATTCGTAATTAAACTTCCGACTCCACTAACATTGTATGTCAGTCTTTGTGGTGTAATCGGCTGATCGCTAATTTAATAACCGGGAAATTAAATTATAATGGATAAACAACAACGATGAGCATTTTACGAATGTCGTCAAAGATATCGTGCGTTTGAACGTCCTTTTGGTCTCGATTGGTTCTTCCTTTTTATAAGTTAAAACGCTTCAAGTTCGTGTTCTACTTAGGTTTCGATCAAAAACATGTTTGCATACATTTACACTAACAGCCGACCCATTACAATTTCGAGAACGGCAACGGACTGCAAACATGCGTCGGAAAACATCCAATTCCCAAGTCTTGAACTCGCAGACGTCGCGTTTATTTCCACTTCCACTCCCACTGTCGTGCGTCGGGGTGCGATTTATCCTTGTTTATAACTATCCGGTGTGTCCACACTGTTTAATAACCACTTAGTATTTATTGGGCCGCGATAAAACATAGGATGATGACAAATGGCCGGCGGCGACGACGATGCCAGCGGGTCTTGCCAAGAGACGCTGCCAGCCTCCGCCACTTCGAGACTAGCGCGGAACTGATACAGAGTGGAGCCTTTCAACTTCGTCAATAGTTTCTTCATAGCTGAAGTTTAGTCAAGACATAATCAATGGAAAGGGAACAGCTTTAAGACAAATGAGATCATGCTGCAAAATACATGAGCTACGAAGTTACAGATTCAGAACCGATACAGATGAGGAGCAACGAAAAACTGAATTTGATCGAGGTAAAGAAACATATCTAAAACATGGACAGAGTTTGTACAGTCCCAAGTTTATTCACAATGGCCCATTATTATGGGGACTGTATGTAAACATAACACATCCTCTTCAATAAGGACTAAAGATAAGGACTAAAGATTCCAACATATAACTGTAAGTTTGTTCATATGGCAATGCATGTTTAAAAACCTATAAATAATGCAGTAATGTGTAAGGGTATAGTGTGAAATCTTCCAAAATTACACAACACTAGTTTTTCAAATCCGGCTCGAAGGACCAAAAATCTCACCTTAGTAGGGGCAGTAGCCGGCGATCCTTCCACAACCTGCTCGTTAGTCACTTGCACGGCGAGGTAAGCGTTGTCAATGAGAGGCCACGCGCCCTTCACCCTGCACGTCTGATACTGGTTGTCAAACGTCTTGAGGTGGGGGTCGCCGAACAGGCCGCAGTGCCTGAACCTCTGGCGGCCGTGGAAGCTGCATTGCGGAGGCGGCGGCGGGGGCGGTGCGGCAGTGCTGTGAGGACGGAAGTGCGTGCCGCCCCCGCTGTGCTTGGTACAGTTGTAGCGGATCTTGAGAGGGTTGAGGGAGCTGAAGGTAGTGTGGAACTTCAAGTTCCCCCGGCATGAGCGAGTGGTGGCGTGCACGCAATGGCCGTAGGCAGCCAGCACGTTGCAGTAGGCGGGCGACGCCTCGGGCTCGGGGATGTTTTCCTCTTCCATCTTCATGTTGTAGATCCTGACGCACTGGTCCAGCTTGCACGCCGCACACCGACCTGGAACAGACACGGGGATATGAGGAGGCTGGTTACAAGAGTTCAAATGGTTAGGTCAAGCAAAAAACCCACCAATGAGCTTTTAAAAGTGAAGATAGCAACAAAATTAAGCCGCAAACATGTTAACGTCCAGAAAATACTGCCTTAAATAAGTTAAGACTACTCCCAAACATGCCTTAAATTCTTTTTGTACGCTTCGTATTAAACACAACAATTTCTCTCCGTCTCGACATCAACGTAGTAAAGACGTCCATCGCTCCGGACTCCGCAGCTATTACAGAACAGTTTCCAATTCAATTGTTCGACTTCCGGGCACTAATCTGAGTCAATTGCAGCCCACGGTGGCCATCGCGGTGATTATGGCTAACAAATATATCCGGTGCCTGATAACAAGAGTGATATCAACTCGGGGCCCATCCGACACGGAGAGTGACTTGGGCGTCATTGGCTGGAGTAGTAGCTTGTCATGAGTCGGAGTATTTATCAGTAGTCAAAACTAGAAGTCTGAATTTAGAATGTCCACACCGTACTAGTGAGTTCAACTACAAATTGAAGTGATCCATAGAGTTTTTTGCATCAAATTAATACTAGATGGAATTTAAAAGTAATCTAGTGGAAGAGTCGGAAATTCACAGCAATAAAATACACCATAAATGGAATCAGTGAGCAGTCAACGGCATTGAATATTCATGAGGTGTAAGAGGCGTTCATCCATTGATTAACTTAATCGATCAACAAGAATGGATGCAATAACCTATTCGAACAATTAGATAAGGGGACTTATGCGAGTAGGCAAAAAAGACAAACAAGGGGTCAAGGGAGCATGAAAACATCTAAATGTCTAATTGTCTCCCACAACCATTTCTGTGTAATGCTAATAGCGGCAAGTAATTGTGCGCTTCCGGCAGCGGACACCTGTAGATCTGGTGATAGAAGTGATTCAGTGGAGCGGCAGGAAGTACGGGGTGTGGGACGTAACACCTGTGAGCGCGCCGTGGGCTCGGCAGCGTGGGCCGCGCTAGGCGAGGATAAGGAAACATCCGCACACGTCGTGCTGCCTTGGCGATAAAGCCTCGTCCAGGATTGGCTGCTGTCAGGCGAGGCTGGATACGATGTTTATATACCAGTCGCTAACAGCGTGTGATTTGCTTCCAAGGAAGAAATGCATGATTGTTTTGTGGCGTGATTAGGTTGGAGGATTGGGTTTATCAAAATCGAAAGCTATAGTGTACCGTATGTATGAATGTTTTATCACAAAACACTAGTTCATAATCATGTGAAGTATCATAGACTTTTCGACAATAAGAGTCGTTTACTATATAATCTTTAAAGACTTGTTTGAAATACAAATTTGATGTAAAATGTTGACCCTATGCGTTGGATCTAAAGTTTTAAGTGTGCCAGATTTTTTAGCAAAAGTTCACGGATCTATTTATAAAAAAATCAGTTTCAGACAGTAAAAAATATTAGTTTACTTGGGTAAAGATTGCAATAAACTATGTAAACAATTAATGAATTAATTTATGTCAGTATGAATTTTTCTTGGACATGAAATGCTTTCATAACACACTTCACAAATCAAAATAAATTGACTCAACAGAAACGGCTGCTATTGACAGAATGCTGACTTGTTTCGACAATTTAAAGTAGGTGAGTACGCAAACACGCGACAGTTTCGTTTTAGACCGGAGCGAAATTTCGTCTCGTCTAACGCGAGATAACGGAATATCAAAATAACCTGATGACGAGGAAACGGAGGGAGCGACGAGACAGGAAGTCTTGATTTATTGTCGGCTGCAGACTCCGTCCGAATCCATCATAACAACCATCATATGGACTACGAATAAAACCAACACCAATGAATTATGACATTGGAAAACGTAACATACATCATTGCACGACAATTGATGAGGATGAGGTTGGACAAGATGTCGCATCCTACACAAAAAGTGATCTGCCAATTAAGCCGATACGGAGAAATCGGCAGTTGATAAGGAGAAGTCATTAGTGATGAGGTTATCGTTTGGGTGACAGTTGGGAATGTCACATTTCCGAGAAGATTCCAACACTTGAGGTTGATGTTGGATAAAGTTGTGGAAGTGAAAAATATCCCGTCTTGTGTGACGCTAAAAATCCACCATGACAAAGTGAAGTACACCCCGTATGATAGTCGACAAAATGCATAAGTCATATATTCAAGAAAGCGTCATATATTCAGGAAGATAATTGAAACGCGTATCAGTATATTTGTTTTCTTTGGACTAGTAGCGTCAATATAATTTCAAATTAGGAAGGTAAATAGATCAATTTCCACCCAATAATCCTGCAGTATTTATTAAAATGTTTAAAAAATTTCGAGAAATTTAACAGTTGAAATTTCACGCAGAAGGCATAGGATAATACTGGTAGAACAAAGAAAACAACCCCTTCTATCGGGAAAGCTATGACTGACAATAATTCAACCACACCTTGAAAACTTCCAATATAATAATAATCCTTTAGCTTGGAAAAATGTTATTTATATTACTGATCACTCAATCAAGTAGTTCCCTTTTGCAACAATTTTTTAAGTAATGGGTGGTAGTTTATGTTATGGCATGACAATAACGATTGCTGTGGAGACCTATACAACTAAATGTGAATGTTAAGTTAAATATACGAAGTGGTACTTACTGATGGTGAACAGGGCGAAGAAAAGAGTGAGCCAAAAAGCCCGGGCCATCACGGGACTCCTCCGCTTGGTCCGGTCATGCTGCTGCTCCCATGCTACGTCCCTGTGGACAACCATAATTGTTAGGAAACCTCATAAATTGATGGCTAAGTAGCTACGTTCTATTACAAAATGATACTGTAAACTAGAAATGCTGAGAGTATTATCTCGGGAAGTGCAATCCCTTTCGAAAGTCTTTTCATGTAGCGTCAATGAAAATTAAGACTCGAGTTGTCTTATGTGGGAATTCTAAGAAAATGTTTTTAAATTTATGTCTGCATTTCCATCACGATTTGTAAAATGAAAAACGTATATCGATCTGTATGTCGATTGCAGGGTTTTCAAATTAAGCCAGGGTTCCCGTGTGTTCACATGAAGTGATAACAGATTAGAGGTTTATTGCTTCACAAACATTTCCATCGTACTAAGCCACATGGAATACACCCTTTGTATGCAATATAATAGATTTCTGGTGAATCGCACACTTTCTTTCCCTGGCTAAGTTTAAATATCAACCCAACAAATCGTATTTAAATCTTCAAACGTATTCACAAACAAAATGAAATTTCCATAACGCCGAAAACAACAAAACAATAATCAGTGATACAATCAGCGAGCATCCCTTATAGTATAAAATTGTATCCCGCAACAGTTGGCAATGCTTCTCCAGCTGATCAGATACCCATGATTTAGCCGCGCGCGGGAGATGCTATCTGCAGACAGCACAATGGTCGAGTTATAGCCGTCGTTTGCGGTTTTTGCTCGCACCGTCCGCCATTTTCAGAATGTTCGAATCGCGGACCGGTCGTCGTTCGTCACTGTCAAATTGTCGCGGACGCGGTGATTGTCACAATTGTCACACCAGTGTTTACATTGCCACGACGCGTCAAGCGTTCATCAGGTAATTGGAGCGACCTTGCGTTTTACGATTTACGCGGTTTGCTTGAGGTCGTGGTACTATTAACCCCCCCCCGTGTACAGTAGTTGTAAAAGTGAAATGTTTAACGTTCATGTCTAGCTACGTTTAACGTGAAGAGTTAAAGCCACGTTAATAACATTCGACATCAATTTCAAGATATATCACGTTCAATAACAAGATGAAAATTGGTCCAAAATTCTCCACAGACCACAATGCTCCATCTGTGATACGCAAGACATATTGTTCGAAAACGCATAACTCCGAAGGTGACTGCTCCGAAAAAGATTACTCCAAACGTCACTTCTCCTAAAAAGATTACTCCAAAGGTCACTGCTCCGAAATGCATTACTCCGAAAATGTGTTTCGGAGAAGTGTTTTTCGCAGGTATTCCTTTTACAACAATGCATGGGCCGATGAACCCTCATATTTTATCATAGTGTTTGGTCATTGTGTTCGCTTGACAATCAGAATCTAGTGTCAAAATTAAATTTTATACCTTGGCTAAATAAATTGACTATTGATAGTCAATACAAAATACACGAAGTTGTCGTTTTAAATCAGTTTTACTCCACTCTGAAACAGTGTTTACGTATTACGACTGTACTTTATTAAATTCATAACACTCAGTAGAACAGGTGCAAAATTATTCCGGCCAAAATGTGTACAGCACTGTGAATGATATAAAACTAGTTTTCTTCAACTCAAGTAGAAGTCATTTTACACTAAACAATCAAAGTGATTATCACTCGTTCCAAAATTAATTTAAATATCCATTTGTCTTGGATAAAAGATCAAAATGTGCAAACCTACACAAATTATTAAATGAAAAACAATTCGTAATTGACATTCCATAGGAAATATCCTACACGTGGAAATATCTACATAAAGTATTTGAATAGGTTGATAACACAGCCATAACTCGGTCAAATATGCACAATAAGCCCTTTCAATCAATCACAGATAGCGGGAGTGTTATGCCTTCAATGCTTGTGAGAGAAAAAACAAGTTGAATGTGTCGTAGAGCAAATGATCAATATGACACTGATAGCACACAAGGCTTACTCTATGTAATTTGTCTAATGTAGTGCTTAACTGTGTCTCAATCGATTGCAAATTAAAACTTCACTAGATGTGTTGGATTTAATACCACGGATTAAAACTAATTTAAAACCTATTCGATATTACACTCTTGATGTAATTATTTATACGATTTTACGTATGTATTCAATTTTATTGGCTATTAAATTTTCTTATCAATAAGTCGTAAGTTAGATCATGTGCATACATGCTGTAGTGTAAAGGAATTTTTTGTTCATTTTTATTTCGATCAGACAAATGGTTTGTGAAGTACTCATTTACATTAGCACAAGGGAATCTGGTCATGTGGCATGTATAGCTTACGTCCCATAGTGAAAAATATCCAATTGTCAAGCTGTAACTATGTAAAAGGTACATTGAATCAACCAATCGATATCTTCCTTGATTAACACAGAGTAATATTAATTTGTTGATTGTTTACAACCTTATACATCCGAAATATGATTATATTATACTCACATTACCTGCTATAAAATGTAAAATTTTACTATAGGCAAAACATTGACCAGGTATTCTATTATATTGAACACCTAAGTCACTCCTCGAAACTCCCATAAAAGTTCACAAACCCCATGATCCTATTTTAAACACATAAACTATAAAATAAACAAAAATGAAAACACACCTCCCATACATGAACCACTCATGTATTCTGACCCCGAATGTCACCACAAAACCCCCATAACAGTACAAAACCCCCATGTAAATCGTAAATAGCCCCGGCCGTGTTCCCACTATCCCACAGGACTCGCCGTGTCCTGGACCATTGTCCCGTGACAGCTGCCATCAGGGTTTCCAGATTCCAGAAAGGAATTCAATCTCACGCCTGTGGAAGCAGCGTGTCCAAGCGATCGTCGGGTTTTTCTCCTGACAAAAATTCCCGTTCCACTTCGTGATGGGCCGATCGTGATATCAGGATGGAGTTTCAAACCAGATTGTTGGAGTTTGTTGGTCTTTTCGTAATTTCCGTTATAAACGTGCTAATAAACATCGTCCGATTTGCAATAACACATTGACTGACTTAAACATAACTATTTTGTTACCTATGTAGTTTTTATGTTATTTGAGTCTATTCACTACAATGATCCATTATTGAATAACAATTAGTTTTGTGAAAACAAATGACGGCTGTCCAGGTAACTTTCGTGTTTTGGAAATTTTCAACGTGTTATTTTAGTTTTTTTTTGTCCAGAAATTATGTCTCAAAAGATTAGTAGAGAATTTGGGGACACCCTGTATAAATTTCTAACAACGACAGATATTTTTCTAACCTAAGCTATAAGTATCGCACTGACATCACTATGTTGTCATTGAATGTAATGTTAAATAGCTAAATTAACCCAGAAAGGTTTGCATTTAGTTTATACAGACTTGTGCTGTTGTACCTGTATAACTTTCCTTGAAACCATAAAATTATCTGGTTGCACTTTATCACTGTAAAATTTACACTCTTAAGTAATCATCTTCCAACAACATTAATACCTCATATCAACTTACAACTTGCTTAATAAATATGTGCAATTGTTATGTTAAAGTTAATCGTTTAAAGATGTTCTTGAAATCGCAACTTAATCCAAACAACGCACACCACGATTGTGTGGTTTTTGTGATCGATGATTTAAAAATTAATTTAGACCTAGATAACCAAAAACAATCAACGGGTAACGAGTGTTAACTTTGGTCTATACGTCTATCATCACAAGTTCATAAAACTAAACAAGCCCAAAAATTAAACTTCAACATATTTTTCTTGCGGTCGTTTCTCGGTAGCTGTTGCTACATTTCCAGTTATCACTTATCTGTCATCTGTTATCACAATCATGAATGACCAGATGATGTAAAGGTTTCCGGTGACCTTGGGGTCGCCTATGTTGTCCTTGCGGCTCAGCTGATCAAACAGCTGATTTTACATCTTCTCTTTGACTACCGTTGCTAACATGTGATTAACTCCAAACATTCTGACTTTTCAGTTTTCCTTCATCACAAGTGGGGAAATACTTTGTGTATTGTTTAATATTTTTCGTAGGAATATATTTCGCTGTTAAGGAACTGTAAAATACACAGTAAAATAGTTAGTTAACTTCAACGTAACGTTATTATGTGAATTCAGGGGCAAAAAGTTAACTAACGAATGATTAACGTTTGTATAAATGTACGGAGTTACGCTAGTATGGTTTTTGAACTAATTCGACTTCATGAAATAATGAATCTTTTCGGATATTTTTGTTCAATTGTCTAAATAAATATTTACATAATCCACGTGTTAAGTCAATGTTAACAGGTTTAAAGGCACATAGAACGACGATAGACAAATCTATTTGAACAAAATCGTGGTTGCGTTATCGTGTTTTTGTTACCATGATACTAAAAATTAGGGTACGAACGCAGGACGCATTTAAATCCAATAAAGGATGAATCTAGCTTTGTTACTCAGAACGGATTATGGCAATGCCATATGGATTGAACCGACGACACGAGCACTATTTACACTTAGCTTCGTGATGAGTCCAGGGAGCCGAAACCCCACCGGACTGAGGCTGTTCTAGGAGGGCGGGCATTAATTGCGCCAACTAACCTGAATTGCGCCAACTACTCCAGGGAGCCACCCGATACGTTCCGTAAACACCAAGTGGCCCTCTTTTACTGTATAATTGAGTAGGTTAGGTTAGGTTGGGTTTAGCTCAGGGTTAGGTTAGGATGACCCGTAAACAACATTCCTTCTGCCGGCAACTTACCCCTACCTGGCTTGGGCTTGGCGCAACTAAGGCACTCTTTGGCGCAGTCAATGCACGACCTTATAAGACCATGTGAGCCTCTATTTCCACTCAGCTACCCTAATCCAACTTGTTGTCTCACACCTTGAGAATATCCTATAACCTCATACAACGCACCACAATGGACAAGCCGAGGTGGTGCAAACTAGCAAATGTCAGATCGCACATGACTTACAGCGATATAAATTATCGTACCCCGTCCCTTAATGATGCCGCCACGTCTGTGTGTGTAAACGCGTATGTGTGTGAGTGGATGTTCGTATGTGTGCGGCT